AGTGTCAATTTTGATTAGAATTTCCTGCAACGTTGCATAGCAACAAACTTTTTCTGCCTAGGCAGTAAAAGTACACCTTTTCTGCCTGTTATGCGGCAGGAAAAAGCCACTATCCCTGTCGCTTGGAGAAAATAGTAGATTGTTTTATTAGGATCAAAAGTGACACTGTTTGACAAGCGAATTTTGCATTTTTCAAATGGAACACCCTGTATTGCATTTTTAGATTATCCCTGAAGATCAAATTTCATCAATGCATCGCACTTGGAGTCTAGCAGGGGTGATTACAAAGATATAGGGTGTTCAAAATAGAGATTCTCCAATTTTAGGATATTTTTGTGTAGAAACTATTCATTATCGGTCTATCCACTATCCACTGACATTTAATTGGAAAAACTACAGGGGGGTTTAAGATTCAGAATTCTGATCACCCTGTATCTGTTCCAATTAATTGTCACAGTTAATAGTGAATCAAAAATTATGACAGGGACATGGAAGCCGTTTTGACACAACAGAATCATAAAATTGAGGAATCTCGATTTTGAACACTCTATATCTCTGTAATCATCCCCGCTAGACCCCAAGAGTGATGCATTGATGAAATAAGATCTTCATGGAGAATATAAATATGTAATACAGAGTGTTCCATTTGAAAATTCGAAGTTGCTGATACTTTTTAGTAGAAGCGGCAAAGCCGCATCGTTAATAGTATATTATGTAACAAGTGTTATAAACGTCCTTTTAGTAACGAGTATTTTAAGCACGAGCGGAGCAGAGCGGAGCGAGTGTTTAATAAACGAGTGTCTAGAAGAGTTTATAAACGCGTTACATACTATGCTTTTCCTACGAACTCCGAAAATTACATTAACATATCTGCTATTCCTGCGAACCTACAAAATAATTCGAAAGGAATGAGAAATGAGAACATAATACATGCAACTGCATGCAACCAGCGAGACCCGTATAAGTGATATTGGTTGTAGATGTGTCCACGGTCCAGTCCATTGCTTACTAACCTTTCTTTCACGTTTATTGTCATGCTTAGCGCTGAATAAATAAATTGTTCTCAAAGATGGATGCTTCATTTTTACACTTCTTGGAGATATGCAAGTACCAGAACATTCTATTCGATTTCCCTTTCGTCTACTTTTGCATATATTTTTAATGATGAATTCTGATACAAACGAATATTGTTTGAATAATTCTGATGCAAAATTCGAAAATAACAGTTGACAGTTAATACAATTGACAGGCCAGACATGTCTCAAATTACTGAAGCTGTGTTTAATGAATTGCGTTGCCATGGTGATGTGTTTAAGAAATCGTGTTGCCATGGTAACGTGTTTAATATTTTGAATAAATCACAGATTGACAATCCGTGATTAATCGATCATTTAGCGTGGTACATATCCGTACGCTAAATGCCATTTTATTTATGTGAGTAGAAAATTAGTATATTATGTAACAAGTGTTATAAACGTCCTTTTAGTAACGAGTATTTTAAGCACGAGCGGAGCAGAGCGGAGCGAGTGTTCAATAAACGAGTGTCTAGAAGAGTTTATAAACGCGTTACATACTATGCGTTTTCTACGAACTCCGAAAATTACATTGAAATACCTGCTATTCCTGCTAACCTACAAAATAATTCGAAAGGAATGGGAATTGAGAACATAATACATGCAACTGCATGCAACCAGCGAGACACGTATAAGTGATATTGGTTGTAGATGTGTCCAGTCCATTTCTTACCAACCTTTGTTTCACGTTTATTGTCATGCTTAGCGCAGAATAAATAAATTGTTCTCAAAAATGGATGCTGCATTTTTACACTTCTTGGAGATATGCAAGTACCAGCACATTCTCGTCGATTTCACTTTCGTCTACATTTCGCATATATTTTTAATGAAGAATTCTGATACAAACGAATATTGTTTGAATAATTCTGATACAAAATATGAAAATAACAGTTGACAGTTAATACAATTGACAGGCCAGACATGTCTCGAATTCCTGAAGCTGTGTTTAATGAACTGCGTTGCCATGGTACTGTGTTTAAGGAATCATGTTGCCATGGTAACGTGTTTAATATTTTGAATAAATCACAGATCGACAATCCGTGATTAATCGATCATTTAGCGTGGTACATATCCGTATAATAAATGCCATTTTAGTTATGTGAGTAGAAAAAAATATATTAGACGTGTATATCATGTAAATTCATAAATATTATCAAATTTTTAGATCCGTCTAATTAACGCTCATCGTGAAAAGAGGGAAACTGAACCATGAAAAAAATTCCTACATATCAGGAATATAGCTAGAAAAATGAAGGAGAAATGGGGTTAAACTCATGACTCTGTGTCAGTATATCACTCATAATAAAATAATGAAAATAACACTCACCAGTGTGAAAACAAAATGAATTTGTATAAAATAGTCCACTTCTGCTATTTCATTGTTTGAAATTTTTTATTTTCCACAGTAGGAAACACCAAAACAACACATTATCGCGATTATGTAATCACTGATTTGATTAAGAAACACAAAAACACGATACTATCACTCATTTTTTAGTGAACACTCTGTTTGGAATGATTATTAATCATTCCTTTCGCGTATTTTTCAATGCCTGTCACAAAATTCGACCGTTCGTGATGACATCTAATATGAGACTGTCTTGATTAACCACTGATCCCGAATGAATGACTAATAAGTTGAATCATGCTGTTAACCGATTAATTTCCGAACAAATGATTCATCTATGACCGAGTCTATGACTAATGATGATTATGAAATTATACGGGGGAAAAATATATACAGGGTGTTTGGTTCACCGACGTATATCTGGGTGGTAATTGATGTGATTCTGAAAATATTTAAACATATTTTCTGTTATACAAAGTGTTACATTTTTAAAGAAATCATCGCTGTAATAAATACGAAGTTGTATGTTACAGAAACTCGTTTTCAAAATTCTGATAAGCCAAAACATTTTTTATCACATTTGTATCCCATTACTTGTTCAATATCTATGAAAATCGCATCCAACTCTTGAAAAAGAAGAAATTACAATCAGATGAAATGTTCGACCAAACGGAGATATCTCAAAGTTCGTAACACTTTGTATAATATTTTAAATGGTTAAATATATTCCAAATGTTCTTACCTATCAGACCCTTTCAGATATACGTCGGTGAACCAAACACCCTGTAAAGTATACGAAATAGCAGATGAAGAATTGAACACCGACCTGTTGTTTTTTTTTGAAAATCTCCCAAGATATTATGAAAGAATTCACCACAGGCTGAAAATATTTCTTTTACAAAAATCTCTCATAAATGGATTGCATAATTTTTGGACCCTTCAACACCTTGCACAAAAGCGTTCAGAGGCGAGTTGTGTTGAGATTGTGAAAATTTGTTATTTTTTCCTCGATTTTTTCGATATATCTATATTTATCATCTCAAAACATTTTTCAAAACAAGGTGTCACTGACAATCTAGCGAATTTTTTTAGGCTCCCTTATAGTGAAATTTTCAAATGCAGTGACATTTTGAGAGATATTATCTAATTTTTTCATACTACATGTATATGTGAGGACCTCATCATAATTAATGAAGCCTCTTTGTGAATAAAATAAAAATAATCAACGAACTAATCAACTACTTACATCAATTGAGCGATCATTGAAATCATCTGATTATAACTAGGTTGGCCGTCTTTGGTTAAATCTTTTGATATCTACCTGTAAATTGAAGAAAAACAATTTCTTGAGCAAAAGAATTCGCCTGAACAAATTAATGAATCGAACTGACTTATTGTGTGAACATTTGATCTTTATCCATTGATTTTCTGCTATTGTAATTATCAAGAATATAAATGTAAGTGATTTTTAATGATTACAATTACAAAATACTGAACGACAGTATGTGGGCATGAACCACAATGCCAAATATTCCGAACGACAGGAATAATATTCCGAACGACAGGAATATGGGTGCGACACTGAACGACAGCGTCTAAAATCGACACGAACGACTGTGTCTAGCATCTGAACGACAGATACATACAGTATGATGCAAATGTATGGAATAAATTCATTATTTCAGAAATGGGCGACATTTGAAAAAATTCCAAAAACACGTGAGTTTTAATCTCACTCATCTCATGATATGAATTTTTTCAAATACAAACAGGGGTTATGTGACACCTCGTTTGAAAGGTCTACTGATCGTCTATCCAACAGTCAAGATTTTGCATAAGAAGATTGAAATTGAAATGGATTATCATTTGATCAACTGATGTCTGCTACTGAGAATTGAACATCGAAGGTTGGTCTAGTTAAAAAAATACATCGATTAAAAAAGTTCTGAACTCTAGTTTTTGTATTTTTTTCGAAAGTCGTCTTGTTTTGAAATGAATCTATTCCATACATTTGCATCATACGTATATACCTGATTGTAACCAGTAAAATATACACAATTAAATAATAATCAAATAAAATGCAAGTGCATAGCTAAATTATTTTGTCCGTGAGTAGACTCACCAGATTCGTGTAACGATAATTCACAACCACAAAAGTCACAATAACTATGAGTTAGTAAATCACTATAGGTAACCAATGATTTCAAGAGAACGAGCAGATATCATTAAACTTACTCGGCAAAGAACTTTATGAAAATGAGAATACAATTTCTCCCAAGATACTGGGACCACGTCTTTGCGAGTTTTGTTTAGGTTATCCAAATAATCAGTTTCCCTTAGAATTAGGTACCCATGTAATTTATATACTAGGCGTTTTGTTGAAGGAAAAAAATGAATTCTTACATATATTAAATCAATACTTATATTCTTATTTGTAGAAACGAGGAGAGAAAATCCCAAAAAATCTGGTAAAATGAACGTTTCCCCTCTTGGATTAATTTTCAGCACCATTTAGGAGACACATAATAATAGTTTTGTAAACTTTCTTCCTAGTTTCTAAATATGTTTATTTTTTTCAGATTTATCTCAACAACACAGTTTTATCCGATTTTATAACAAATTACCTGAGGTAAGTCGAAATAATAATATTATAAGATTCTAAATGGAGGCACCGTAGATAGACACAATTTCAACACTCAAACACATTTTTGTTCACTCAGGACGGCTTGTACAAAGATGACCGTTTACTTCTTCTTCTTCTTCTTTTGGGTTTATTGGATTTCTGTCACCTTTCGGTAACAATTTCTCCAGATCAGGTAATTAATTTTTTCAAGAATATATATGGTTATGTAATAATATTATCTCTCGACTCGAGCACTGAAGACATCGTAGTCCGTCACCATGTCCGGAAGCCGAGTTCATCAATGTCCAAAGATTCTATTGTATGTGCTCATGCTGAGCACGTTTGATTTCAAGTATGGCCCCTTTATCCGGTGAATCCGTCACCATCCGGCCTCTATACCGGCGTAGAGATAAAAGGGCTTGATAATTTTCACACACACTTATTAAACTTCACAATAAATATTGGATTTTAATACAGATCAGGTAATTATAGTTATTTAACCAACTAGTGTATTAATGAGGGCGATTATAATGATCGAGATATTTTAACGTGCGAGCGAAGCGAGTGCGTTAATGTTCGAGATCATTAATCGCCTTTTAATATACAAGTTGGTTACAAAATTTTTCCGTCGACTATATTTCTCATTTCTCCTGCAATGAAGAAAACTTGGTTCGCGAATTCATAATCCATCCGGAAACTGCTAAGAATCACCCAGTAGCCTTGTTACTGACATTAGTGTCATTTGACATTTGTCGAAATGATCAACATAGGAAATAGATTCCTTGTGTTAGAAAATAGGGATTAAAATCGTGTCAGAAACTTGGAAAGGCGAACCCGTTACCGGAAAATCGTCGATGAAATCCATATTTTCGATTTGAATGCAAATTCCGCTAGTTATAGCATAAACAATGAATGCACGCGGTGTATGTTTGGTTGCCTATAAAACAATCGTGCATTAATAGACAAATCGTCCATTAATAGGGGTCATTAATGAACGATTTCATATACATTAAACTTAGTCGTTAATACGAGGTCGGCGGAAATAGTTATTTAACCAACTAGTGTATTAATATTAATTTTAATATACAAGTTGGTTACAAATTTTTCCGTCGACTATATTTCTCATTTCTCCTGCAATGAAGAAAACTTGGTTCGCGAATTCATCATCCATCCGGAAACTGCTAAGAATCACCCAGTAGCCTTGTTACTGACATTAGTGTCATTTGACATTTGTCGAAATGATCAACATAGGAAATAAATTCCTTGTGTTAGAAAACAGGGATTAAAATCGTGTCAGAAACTTGGAAAGGCGAACCCGTTACCGGAAAATCGTCGATGAAATCCATATTTTCGATTTGAATGCAAATTCCGCTAGTTATAGCATAAACAATGAATGCACGCGGTGTATGTTTGGTTGCCTATAAAACAATCGTGCATTAATAGACAAATCGTCCATTAATAGGGGTCATTAATGAACGATTTCATATACATTAAACTTAGTCGTTAATACGAGGTCGGCGGAAATAGTTATTTAACCAACTAGTGTATTAATATTAATTTTAATATACAAGTTGGTTACAAATTTTTCCGTCGACTATATTTCTCATTTCTCCTGCAATGAAGAAAACTTGGTTCGCGAATTCATCATCCATCCGGAAACTGCTAAGAATCACCCAGTAGCCTTGTTACTGACATTAGTGTCATTTGACATTTGTCGAAATGATCAACATAGGAAATAAATTCCTTGTTTTAGAAAACAGGGATTAAAATCGTATCAGGCAAGTCGCCGGGCACCGACCAAATTTCATACGAATTTCTGAAAAACCTTCCCCAAAATTGGGTTATCTTTTTAACAAGTCTATTTAACAGAATATTAGACACTCACATTATCCCTGCCACCTGGAGTGAAATGACGCTAACAATGCTTCACAAAAAAGGGCCCACGGAAAATCCTCTCAACTACAGAGGAATTGCACTCATAAACTGTCCCGCGAAACTTTTTACACAAATTTTACTTAATCGTCTCACACTTTGGGCAGAAAATAGTAGTGTTTTACCGGAATCTCAGTCGGGTTTTCGGAAAAACCGAAGTTGTATAGATAACGTCTTTACGCTGAGCAGCGTCATTCAACTCCAACTAAGACTAAAAAAACGTAAGGTATTCGCGGCTTTCATTGACTTCCAGCGGGCATTTGATTCAGTGAATCATTCTTTACTTTGGCATAAATTGTTTGCATCCGGTTTCAGCTCCAATATTTTAAACATTCTGAAAAATATGTATGATACAACGACTATTAAAATAAAAGCGCGAGAAGGTTACACAAAACCTTTCGACGTTACCTCTGGAGTTCTTCAGGGGGAGTCTCTCAGTCCCTTGCTCTTTGCTATTTTCATCGCGGATATTGAGGAGTTTTTCCGTAGCAGGGGTACCATAGGCCTGAATATCGATAACACAACGGACTTGCTGTTGTTGCTATATGCTGACGATTTGGTCATTCTTGCTGATTCCGAAATAGATTTACAAAAAAAACTGAAGATCCTTGATGAATACACAGCTGTTAACCTACTCACGATTAATATCAAGAAATCTAAAGTTATCTGTTTCTCGAGAGGCGGCTTTCAGCGCCAAAACTTTAAATTTCGTCTGAATGGCAATACCCTTGATCTAGTGAATAATTATGTTTACTTGGGTGTGCAGTTTGTTGCATCCTCTCTTTTCAGAGAGATGGCACTCTTTACTGCTGACAAATCAAAACAAGCCATCGGCGCTATACTTCCATTACTCTCTAAATCAAAAATGGATCTCTGGCGACCCAGAATAAAATTATTCGAAGCTATGGTTCTTAGCGTCATGTCTAACTGTCTACCAGTCTGGGGCCTCAGATATGTTGATATCTTAGAGAGGGTTCAACTCATGTTTTTCAAACGCCTCCTTCTCCTCCCAAATAACACCCCAGACTATATAGTTAGATTAGAAACCGGGCGCGTGAAAATAGCTTTTAATATTCTCAAAGCAACATTGAACTGGCTAATCAAAATGTTCAGTATGAATGTTTCCAGACTGCCAAAGATATGTTTTTTGCGACAATTAGAATTATCTAGTAGCGATGCCAGATATAATTGGGCCAAACAAGTGTCACAAATTTTGGAGTCGATCAGTCTCTCTGAACCCATGGCGAACATCAACGGGGCTTATCTTAAGCGCAACAAACACAAAATATTAGCACAGTTCCTTGATAAACTTCACCAAGAGGATATTGCCTTAGCCACCAACTCTCACTTTATGTCTTTCCACACGCACTTTACCCTCAACAAACAGCCAAACAGTTACCTTCTTCTCAAAATGCCAATTCAAATAACAAGAACTATCGCCCAGCTGAGAATGTGCAATAATTACGTAATCAGATTCACGCTGAATGGCTGCACTTATCGTATCGACCCACGCGATGATTGTACTGTTTGCAACCAAAATAAGCTCGAAACAATTCAACACATCCTGTTCGAATGCCCTATATATTCCACGATGAAGCCTCCGAATTCTAATCATCTTCTTGACTTTAACTCCTTAATATGTGCCCTCGAGAATATTACGCCCTCCCTTGCAAAAACTATAGCAAGTTACATTATTATGGAACATCTTGAAACTGCGAGCTTTCATTTTAAATGAATAATTTCATATAGGTTACAGAAAATCAGGATATTAATTCTACTAAAATTGTGTGCTTATCTTGAATATTCTCACTTTTTTTTTTTTCTCTCATTTTGTCACTTTGTTTTTCATATCTAGCCGTCTAATATTTCTTTGTAAGCATAACTACTTGTAAACAGCCTATCGACACATAACATGAACCCCTTGTTGTAAAACTGTAATGTTTTAAGAAACAATAAATATATTATTATTATTATTATTATTATATCAGAAACTTGAAAAGGCGAACCCGTTAACGGAAAATCGTCGATGAAATCCATATTTTCGATTTAAATGCAGATTCCGCTAGTTATAGCATAAACAATGAATGCACGCGGTGTATGTTTGGTTGCCTATGAAACAATCGTGCATCAATAGACAAATCGTCCATTAATATGGGTCATTAATGAACGATTTCATATACATTAAACTTAGTCGTTAATACGAGGTCGGCGGAAAAAAAAATTATAGACTTGCACACACATTAACCTGACTTTTGAGCTGGAGACGCCATATGTGTCTCCTTCCATGGTCAAAAGGCGAATCCATGACCGTTTATAAAAATACGTCAACAAGTGATTCGTTCTACGATATTAATCGACTGAACCTGCTTCAATTTTTTTTTCTACGCCCATGTCTGTAAACGTCAAAAATCACACTGTCAACATCACTTGTAAATGACATTTAACAATAACATGCACGTAATGAGATCTCACAACATACACGTGCGTTTTGAGAAGAAAACTTAAATTTCTTGGTTTAATTAAATTACAATTACATTTTTATTTTCGTACGACTTTATTTGGTCTATTTACACAAATTAAGTCAATTAAAAAGTATAAAATCTTTTAGCATTAGCGAGATATATTCAGGATTGAAAAATTGATGCCCCTAAATGTAGACAACACGTTATGCAATTCCCGAGGTAATTCCTAGTATTGCATGCTATTAAAATAAATGTCATGTCATTTAAATTGTCAATTTCTGGAACAAAATATAATTGTATCTAAACATTTTCTCAACTTTATCTACGAATATGTCTGATAGTAGTGAAATTGATGAAATTATGAGCAATCCACCGGAGATTTTAGAAAAAGCTCAAACTGCCACACATAATTTATTATCGCTAAAATCCAAAGAAAGGTACGAAATTTCCTATCAAAAATTTATGGATTGGCGACACAAGCATAATGATTACGATGTTTTTTTATTTAATGGAAGAAAATAAATGGGCTTAGAAAAAGTATAGTACGTTACACGAGTTGTAAGCCCATTACGCACTCATGAAATTTATGCACTCGCCGCTACGCGGCTTCGTGCACAAACTCTTTCATTTCGTGCGTAATAGGTTACTTACAACTCTTGTTACGTAATATACTATTATCACACGATGATTACGAATACCGATGAGTCGACGAGGTCGCTTGTGATGAGGCATTCCTTAGGCGTTCTTCTCATTTACGGGGTGATTTGAACGCTAACAATATACAGGGTGTCCCAGAACAACGTACATTAAATTCAACAGGGTGAACTAGAGTTCAAAATAGGTCGATTGGGACTAAATTGGGACCAACTGACCTCTATACGAAAATGCACCGTTGTGCCGTGAGAGGGCGATGAATGGATTTTTTTTTTCAGATTTTATTGAATATTTCAAAATCCTTGAGAGGTAATGATCTGAAATTTGGAAGGCAGTCAACTATAAGAAGTGTGCATAGATAACAGGTCTCATCAGTGCAATCGATATACAGGAAGATACAAATTTAGCATTCTGATTGGAGAAAATCCATAGAACTTTTTTTGAGTACGCCACTGACCATATTTTAATATCTACTTGAATAACAAAATCAATTATCTATCTCTTTTCCCACCACATTTCTTTCTAAATTTTGCTTGGTTTACGAGATATCTGAAAAAATTCTTTCGTAGCCATTGTATGCAAATTTGTAAAGTTCGACAGGTAGTCCGCTGACAAGAATTATTATGAAACATTCTGCACTCGTTTTTTTTTTCATGGCGACCTACTAATTAGGTCCACAGCTTTTATAGTCAATAAATAGTGCTTAAGAGGGCATATTCCTCAGCGCCTCCGCCAATAAAAGAGGTACCGCTCCCAAGTTCCCCTATGGTTATGGATCATCCTGGAGGCCCAATTTTTTTCCCTGGGTAGTCAAAGGTGCAATCGATGCATCTTATCGAATGGATTTTCATTTTTTTACATAGACTAATTTATAAACACCTGTAAAGTAGTGCGTTTTTGACCGATTTTGTGAATTTTTTTCTACGTTATGGAATCAAAAATTGAAAAATTAGTCGATAAGATGCACAGATCAGATGCAGTACTCTTCAAAAATAATTTTGATTTACTGAAATCTTATTTGGTTTTCGCATGGGAAATTGGGAGCGGAGGCACCGTGAAGAAGATTTTTCCCTGTATATAGGCGCGGCACTTAACAAAAATAAGCTCCTCCCATAAAGTTCAAATGCCTTATTGATAGTCAATGGTCCTATGATGAAGTATGGTATTTATTAATCTTTGGAAGAAGTCCATGGTAACTCAAAGTGGAGTGGTGTAGTTGTAGTTCATAGATGAAAAACCCAAAGTCATCTCCACAACTTTTATTGAAATGATCAAAGATCATAAATGGTACATCAAAGATCGTCAATGGTACATGTTTCCATAACTTTGAATTATTTTATCGGCTGATGATGGGCTTATATAAGCCCGAAACATGTACCATTCATGATCTTTGATCATTTCAATAAAAGTTGTGGAGATGACTTTGGGGTTTTCATCTATGGATGGTATTTATTATTCTTACGAAATAGTCTGCGATCCAACTTACCTATTTATATTTCTTTCAATAAACCCACCAGACTTATACCTGATATATGATAAAGGTATCATGGCATGAACAAAGAAACTGTGTTATATCATGTTATATCTACTCAGTTGATAGATTTTTTTCTAACACAGGGACGTGCTGGAATGTTATAAACGATATTTTTAGTACCTATAGCCCAACAAATAGATAGATATAAGGAACATGATGAAATGATTAAATGGATCAGGGTGATTTTTACTATATATAGACTAATTCTTTCCATGCAAAGTTGAGCCAACAAAAAACACAGGTACTTCGTCATACCGTCATTTCTATAGAATAGGTGAGGAGAGAAGTAATCCACGATTTATTAGACATTTTACATTTTCCATTTTATTTTGAAAAAAATTGATGAAATACTGATTCACTCATTCACAGAGGAATGTATATATAATATAATAATGTATAGATAATAATAATTATATGGAATATATAGATGGAATCAGAGATGGAATCCTTTTGATGGTAGGTTAGGTATGCGTTTTTTGCTTTCCAATGAATTCAAAGAATCTAGAAAATAATGTATAGAAGAGTTGAGATCAAACTGAGTCAAAGCTGTGATAGGAAGATAGAAAAAACGAATTACCGTCAGTCTTTGGATGGGTATGCAAGAAAAAAAATCTTCAGACGGTTAGTTAGAGAATTATATATCCGAAAATAATCAATGCAGCATCGTTGGTTCAGGGAGAATGAACATCTCACTATTGCAGAATTGGCAAAACATATTGCCAAAAAAAAAACTGAACAATAAATACAATGAATTGATGAAAATCTCCAGTATACCTATTGCTGATGCTAGTCCTGAGGGAGTAACTATGACGATGGCGAAATAATTATTCAAGTTCAATGTCCCTATAATGATGGTTCCAAATATCACTGCGGATAAAGGAATAGCAAAAAGAAAAATAACATTTTGGAATGAATATGGCTAAGTTAACAAAAACCACAATTGGTTTTATCAAATCCAGGGACAACACCATGTTGAATAAATTTGTTATTCTGCAGCTTGGACTCGAAAAGGCATGAAAGTGGAAGTTATTCCTAGAGATGATGATTTCTGGTCATCCAAAATGGAATCAGAACAAGCAGATCATTTTTCTGTCAAGGAAATTAAATCAAATATTGGTAAAAAATCCATCTATCACAATGGAATGATACAATACAATTCACTACCAAATAACTTGAAGCTGATTAATAGGATTGAAAAATTTAAAAGAGAATTCAAGAAACATCTACTCCTGTAATATTGACATCTTATATCTCATTTTTATAGTTTTCTTGTACAACTGCTATAGTTTTCAATTGGGTACCTAACAGCTGAGTCAATTGAGAATCATTTCCAGAACTTGAAAAAAAAAAAAATGATTCTTTTTGAGTGTGAGTCTTATTTTACTGTCTTCTTTATTTTATTTTGTCAAATATATTCATGTATTCACTATGTTCCCTGCTATAAACAAATGTTGTTTCTTGGGAATAATGAAGTTGATTGATTGATTGATTGATTTTGATAGGATGATTCCGGAACTTGTCGACAGCAGAATTATCAGAGGCATAGAAATTAGATAGCCTACTTATGACAGTACATATATGTATACTCGCATGCCGAGTGGTTACAATATTATGTAAGGGGTAAACCACCTTAGAATTATGGTGTACAGGCATGTGGGATTCCGGATCAGCTATTGCAATATAAATTGTAGTTCCCACCAAGTCCACTATAACTGAGGAGCAATCAGTCAAAACCAGATAAATCCATTTTATGAAGTTTTGAGATAATGGCAAAAAACCGTCCATTAGAGCGTCCGTAACTTCAACCAAGAAAATAAATAGTGTAACTGAAATATGATGATATTGACCTCGTAAATACTGTTTTCGTTTTTTTTTTTGGATGATTAACACAGTAATTATTGCAAATTCAAAATCAAAACAGTTTGTATAAATAATACTTTAATAATAAAAAACATAATAACTTAACAAACACATTCAAATAATCAACAAAACTTGAATAAAGTTGATATTCAACTCAGCCAGTAATCTTCTGTTTCAAACTCTGTGCACCCTGTTTCACTTTATTTCCAAATTTTTGCCACCAAGACAACTCTTCTGGTGAAGACACAGTTGTACCTTCAACTTGTTCGGATGCAATAATTTTCTGAGGCTTAATCTCGGAATTTTTCGAAGAGGGAGCAACACTAACAGGTGTTATAATAGGTTCTTGTACCGGTTCCTGCATCATGGGATGAGGTATTCTGCGTCCCTTTATTCCACTGTAGACTGGTCTACGTTGAGTTTTGACAGGTAAATAGTTTTCATTGCCTCCATTGAGCTGCTCTATATTGGACTCAGGTTCCACGTTCTCTGTACCTACTTGCTTCTGTCCATAAGAGTGAGAATACGATGACACTCGCGGTCTCTGATGGTACAAACCATAAGAATCAATATCAGAATATCGATGACCTCTATTCAGTTCCATATTCTGCTCCACTACTTGTCTCTGTTGATAAGGGTAAGAATCTGCCCTCGAATCTGCCGGTCTGCGGGGTATCTGGTAATATGGACCATATGAGTTAGTTGTTTCCAGTCTCGGATGATAGTTACCATAAGAGTCAAAGGCAGGATGACTCCGATCATGATGTCCAACTCCTGGATGATAATCATTGAATCTGTCAAAATTATCCAAGCCATATGAATTTCTGTTACCGTAAGGCGTATAACTATCTCTAGCAGGATTATAATGTCCAGAGTATCCATTTTGTGGGTACGGTGATGCATGTGGTGGCCTTCTTCTGTACCCAAATCCTCCAATTTCTTGAATTTCCGATATTTGTCGGTGTTGGCTTTCTCTCCTGAGAGCATCTATCAATACGTCAGCGGTTCGTTCAGCTTCAGCAATATTCTGAGGTGCAACTTGATCTTGTTCCGAATTTTGTGCCGACGGTTGTTGGTTTGTTAGTATATTTTGTCTATTATCGGAAATATCGACCACTTGTTGTTTATTCCTTTTGATAGAGCTTTGGATTTCTCTTCTGATCAGCGATTGGAAGTAATCCTCAATTCCAGCAAGTACTGTTACTTGTTCATTTGCTTCAATTGTATCTATTTGAAAGCATTTTCTTAACATGTTTTTGGGCACTCCTGCTAGAATTTTATTATATGTAGTTTCAGAGCTACTACCCTCCTTCACTTTCTCATTAATGTTGTCTTTCAGTTTTTTGCTAATGCCCCAAGGTACATCCTTCAACGTCAGGTCAACATATTGACTACACCAGTTCTCGAAACTATTCAATACTTGTGGTTGAATGATTTCAATTTGGTGAGGTGGTTTCTGATATCCAACTGCTCCATAAGTGGGTTGTTGATACCCATCATCTTTTCTAAGTGGTTCTGGTTCAATAAGAGATTCCACATCCAATTGTTGGCCATTGTCTTCAGTATTACCTTTGACGACATTTTCTATATGCCTTTTTATCAGAGAATTGAAGTATTCATCAAGTCCCGCAAGTACTGTTTTCTGGTATTTCAATTCTGTCATGTCTACTTGAAAGCACTTCGTTAACATTTCTTTGGGAATTCCGTCTAGAATCTTTCTGGTTAAGTAAGGCAAATCTGCCTTGCTACCGCCATTTTGAGCTACTTCTTTGGTTATATTGTCTTTCAGTTCTCTGCCAAGAAACCATGGTGCATCCATCAAAGATGTGTCAACATATTTATCACACCAGGTACTCAAATCAACATGAAATTGTTCATCGTGGGATTGAACAATATCATTTTGGGTCGATGGATTTTGTCGACCAAGAAGTAGCTTAGGCTCCACTAGATCATCAGGAACATCAACCACTTGTTGTTGATTCAGATTTTCGTTTTCTTGTTCAAGATTATGACCTTTGCCTGCATTGTATTGTTCCTCGTGGGATTGAATAATTTCATTTTGGGTGTATGGATTTTGTCGACCAGCAAGTAGTATGGGGTCCATTAGGTCGTCAGGAACATCAACCACTTGTTGTTGATTCAGATTTTCGTTTTCTTGTTCAAGATTATGACCTTTGCCTGCATTGTATTGTTCCTCGTGGGATTGAATAATTTCATTTTGGGTGTATGGATTTTGTCGACCAGCAAGTAGTATGGGGTCCATTAGGTCGTCAGGAACATCAACCACTTGTTGTTGATTCAGATTTTTGCTTTCTTGTTCAAGATTATAACTTTTGTCTGCAGTATATTGTTCATCGTGGGATTGAATAATTTCATCTCGGGTGTATGGATTTTGTCGGCCAATAACTAGTATAGGGTCTATTAGGTCGTCAGGATCATCAACTACTTGTTGTTGATTCAGATTTTCGCTTTCTTGTTCAAGATTAGAACCTTTGCCTGCAGTTTCTATTTCTCTATTGATTAAAGATTGAAAATAGTCTTCAAGACCGGTAATCAATATTTTTTGGTCTTTCTGATTTTTTATATTATTCAATTGGAAACATTTTCTCAACATGTCCTCCGGAATTTGTTGTTGAATTTTTTTCAGAACGAATGCAGACTCTGCCTTATTACCACCATTTTGGGATACTTCTTTTCTAATGCTGTTTTTCAATTCTTCGCTAAGAGACCATGGTGCGTCCATCAATGAACTGTCAACGTATTTTTTACACCACGCATCAGAATTGTTGATTTTTTGCTCTTCGGGTTTTTTCAATATCGGTATCTGAGTTACTTCCTCTAAATGTATTATAGATGTCACTTGGAGACATGGTTCTGGTACATGTGTTTCTTCAATATGTTTAGTGAAAACTGAGTCATGTTTTCCAATAGTGTGTTGCTCTAATTGTTGATATTTTTCAGTTGGCTCCTCAAGTTCTATTTGATCAGTAATAGGCACGCCATACTTTGTATCGTCTTTTTCAACTTGTTGTCCAAGTTCCAACTGTTCTATTTTTTGTACTAGTAATTTTTCAGTACTACTTTCCCCATCTTCAACTTGCTGTCCGAATTCTATGGGATGCGCTTCTTCAACTTGTTGGGTCAATTCGGAGTCTTCGATTTGCTGTCCAAGTGGTTCTTGATTTGTGAGTTGGAGTTTTCCGTTACCCGAATGTTCTTCCTCTATTTGTTGCCCAACGTCTAAGGGGCTTTGATTTTGATGGACTAATAATTTTCCGTAACCACTATCCTCAATTTGTTGTGTCAAGTCAGAGTCATCGATTTGTTGCCCAAGTGGTTCTTGATTTGATAATTGCAATTTTCCATAACCACTGTCCTCAACTTGTTGGGTCAGGTCAGAGTCATCGATTTGCTGCCCAAGTGGTTCTTGATTTGATAACTGCAATTTTCCATGACCACTGTCCTCAACTTGTTGAGTCAAGTCAGAGTCATCGATTTGTTGCCCAAGTGGTTCTTGATTTGATAATTGCAATTTTCCATAACCACTGTCTTCAATTTGTTGGGTCAAGTCAGAGTCATCGATTTGCTGCCCAAGTGGTTCTTGATTTGATAACTGCAATTTTCCATGACCACTGTCCTCAACTTGTTGAGTCAAGTCAGAGTCATCGATTTGCTGCCCAAGTGGTTTTTGATTTGATAATTGCAATTTTCCATAACCACTGTCCTCAACTTGTTGAGTCAAGTCAGAGTCATCGATTTGCTGCCCAAGTGGTTCTTGATTTGATAACTGCAATTTTCCATAACCACTGTCTTCAATTTGTTGGGTCAAGTCAGAGTCATCGATTTGCTGCCCAAGTGGTTCTTGATTTGATAATTGCAATTTTCCATAACCACTGTCCTCAACTTGTTGAGTCAAGTCAGAGTCATCGATGTGCTGTCCGAGTGGTTCTTGATTTGATAATTGCAATTTTCCATAGCTTTCTTCCTCTTGCTGCCCGAATTCTAGAGGATTTTGCACTTCTTGAACTAGGTCTGAGTTTTCCAGTTCTTGACCAAGTTCTATTTGTTGTCCAAGTTCTTGTTGATTTGTGCTTTCAGCGCGTCTTCCGTAGCTTGAATAATGATTTCCTGGGTAACTACTTATAGCACCAGAATAATGACTACTTTGCGAATGGTGTCTCGACCATGCATATGAAGAAGGAGAGTAACTTCTCTTTGCTCTGTAGCTTTGGTGACCATCACAGTCTTCCCCAGCAATAGATTCGTATCCAGATCTGTAATTAACGAATTATTCGCATCATTTGTTTATATTAAGTTCTTTCATTTTACAGTGCAATATTGTATGAGTTGAAAATGTGATGGTATACCTGTATTGTCCTTGGTCCTGGTATCCTCTAACTTGTCTATAGTTTGAACTACCGCTACTACTACTACTATAAGAACCATGGGTCTGGAAAGATCGTTGTAATCCTTGTCTGAGTTCTGACATTAGAGAATCTTGTAGTTGTGATCTTAACCTGTTGAAGGAAATAAAAGGTTCATAATAAAATCAGGAATTTAGTAGGTTTAAGGTTTCTGATATCTCCGAACCGAGTATGAATTCTTTTACGCAAATCGACTATCTTTTTCCCCATAAGTTCTTTGGCATCTCAAATTTCATATCCTTGGGTATTCTTCATTATAGGTTTACTTCATCCAATAGTTTAGTTCACCGGATATCAACTCAAATGAAGGAACAGGTAAAAGTATTGATACTATATTGAATTGATATTTTCACTAGTCATTCACATTGTTGTTGTTAAATTTTCAGTGTGCACCAACTTCTTACAAACTCATATGTGCTCATATTCCTTGAAATTAGCTTCGTCTGTTTATTTTTTAGATGATTTATTCAACAATGCCCTTGAGCAAATATTTAAGCCCATTTATTCTCAAGTTCTTAGACACTCAGATTGGACACAGACAATGCAAAATCTGTCATCATGACGTAAAAAACGTTCATTATCATTTCCTGTGGTTCATAATATGAGACATTGTTTGCACATGTTCCCATAATTCTTCTGGAAAAAAATCCACTCAAAATGATGAAGGAAATTATATAAGAATCATCCCCACAGATATGAAGATCGTAGAATTTGCTATATATAGTTTACTAACCTTTCCATTTGAGTACTATCAAAATTTCCATACGCAGCATATGAGCCGCTGGCACTGTACTCTTGAAGGTTTTTAGTCAGATTCCTGTTCAACTCATTGGACAGTTCTTGCAGTGACGCCTGGTAGTTGGAAGGGTTGTAACTGCTTCCTGACGATGAATACGAAGAATGTTGTTCTTGGTTGATGGCAGCTTGCAGCTGCCTCGAGAGTTGGTCTTGGAGGTTCCGTTGAAGCTGGGCCATGTTGCCAGAACTTTGGGCTTCGTATCCAGATTGTTGAGAACCTAAAAAAAAGATCTGAAGTTGCAGAACAGCGCCGATGAAGAGCAATCTATAATAACGTCGTGATCTTTATATTGGATGATTGTTTTAATGGGGAACATTCTTCGGAACTCTGTTTGATATTGCTCGGTTTTACCGAAATCAACATCAATTTCCGAAATCCTTTAAAAAATAAATGCAGTATTGAAGGACAATAATTAATATCAAACAATTTTGGAAATGGAACCATAACTCTCAATGTTCATAGTATATTATGTAACAAGTGTTATAAACGTCCTTTAAGTAACCAGTAAACGAGTGTCTAGAAGAGCCTATAAACGCGTTACATACTATACTTTTTCTACGAACTGATAATTCCTCTCTTTGACAAGATAATATACACGATACTATAAAACTGCATGCAACCAACGAGAGACGTATAAGGGATATTGGTTGTAGATATGTTGCCAGGTAAGGTTAGGATACATGAATGGCTTGGTTGCTAACCTTTGTGAAAAAAAAGTTTCCATCTGACGTAGAAGATAAAAACTCTTTCACTCGTTCAGATATCAAAGTATTCCATTTGTCAGGTTATTGTATCCATATTCTGATTGCATAATTTTGCTCAAATAAATATTTTGTTTTACGTTCATTGTCATTTAGCACACTAAAAAATGAATTGCTCACAAAGATGAAAGCTTCTGTTTTACTCACAGTTCTTGGAAATATGCAATTGCCTAAAACATTCTCTCCGATTTCACTTTCGTCAACAGTTCGCATACATTTTTAATGAAGAATCCTGACACAAACAGAAATTTTTTGAATGAGTCTGATTGCAACATAATTCCAAAATGACAGTTGACAGTTCCAACAATTGAAAGGCCGGACAGGACTCAAACGACTGAAGTTCTATAGAAATGGAATATTCCCAGGTAAATTATGAACATGAAAAAATTGTGTGTTTGAAAAACTTTGTTGCCATAGTAACGTGTTTAATTTTTTGAATAAATCACAGATCATCAATCCCTGATTAATCGATCATTTAGCGTGGTACATATTCGTACGCAAAATGCCATTTTAGTTATGTGAGTGTATTTTAGAGAATGAAGCACTCAACATTATTGATGAAGTCACAAATGCTACTATGTTGTTGTTGGTTTCAAAGCCATCTGTATCTTGAATATTATGAGATATTACGATTTTCGAAATATTTTTCCATGAATGAACCATTTGAAAATTCAATGATATAATTCCATCCACAATATTGATCATGAAACACTTTGAAGATTTTTTATATTTTCAGACGTGGATACTCTTATGACCCAATATATAATGAAGTTCCAGATTAACTAAAAAATTGTACATCCAATTATCAATATTTTGATTACTCTATTCATACATACCTCCCAAGTAGTTGTAACTTCCGCCATTCTTTATGTAGGCGGCTCCATTTGAGGATGGTGTAGTATATAAACTATAAATAGAACTTCGAGGAGTTGTATAAACTTCATATCTGGGATTCGAGATACTTTCATATCGTGGTGTGCTGCTATACCCGTAGTTGTTTCCATAACTGGACTGACTCGAATATGATTGGTGTGAAGACCAACTGAAATGAAATTTGATGATGCATATCGGGTTCTTTTTGTAATGATAGATTACATAATTATGAGAGTTGATCCAGAAATAAATGTTTTTACCGAGGTTTTTACTGAAAGAATACAGGGAGAACTTAAAGTGCACGCCGAATTTAAATAACCTGAAATTTAGCCAAGTACTGGTCCATATTCATGTTTTGTACACGAAAATAGCACCTAGTATATTCTCACATTTTTTTTTTATTTTTGTTGTATAGGGCTCGGTATAGAGTAATCAGACATATATCGTATGAAATATCGATTTGTTAAGTGGTAGAACAGTGTAGTACATATATAATTATTTTTAAAATGAGCCGAAATTAATAAAATTCCGGGTAGAACGACCTAGCAACTACCGACCTATCGCACTACTATCTATTATTTCAAATATCATGGAGAAAGCTATCAACATGAAATACCTGGAACATTCAGGAATTATCAACGATAGGCAATATGGCTTCCGTCATCAGAGATCAACTGGTGACCTGCTCGCTTAAGTCTCACATATATGGCAGTAATCTATTGAAAAATATGGTGAAACCTTAGCCGTGGCACTTGATATCTCCAAGGCATTCGATCGAGTCTGGCACCACGGACTCCTCGCCAAGCTTCCAGCTTATGGCTTGCCTCCCCAGCTATGTTCTCTGCTAGCTAGTTTCCTCTCGAACATGTCTCTCCATGTAGTGGTCGACGGAGTTTCATCCGATTCTCTTATCATAAATGCTGGTGTTCCGCAAGGATCAATTCAAGCACCAACTCTATTTCTACTCCATATCAACGATTTGTCAGCAACGAACGAGGGAGAAATGTTGACAACATGAATATGGACTTCTCGAATGGGGATCCAATTACTTGCTTGATTTCAATGCGAACAAAACACAAGCATGCCTTTTCTCTAGAAAAGCCGATCTCACTGTGCCCAACAGAAGCCTGTCAAAAACTTGGTTTTCTGTTTCAGGAGTAACCATTGAAGACACCCATTTCGATGCTTGGTATTACTATCAGCAATAACCTCTCTTGGGAAAATCACGTGAGATCAATTGCTAAAAGTGCATCCCAAAAACTTGGTTTTATGTTCCGGGCCAGGAGCTATTTCACTTCCAGTCAGCTGCTTATGATCTATAAGGCACAGATCCGACCTGTCCTGGAATACTGTTCCCATATTTGGAACGCAGCACCCAAACATACCGTGAAACTGTTGGATTCTGTCCAAAAAAGGGCAATTCGTCTCGTGGGTGATGCCTCGCTCACAAACTCACTCACTTCTCTGGAACACCGTAGAAAAGTTGGCGATCTGGCTCTATTTTGTAGATATTTCCATGGACGATGCTCTTCTGAAATATCAACACTTGTTCCTCCCTTGGCAGTTTTCGCGAGATTAACCCGTCGAGTTGAGGCTTCGCACCCCTTCATGGTCACTTTGGAGACCTGCAGAACATCTCTTTCCAAAGACGCGTCCATCCAACGAACAGCGAGGCACATTGCCAAAGGAGGTGTTCCCCGAGGCATATAACCTCCAGAAATTCAAGAAGAACACTAATTCCTACCTTATTTCCCTTGGTTCTAACGATGTTCCCTGAACATTACAGGATATCGCTTTTAGTGGGAACCAGAACGTAAAAAAAATTATAACTCACCTGCTTCTGTATCCTTCGAAATCTCTGTTCAACTTGTTGATCAAGTTCCTCTCGACCTGCGTCTTCAAATTCTCCAAATCGCGCAGCGCGTAATTGTACTCGCCAGACGACTGCCCGCTGGGCCCCAGAGAGTACATGTAGCCGTCCCTCTGCTGCTGCGTGCCGTAGTTCCTCCTGATGTTCTCGTCCAGAAGGTAGGTCAGGTTGCTGCGCAGCTCGTTGCGCAGCCTCTCCAGCAACACGTCGGTGTTGGTGAGCGCGTAGGCGGAACTGGACGAGAAATACTTCGCCTTGGTGTCGTCCAGCAGCTGGTTCAGCTGCTGGTCCATCTCGGTCTGCACTCTGGAGGCTATGTTGGTGATGCTCTCCGGTTGCTGGACCGGCGTATAACGGGTGTTGGAGTTGACCGTTTGGTAGTTGGAGGATTTGATCGTTTGGTAGTTGGCGTGGTTGTTGTAGTCGATGGGGTATCGCGAGGTGGTTGGCAGCGAAGGGTAGATCGGTCGGTATACGGAGTGTGGGGTGGTTGTGTATCCATAAACACCTGTTGAATCGTATTCTTCGTTATATCGCAAGGATTACTTCGAGGGTAATATAATATTCGAAGGGAACGAGGTCTGGAAAATTTGTTGAACGACTAAGTTCCAAGTTTCAGGTCAGTCATTGAGAACGATTGCCTGTATGAGTTTTTCGCGGCAAAAACTATTCTCTCAAAATTACTCATGACGTTAGAATTCGATTTAACTAGGAGAACCAAGTTTTAACTGCGCTCTTGAGACAACTGTAGTTTTATCTATAGTATATTCCAGAATGTTCCAGATAATGACAAAGTAGATGGCATGGATGGTTGAGCCCGCTTCAGACTAGTGAACTTGTCAAATACACTCAATAACCAAATAACTCAACATTCGATTCTATTCTAGATAGTTATTTGACAGCTAACCGGTCAATTAACCACTTCCATTTCTGATCGTCAATAACGAGATTGCTATTGTAGGTACCTTTATATATTTTTTGAATTGTTTCTCATACAGAATCAGATATTTCAAAAAGAGTATTACTATTCGAGGAAAAAATTACATTCGCTGACATGAGAGTTGAAATTAGAAAGAATATATTATTAGATATTTGGACATTCTGTTTGGATTTGAATAGCTGCGCTATGGCTCAGGGCGTTTCTTGACAGTCAGATTGTACATTATGTTTCTAGAGGTAATAATTGTTCTCAATTTCTCAATAATCATTTTTCTCAGTTGAAAGTCAACCTTACCTTGTTGATTGTAATACTGATTGGATGAACTCGAGCTACTGTGATATTGAGTCCTTAGTTGATTCATCAAAGTGTTTTCTACTTGTCTCTTGAGATCAGCTAACTCTTGGCTTCCGTAATTCGCAGTCGAATGCAATCGTCCTCCATCCAACGAATAGGACATGCCATCTCTGATCATTTGTTGCCCATACCTAGAAGAGAATTGTTTATACATAAGTTTCGAAAATTACTTGACTCCGAGCTTGACTCTCACTGAACATTTGTAAAATACAGAAGATACAGTAAGTGCTTATCCTAACATACATTTTTTCAAACCACTTTCAAACCGGACCTTAATTTACTTATTACAGATTGAATCGTATATTTTCTCGGAATACTCATCTGATTTGAATTGAAATAGCTTTTCATCCATGCTACAGAAAGTGGAATTTGTGTTGTGATTCGCAGTTGAATCGTTTCAAAATGAAATATATGTTACTGACTATGACACAAATTCAAAAATATTCTGATTTTTTGTAGGCCATGACATTCAAAAAGCTCTGGTGGACGTTGGTGTAATTTAATTTTTTACAATTTTTAGATAACTAAAATTTTCTATGACATGTATCATAGCCACTACCCAAATCTTTTTCGTAGTTCTGGGACTGTATCGTTGATTCCGAAGTAAAGTAAAAAAATATTCAACTGGTACTTATTAAATAAGAATAATCAACTTCAACGCAATATCTGTGAAAATCAAAATTCCACAAATTTTGCATTGTCGAAACCTGCTTCTTCAAAAAGGGATCTTCAAAGGCAGGCCGCAGAGATGAGATGTCGATAAAACTTGCTCAAATCGAATTAGAAGTGGACACATTTTATGTACTATGAGTTTAATGACTCATTCAACTTTAATGAATGGAGATCAGTTGGCTGATTTCGTAGCATCTACTTCTTTTCTCTTCTACCTTATCAAGATAATTCAAATTCCAAGTTGAAGTTCAGAAAATGAAATTTTGCCTGACTTTCTCCTTTAAATAAATAAATAAATAAATTGATGGACAATATGTCCATTAACACGATCAGATATTCATCTGATTTTGTAGCAGCCATTTCAATCCTTTTCCACCTTCTTTTTTTGAAATTCAAAAAGTTAGAGCTGAATGAATGTTTGAATATTTTTTTTACATGAATGTTGAAAACTATCCCAAATACGATCAGATTCAATTGTCTGATTTTGAATCATCATTTCCAGCCCTCTTCCACCATCTCATCAAAATAATCCAAATTCCTGATCATAGCTCAGAAAACTAATATTTGAATGATTTTGGAAGTATTTTTAATCTATTGAAATGGATGCTATAGAATTAGATCGTGTTCAAAGTAGATATTAGTGATACTAGTGTTGACGTCATTAAAATCATAGTATTTCCATATCGTGTTTATGTGTTCTGCCTTTGAAGATCACCTTCGTTGCTAGATGATTTCACATCAACAAAGAAGAAAATCCCTTGTCTCGGTAGCATGATTTAATGGACAATCGAAGCTTATAGCTCCTACTAAATTGTTCATGGTACTACTGGGAATAATGAAGTTGAGGTCACTACTGCTAAAAAAAAAAAAGATTTTTTTTTCACTTTAAAAAAGCAACATTTGGTGTTTTGTTACTTCTGTTAATTTTGTGATGATATCTTGATTGATGAAAAAAATCACGGGCTGCTACATATCCACTTCCTGGTCTACTAACTGTATAAGTATATCTGTATATTTTTTGATAACGATGTATTCTCACCTAGCTATGAGCTCATTATTGAGTCTCTCAGTTAAATTGTTCCTAAGTTCTCTCTCTAACTCAGCGATGTCGACTCGTGACTGGGCATACATATTGTTGACGCGAATCGCCTCTTGGAGATCATTCTCTAAATCCTGTTGAAGACGGGTGGTTATGACCCGAAGATTAGCTGCTGAAGAGCTGGAGGAACTTGAAGAACCTGCTCCATAGCTGTTAGATCCATATCCTGGGAAGAAAAGCATATTCCATCATTTTGTTGAATGCATTATTGCGAGTTATTCTAGAATGAACCTGTAATATAGCTTATAGAAATCATTTTTGATATTTCCAAAGATGTGGATTATGTAGTTAATCTTATGGATGAAACAAATTGAAACATTAACAATGAAGACAACTGTGGATCAATTGGATTGATTGGATAACAGGCTATGATAGGAATGACCACGATATTTCTAAAGCTCGGCTCCACGATGGCAACGACTTGTAATGGTATTTACGACTTATTCCGAGTATATCGAACATAACTCAAAATTTCGGACAAAATTATTCCAGATTGAATCTAAATTTTCATCTTTCGAAGATGTCAACATGATTAGAGAACACTTTCTGAGGTTTCCGGCATAACTACATACATCTAGACCGCATACTACCTAGTATCTAGACCGCATACTACCTAGTATCTAGACCGCTGTATGCTTGAAAAAAATCTCAAAAATTTTCCATCAAATTGGTAGTATGGAGAATTTTTCAATATTTTGCAGAGGTTTGTTTGTCACCCTGTATAGCCAAAGGTCGCCATGTATTTCTATCAGCGGTCTATCATATACCCAATGGATCAATCTTCAGGATATAGAAAACCCGAGAGAAAACCGCATCCGAATAAGTGGAATTTTCGCGAAAATATTCAATGTTGAATTTAGAGCCAAAATGTGCTTGATGCGGTTCGATTGATCAGCAGCTTAGTTACAGTTACCTGAAGAATATCCTGACGAGTAGCCTCTGCTGCCCACAATACGATCATTATGGGCCAAACCATCTACAGCCAAGTTATTGGCATCGTACCCGCTGTAGTCGTTGGCTGCCCTCATGTGCCCTAAGGAAGTTAGGTCGGAGCCACCTCCATAGCCACTCGTGTACTGGCTGCCCAGGTTGCCATACTGGCTGTTTCTTAGGTTCGGATTGACGTATTCGGAGTGTTCGCTGTTGGAGTCGACTCGAGGTTTCGTATGGCCTTCCAGATCACCGTCTTTCTTGTAATAGCCTAGAAAAAAACATTGACTCTTCTCAATAGAGTAGTTGTGTATATTCTAGGCCACACGATGATCTGAGTGACTCATATGACGAACTACATGATGGAACACATCTCAACATTGAAGAAATCGCCATTGAACAGATAATGAGTGCAGCAAAAAAACTGAAAAATGAACTGTCTTCTGGACCAGACAACATACCAATGAAATTTTCACGAGTTTCTCCAGTATTCAAATCTGGAGAGAAGAATAACGTCATTAATTATAGGCCTATTTCTTTGATTTCTGTGTTTTCAAAATTATTCGAAATAATTATCGCAGATGAAATTTATAATAATGATCGTCAGATGAACAACTTATGTATTTTGACAGAATTCATATCTAGTTCTCTGGATAAAAGAAAGCAAGTCGATGTGGTATTCGCGGATTTTGGGAAAGCCTTCGATAAAATCCCTCATCAACGTCTACTGGAAAAATTAACAAAATTTGGTAGGTATATCCTCAAGATTGCAACAACTATTAAAATCGTTTTTAACTAATAGAAAGTTATTTGTGGAATATGAAGGAGTTAAATCAATCACGTTTGTGTCAACATCAGGGGTTCCACAAGGTTCAAACTTGGGACCACTGTTGTTTCTCTTATTCGTCAATGACATATGTGACTCGAAAACTCTACTATATGCCGATGATTTGAAGTTATACCATGAGATAAATGATTTTAGAGATTGTCAACAATTACATAAAGATTTAGTGACTCTAAATGATTGGTGTATAGAAAACAATTTACTCCTCAATCACACCAAGTGCAAGGTAGGTAATGACATTTTCCCGTAAGAATGTTTCTCATAGTGTACCTACGTAACACGTGCGTAAAGTGACTTTTCGTCACGAGATTGCTGGCCGAACTTCACTAAGCGTCGTTCGGCCATCTGCAATCGCGTGCGGAAAAACATCACTTTCCGCACTTGTTAGGTTAACTACTATTATAGAACGAATATCCTCTGCTAATATTTCTAGAATCAAAGGAATACACAAATCAACAGTCAAAAATTGATATGTATTTGGGCAACTCACCTTGGTCGTCGGTTTTGTGTTGGAGCTCGTTGTTCTTGAAGGACGATGAGGACGTTTTGTAGTTGTACTCTTGATGGTAGTATCCATTTGGAACAGCCAAAGTACTGCTTAGCACTGCTAGACACAGCACCGGCAATTTCATCATTGACTGGCTTGACACGAATAAAATATATTATTTCTCTAATATTTTAAAAGCCATTTATATATCAAGGGAGCAAAGTTTATCATTTCCTCCCGCGTGTGTAGTTTCATGCCCCACGCGTAGCGAACGCATACCTATATTTGAGAGCGTCGTTCTTAAAATTGTGCTTCAAGCGTTGAAAATTTATAATGGTTTTTCCGGCAAAGCATATTGTATACAATTTAAAAAGTTCATTTGAACATTCGTGTTGATCAATAGTCAATACCATTTTTGAATATATGACTCTCATCCTCTTCACAAAGTACACAGGGTGGTCAGAATAAAACTTCAACTTTCTCAAATTTCAAATGCTCGTAACTCAATTATTTCATATGGCTCACCCTGTACAATTTCACACTATCCTATAGATATTTCAATAGGCTTTCGACTAATATGGGGTTTGACGTAGCTAAACATTATAGTTCAGCTGTTTTATTGAATTTCACGCGATATTTGATAGTTTCTCTCATTTTTGAGCACCGTGTAGGATCTGAGTGCTTATCTGATTTCTATATTTGGCGTCGGATTTTCAAAAACAGAAAACCAGAATCAAGCATTATTTGATGATAATCCATAATATGATGTTGAAATATGTTCCATTCAAAAAGAAACATAAGTTTGATGTGTAAATTTTTTTGAGATACACTGTATTGGTCCACCCTATACAAGTCTGTGTAAATAAATGAATAAACACACTTATAGGTCATGCAGGACAAACAAAAATTTTTAAACTACATCATGTCACATTGAGAAACATATCTTTATTTTTTCACTTGATTTCTAGTGAATTATTATTGATGCGAACTTAAACGAAAATTTATCAACTAAGGTCATTATGTCAAAGAAAACAAAATCATGTAAATGAGCTGATTATCTGTTTGTACTAACATAACTTATGTATTGATTATTATTATAATAAATATTTAGGTTCAAATTCAAAATCAAACTTTGGTCTATGATTTCTATGGATACATTAATGGAGGATTCGCTGTGACTATTCAATCAATAGTATCAAAGAAGTCCTATATAATAATGAATATCATCATCATTCCTTGTAACCTGTTAATGATTTGATTCGGTAACATAGTTATAATTGTATTATTATTATTATACCTAATTTTATTGGAGTTGAAATAAGAACAAATGTACTTCTTTATTATTTTAACGTCGTAGTTTGATTCAAACTCGAACTGTATTTCGCTCTTCATATTTTTTCTCCGCATGTTACTGGTACAGTTACTAACTTTTTCTTCCGACTTTGTAGAAATTATTGTTTTTTCTTGTCGTCGATTTTGATATTTTTATTCTGCCCAACAGACAGTAATGTTGAATAGGCAGAAAAAAGAATGATGAAGATTATACAATGTCCATGAATTTCAGGCACTTTTTTTCAGGAATAAATTCACTTTGTAATGACACTATTCATCTTCAATAATTTTTACTCACCCGTAAGATTTTCTCCAATCGGTCACAATTTTGCACAAAATGATACTGAATGATCCGTTCAATCTAGTGATTATATGTATTTGGACTTATCTGACTTGACCCCCACTTGTCTTATAGTTCTCGTAATTAATTAAGAAATAAAACAATCGGAGCAATTATTTTGCTGAAAAAAATACTGCAATAATATTCTCTGAATTCTTGTAAATCTGGGATATCAGGGTAAGGTTACATTGTTGTTGATATTTTTTTCTTTTCAACCGAATAATAATGCTTCTCCCGAAACATCAGTTTGTCCAAACATTCCATACTACCTCATTTGTTTACAGTGATTTATGGTATTCGAAATTATAATCGGTAAGTAGAAGAAATACTACTCAATACCGATACTAGGCTATTGCATATTCTCCCATCAAATCGAATTTTAAGGACTTCAGACATAATAACGCTGGGCCTGCAAATGAAGGCCAGAGTGTATATTTATCACAAAAGATATCCAGTCTGATGCAAGTTTTTTTCCCATCCTATTGTCTGGATACGTGTTGATACGACTTGTTACGTATGTTGCTATATTATTATAGTCAATACTTTCAGTTCCTAGGATCAAAAGTTAAACTTTGAATTCAACGCACTAAAAGTATCAAAATGCAGCCTGATGTTCTCTGCATATATTTGTGTGTAATCTTATATAATTTTCTGTCCTCATGATATATATTTTTCATGCTTAATTTTTCAATGTTTCTATTGATCAAGATAGTCTCTTAGTGCTAGTACTCAATTGATGTTCCCATCTGAAGTTAGATCGCAAATTTTCTGTTTCACCAAGTATTCAACACAATCATGAGAATTTACAAAAACATTTTCTTGTGATATTTTCTGACATGTATTCTTGGAATACTTGCTTCATTTCCACATTTTACTTTTTTATTATGAAACAGAAGAACTTGATTCACGAATACTGTTGGTAGGTTGATCGAGGAGGTGAAAACATTGATTTCTTTAAATTTTTCAGATTTTTTCTTTTCGTCTCTATATAGATACGAATATCAGTATTATACAGTGTGACACACTTAAGATTAAGACACCCAATTATTTCAGTCATTTTTGAAAGCAGATATTTGATTTTTTGTACAGTTGTAGACCTTCATGGGCCACACTTTTCGCAGTCGCAATACTCAGCTCGTGTGACTCAAACTCATCCTGCTGCAATCCCACGAAAAGGACAAACTCGATATTTTGCTTCGCATTGGAGATACTGAAAAAACTTAATTGAGAAAGTTGCTTAGAAATTGATTTGACCCTACATACCAAAGATCATCTTAAAATTCGAATTTTGATTTTCATATTCGAGTTCGGCTTTCGATTAATGGTTCTGAATAAAAAGCTGCAAGAATGATTAAATAGTCAGAATAAACAGAATAACTGATTGAAATAACTTATATTGAAAGACTTTGGTATACAAGGGTTCTATCTGCTGAATTCTTCATTTTGAGAGGTCAACTATCGCAATCTGATGGAATTTAAGTGAGTTAGTCATAATGCATAGTTCTATATACAGAACGTTTATCGTTGAATTCGGTGTAACAACATCCTAACTACGTAATGTGGTTTATCGTGGTCCTATCTACATCCAGATAGAACTTTGTTTTATCAAACCAATACATATGCACCCTTGTTATCCTAGTTCCTAATCATGAAACATTCACAGTCATTTTGAGAAGTACACATGAATCTAACTGATTTTCGTTCACCTTTTCCTTTCATCAAGAATTTGAAAGCACTGAATAAAAAAAGCCATACTGCCTAAAAGCCAAGCTCCAATACCGGCGGCCCGGTGGTCGACAGCGCGAAGGCGCTGAGTTCGTATGGGGACTCCCACCGAGGCATGGGTTCGAATCCCAGTTAGGCCATGGATGTTTGTAAATGTATGCTTTCCTAACCCCGCACAAGTTTCGACTTATGGGGCGTTGGATCCAGTGCTGGGTTCAACGAGGAAATGCAATTGAAAAAAAAAATACAAGAATATTCCTTTTTCTCAAGTTGCTGCATTGATAGAAGATGAACGTAAATAAAAAAATGAGAGCAGCATGAACGAGACTGACAGAAACTATTTCGCTGCATTTCTGAAAGGTCTATGTAGAATCAGCCATTTTGTACGTCTCCATTTCGATAATTCGAAATATTCTTTTCCAAAAATCTACGTGTCGCATATTTTTTCAAGATTTTACTATTAATACTACCCATGTACTTATACCTAATATACATTGAATCAGAAATGTATCTGATGGTACTTAGAATATTTCAAATTAGCTTCCTCGTATAACTTCATGATAAAAAGACGTATATTATTGTATTAAGTCAGTTAGAACCTTGTTGAATTACTTGAATAGGAAATTCTTCTGAAGAACAAAGTTCTATCTACATTTCAGATGTTCGAATTGACAATTATCTGAAAATGGAAGAAGGAAAAAAATTTACTAAATAAATAATAAATAAAAATAATAAAATAGAATATTGATTCGTCCTTTTTCCTGTCACATAATTTTTTTTTATGTTTTCTCACGGTTTTTTGTCTCCGTCAATACGCGTCGGGAGATAACACAACCTGGAGCTCGACCTGGAGCTATAATCTACTACTTTTTTCCCTTGTATAATAAATAATAATAAATAATGAGGAAAGAGCATCCCAAAAATAAATAGAACTGTATTCATGAAATTAACAGAAATATCTTTGAAAGAGGCACACTACGTAAAGGAATTATAATTTAATTTCTGTCAACATCACCGTGGCTCTTTGTTTTTTATCAATCCACCAATTGTTTCATTTACAATCAATCGACATGACAATCATTAATTTTAAAAATGTCCAGGCATGACATTCAGAATTTATTCAATCGTCAATGATTTCTGAAAAATTACTTCGCGGATTCAGAGGAATGGGATCTCACGCCGAATATTTCCCTTAATTGAAATCAAAAAGAGGTCATTTACATCTGAGAATATTGGGTTATGAAAGTTTCATAGAATTCTGGAACTTATCAGTTATTTATTGTGTCAAGAACATCGCTGAATCAAAATAATGATGAGTGATTTGTAGTAGAATGTGTTGTTTTCACTAAATTGATAATACATTGATAACTTCGCGGTATTATTTTTTATTTTTATTTATCTTATATTGATGCGTTTTCATCTCGCATCCTTAGCAAAAGATATGGAAATTTCAAATCTTATTACTTATAGTCTTTCTAAATAGCAAGTAGCTTATAATTTCAATACTTACATCTGTGTAGGAAGAAGTGATTTAATTTTTTTTCAAAATAAATAATATAATATAAAGAATAAAATATGCCACGGCGAACATTGAATTACATCTATTGAACACACACGATAAGAATTAGAAAACAAAATCTTCTGAAGTAGAGAATATGCATATAGCCAGGAAAGTAGTTGTTTTCTGTTGAATAAACCGAGAAAGAATTAATATTTTCATCACATGGAGAATGCGAATTCTCAATGTATTTCTTTATACAGTGTGACCCATTTAAAATGGAACCACCCCTGTGTCTTACGTAATCGTTGGGTAAGGATCCTGAAATTTGCTGGAGCGAGAGATATGCCAAAAATGCACTCCATGACCAAGTGGGGTCATCTTCAGTGATATACACTGCTCGCCAACAGCCATGAAACTACCCCAATTTCCGGAAAATGATATTAGGAGTCAAAATAGGTCAAAAATCACTTCAGATTTGGAATCAGGACGCCCAATTTACTAACTTTTCAAATTTTCCCTGGAAAAACTGCTCGCCAACAGCCATGAAACTACCCCAATTTCCGGAAAATGATATTAGGAGTCGAAATAGGTCGAAAATCACGTCAGATTTGGAATCAGGACGCCCAAGTTACTAACTTTTCAAATTTTTCCTGGAAAATTTTCAGTTCGGAAAAATGAAATTTTGTCGCATTTTTTATGGAAGCACCCCCGTATCTCACGTAATTGACTTTATCCGCGTAATATATCAATCAACGTAAGCGTAATATATCAATCAACGCTTTATCTTTGGACTTTCTCTTCCTCTTACGTAAGATACAGGGTTCTAACTGCAGAATTCTTCATTTTGAGAGGTCAACTATCGCAATCTGTTGGAATTTTAGTCAGTTAGTCATAATGCACAGTTCTATCTACAGAACGTTTCTCTTTGAATTCGATGTAACAACTTCCTAACTATATAATGTGGTTCATCATGGTCCTATCTACATCCAGATAGAACTTTGTTTCATCAAACCAATACATATTCACCCTTGTTATCCCAATTCATAATCATTGAACATTCAGTCATATTGAGAAGTACATATTGATCTAACTGATTTTCGTTCACCTTTACCTTCCATCAAGAATTTGAAAGCACTGAATAAAAAAAGCCATACTGCATCTAATAGCTGAAAGTTACCGATTTCAATAATTTTGAAAGTTGTGCCAAGCTCTGAATTACATATTACGCTTTCTGAATTACATTTAACTAATCTGAATTTCAAGTTATACTTCCTGAATGTCAAATAACTATTCTGAATTACAACTCATACTTTCTGAATTATATCTTATACTTTCTTAATTACAACTGAAAAAGGTGTAGTGGTAGAACTGGTCAGATCCTGCACTTGATTTGCGTATGGGAATGTTCCATTCCAAAAAGATTGTAAATAAAATGAATAGACCACCTCCTAGAAGTAGGTACATACCAGTATGAGAGTGACTTTTTTTTCCAGAAATCGGCATCAACTATTCGTTTTTTCAACCGGACCGACTATTACACAGTTCATGGAGATGACACAACCATCACCGCAGATTTTCTTTCCTCCGCCACTAAGTACATGGGGGATCATCAGAAACTGGCCTACGTCTGTCTCAATAAGAACCAATTCGAAAATTTCCTGAGAGAGCTCCTACTGGTCAGGCAGTACCGCGTGGAGGTTTATGTTACTTCTTCCCAGAAAAATAATGATTGGCAGCTGGAATACAAAGGATCTCCCGGAAATGTGTCACAGTTTGAGGATATTTTGTTCGAGAATGCCAATATTGAATACACTAATTCTGTTATGGGGGTTAAAGTTCTTCCAAATAAGGTGAGACTAGAACTCTAACTCTAACTAGAACAAATTGGATATTATTCACCCGAATGGGACTGTTAAATCATCATTCTCTCATTTGAAAGTACTATATAAGCTAATCTTATTATTCCTATTCACTACTACAACCCGATTCTACCTGAGAGCAGTAATTCGTTTAAATAATAATTATTGAAATCTACATATTACAAATAATCCATCTACCGTGTTGAAATATAAACAAAATATTCAATTTGTGTGTGGCTAAAGGAAGAATGTCGTAGATTTCGGCATATACTCTCATTATCTATCTGACTTTCTGAAAAGTATTAATATTTTTATTTCTGACAGTGACATTATAAGCTTATATCGTCATAGTTGCGATATCTATTATGAGGGTCATAACTCCCTTGGGATGTTATAGATGCTATAATTCCCTCTAACTAAAATTAAATAAGAAATGCATAGCAACAACCACGCAATAACGTAGCAATAAGGAATCTCCTATTCGCGGTAGTCAAGATCATCATCTGACGTTCTGATGACATTGAAACTATACGGAAAAACATGTCTAACTTTCAATCGGGAAGGTATCTAATGAATGAAATCAGTCAGAAATAAAATTATCTATGTATCACGGGAATTACTGAGCCTCAATAACCTCAGGCGTCCCTCGGGCCAGAGGCCCTCGGGACGCAAACTTTGCCATCGGTAATTAAGGCCCTCATAATTCTCTTAATACATAAATAACTATTATGGGTGTGTATGTAATAAGTATGTATAGTTTTTATCTGTGATCTAATCTATTCACATTGGTATTAGTTATTAGTTGATTACATTAAGTACATTTGTACTCATATTTAAATATAAATTCTTTCAAATTATTAATACTATTAGTTCATGTTGATGTTTTTGTTGAATGAAGTTCAAATATGTTCGAATCCGCGAAAATGATGTTTATCCTTTGACCATATTATACTCCTTGAACAGAAATATATTCCACGACACTCGTGGAGATGATTTTGAGTTTTTTTTAGTTATTAAGAATAATATGTTGTGTCTTTTTTTACCTCTTGGAGCCAATGAAAAGACATTCCTATAATGTTCAAAGAACACTGTGTCTTCTTGGAATAATAAGTCTGGTTTTATCCTCATCAAGTTGATTATGAAATTTAATAATTTTAGTCCTTAAGGCTCCTATCATTTGGTATTTTTAGGTTTTGGCCATAAGCTGTGTAAATATCACAGATTCCAAACTTGAAGTTTGTGAAATTAGTGATAACGAATTATTTTCCGAATTAGAAGCACTAATTGCCCAAATTGGTCCAAAAGAATGCATAATACCATCAGGCGAATCCCCTGAACTGGCACTATTGAAAACGCTTCTTGAACGAAATGGAATCCTGGTAGCCAGCGTGAAACGGTCAGATTTCACTAAAGATGCCATCATACAAGATTTGAACAGGCTTCTCTTTTTTCATAAAGATCAGCAACGAAACGCATCATGTCATCGCGAAACCAACCTCACAGAAGCCATGGGATGCCTTCAAGCCGTCATCAAATTCTTGAACCTGACAGGAGATGAGAGTAACTTCAACCAGTTCAAGCTCGGTTCTTTAGATGCCCATAGGTTTGTGAGGCTTGATAACGCTGCCTTGTATGCTTTGAACGTATTTCCTAAGGTGATGTCACATAATGTAGAAACTATACAGAGCATAACAGCTTCAAAGACTTCTAGCTTGAAGGGTCTGTTGGATAATTGTGTAACCCCACAGGTATTATTTCAGATACATTAATTTTGAATGATTATTGATTTCATCACTTGTGGATTCAGGGAAGAAGACTTTTGGATCAATGGCTAAAACAACCGTTGAAAGACTACAATGCAATTAACGATCGCTTGGATATTGTTGAAGCCCTTGTCAAGGACACTGAGACCAGGACAGTTCTTCTCAAGGATATTGTGCCTAGGATTGCTGACCTCACGCCGTTATTGAGAAAGCTTTCCTGCAAAAAAACTAACTTACAAGACTGCTATAGAATATATCAAACTCTCAACAACATACCTAGTATTGTACAGGTTAGTTCCTCTTAACATTTCTTTATTGAGACCAGAAATTAACTAAGATTTGATGCACTTACCAACTGCCGCTTACCAACACAACTTACTATCTAGACCGCTTTGAAGCCTGAAAACGCTTTTCCAAACTCAATTCTTGACATCCACTGTCTCTTGGTATTCGGAAATATGAATAAGATATATGACGATATCGTAAATGGGATGAGATTTCGTCTTATTGCATAGAGGTCTGGATAGTAGGTTATATCGGTGGTCCCGCTGTACTATATGTCAAACATGACAGCCTGCTTACATAGCCATGAAAGGTGTTATTTTGTCACCGTCACTAATCGTATCGATAAACACCATTACTATTGTTAGGTTTTAAGGCACATCGAAAATAAATGTGTGAGAGATATTTTGATAAATCCTTTGAATGAAATACTCCAAGATATGGAGAATTATCAAGCTATGATAGAACAGACTATTGATATGGAATTGGTTGATCGAGGAGAGTTTCTAGTTAAGTGTTCTTTCGATGATGAACTCAATGGTAAGTTTATCACAAATCAAAAAATAAGTTCACCTACATTATTTTCCTCAATATACCTACATAAGTGTATGATTTGCATGTTTCAGAACTCCACAGAAAGAAAAGTAAGATAGGCGAAAAATTCCAGAAACTCTTACAGATCGCTGCTGACGATTTGGGAATGGAAGAGGGCAAAACTATAAAGCTTGAATGCAACGATCAATATGGTTACTTTTTCAGAATGACTTTGAAAGAGGAACAAGCACTTAGAAAAAGTAAAAATTATAGGATTCTCGATGCCATCAAAGGCGGAGTTAGGTTTACTAATAACAGACTAGCAGCCTTGAATGAAGAATATAATAGTTTAAATGAGGAATATAAGGAGAGACAAAAAGCAGTAGTAGACGATATATTGGAAGTAGCTAGTGAGTATTACTTTGAATGACTTCCTCAATTCTGTGATAACATCCTAAACTGATGAAACTAATTATTATTAATACTGGCATCGTGATTTAGATGTTACACGGTCTATTTATATTTTGATACTCCTACCTATAACTTTGACTGAACAAATTGGAAAAAACTTTGAACATGAAAATTGTAGCTTTTAATCAGTTCTATATTTCGGTACGTCTAAAACAAATGAGAATCTCCATAAAAAATAAAATCATTTTCTTTAAATGATGTCATCCTGTATATGTATAACTCTAGTAGTCTAGTGGAAGACTGTCTTCACCTGTTTCTAAGTATATTTACTCCTTCCTCAATGTATTTGACGTTTCTTTATATTTAGAGTATGGACACTCAACAAGCAGTGACATTCAGACTCAACCACAAATGCAAAGGTCAACATATTTTAACCTGAAATAACTTTACGAAATTATAGTTGTGTGCTAGTTGCTAACTATAATTTTGGTACGTGAATCTCTTCTATCAACATTCAATATCTCGTATTTGTTTACTGAATTATTAATTCTTCTTTACTTGAAAATTCTGAATTTTTAAAAATTTCTGTTTAGAATACCCGATCATCAACTCTTTTCATTCGTCTAAAATTTCTATGACGTGAATTTCATTTTTGGCAATCAGTTCTTGACCCATTTTCTTGGTCTGTTGGTTTTTCTCGATATTTTTCCTCTTCAATGGAAGCTAAAAAAAAAAAAATCAAATATTTGCGAAGTTTCCGACATTTCACGCCGGCCGCTTCTTGTTTTCACTCTATATCTGTCATATTGATCATAAATTGAATCGTTAGCTACAACTCAAGTTGCACAAACTACAAGCTTGCATATCTTACTATTTTTCCCAATTCGTTCTTTACTTTTGAACCTCTAAAATTTATATCAAACGTTTCTTGTACTGTTAGTTCCCGCTTTTCTCATCTTTTTATTTGTGGTTGTGTCTAACTGTCACTGCTCTACATACTAATACTACTTCATCAGATGGAAGTCTATACCTGAAAATCTCTTATAGCTGGTTATGCTGACACTTTGAGAAGTTTGAATGTTCTTACTGCAACTATTGATGTATTTGTATCATTTGCGACTGCTGCAATTTCTGCACACATTCCATATGTTAGACCAAAACTTCAAAAGGCAGGAACGGGAATTTTGAAACTCAAGCAAGTCAGGCATCCCTGTTTGGAAGCCCAGGACAATATTTCATTCATTCCAAATGATGTCAGTTTCGAAAAAGATGACAAACTTCTTTATGTTATAACTGGTAAGAATAAAATAAAAATGTATGAGTTCATTTGGATACGATCACCAATAATCGTTGATACTTCTTCAAACTATCGGTTTGTATAATCACCTTGATTATTGGTTATCACTACAGGTCCAAATATGTGTGGTAAAAGTACGTACATCAGAAGCATTGGTACTTGTGTCTTGATGGCACATATAGGCAGCTTAGTGCCATGCAAAGAAGCACACATATCGCTAGTTGATGGAATTCTTGTAAGAGTTGGCGCAGATGACAGTCAACTAAAGGGATTATCTACTTTTATGTTGGAAATGATAGAAACATCATCTATCATAAAGGTTAGTCGTACTATCCTTTCATTTTTTTAATAATGTCCACCAATTGTCATTTAAATTATGAATAATCAGAATTTTAAAATTCGGTTTATTGAAACAGCTGAAAATTCACCACAAATCACCACTACCTACCTTTATTTAAAAGGCAAAAGGATAATTCCTCACATCTAAGATATCGTCCAGAGTCAATAAATATGTTTTGCTCAACCTACTGTGGTTTATTACAGATACAGGGTGATCAGAATTCTGAATCTTGAACCACCCTGTATCTGTTTCGATTAAATATCAGTAAATAATGAATCAAAAGTTGAGATAGGGACATGTGAGCCGTTTTGACAGATAATGAATAGTTTCGACACAAAAAATCCTTAAGTTGAAAAATCTCGATTTTGAACACCCTACATCTCTGTAATCTTTTTCGATTGACCCCCAAGTATCGATAAAATCAGCTCTTTGGGGAGAATCTAAAAATGCGATAAAATACAGGGCGTTCCATTTGAAATATTAATGTTGCTACTACTTTCTAGTAGAAGCGGCAACACTCGATATATAAATAGTGTAAACTCGTGGTGATATACAGTATGACATATTTCATTTTTACTCCATTATCACGACTTTTTTGACCCCAGAAAAACAATTTCTCTGTGTTTGCTTCTACAGACATTGTGTTTGCATCATCATCGAATACATTCCCAAGGTGATCGTCAATAAGAAGAAGGAAATTTGAGTATCTTAGGAAAATTGGTTCCACTGCATCATTTTGATGTGTTCAATATATGTACCTATTGTAAAATGACCTTGTATCATAATGAAATTATCTTTCTGGATTTTGTTACAGAGTGCTTCATCAAATTCCTTGGTTATTGTTGATGAATTAGGAAGAGGGACATCAACTTATGATGGTTGTGGCTTAGCCTGGTCTATCGCAGAGTGAGTGAATAATTGTTTTAACTTCATCTACTCTTTGGACAGTGTGAGTCAGCAACTGCTCTCATCCAGTTTTCGGCCAATTTTTTTCGAATACGAGAAAAAGAAAATGGTTTCGGATAGCAGGTTACAAAACAAACGGTTCTTTTGAAATACAGGATAATCAGTTTTCAAATTTTCACAATCTATGAACATTTTTTTCTGATAGATAATCTGGCGCGAAGAACTCTTCAAATATACCATATGCTTCATATACAAAATAGATTTCTACGAGGGCACTTACAAAATCAAACTATTGAATATGGACAATGATAGAGGGCGATTTTCCTTATAGTACAGCAGATTAGCTAAACTATTGTGGACTTTCTGATAAAGGCACCAAATTTGGCACAGAGGTGGACCGATATAATATGAACAAATTTTTGGATGTGGCGTCATCAGCCAACTGCCCCCTGGCGGCCGTGGTGGTTATTTCCAAATTGGCCGCCAGTGGACACCCAAATGACATCAAAAGTTAGATAAAGTTTTCTGCTGAATGTTTTGAATAAAATCATGCTTTTTTGTTATACATCGTGTGCCCATGTAATGTGTAAAAGCTTCGCAGCTCCATTGCAAGCAATAAGAGAGAGGTAATATTTTTGGGGACATAGTACAATATCGTTAGGTCTATATCATGCAAAATGATATTGATCTCTACAGGATGTTTTTTGAACGACGTGGGGCTACAAGATTGTTGTTTTTTTTCTATTGATTCAAAGATTAATGGAAACTATTTATTACATTCAAATGAACTATCATATATGTATATTCTCCATATTGCATCGAATAATTAAGACAAAATATGAAAAATATGTTGTACAGTTCCAGTATACTGCCAGTTCAGAACATGAGTGTAAATAAGCACATGCACAATTATGTGCATTCCAGACCAGCTTTCTTGCACTTTTTCATAGTCTGCAGATTTGAATGTTTGAAATAACAAAGTTATGACCGTTCGAATAGTCATTTCTTACAATTCATTATAAATCACCCTGTAAGATATTTGTCAATCATGACTTCATTGAAGCGATTGTCGAAGATCAACATGCACGTTGGAATTAACATCTGCGTATTATAATTTTTTGAAATAATTCTAATCTTTGAAACGTCGCAAACGAATTGCAGAGATAAGACGTAGTTGTGTATATGATGTGAAAAAGTTCCATTTAAAAAAAACATCATTCTTTCAGCCCCGCTTTAAGAAAACATCCTGTAGAGATCGATATAATTTTGCTTTATAGACCTAACGATATTAAACTATATCTCGCCAAAATGATTTTCTCTATCCCTTATTGCAATGGAAATGGAGCTATAGAGCTTCTCCACACTACGTGAACACCCGGTATATAACTTAGGAAAAACCTTGATTTTATTCAAAACATTCAACAAATATTCACCATCCTTCAGCAGCAAACTTTCAGGTGTCTATTGGCCGCCATTGTGGAGAATGGCCACCACGGCCGCCAGGAGGCGTTTGGCCGATGGCTCCACATCCAAATGTGTTCCATGGTTGCCAAACTTGATGCTTTTATCAAAAAGTGCAAAGTACATTCGACTATTCTAGCTTAACTGCTGCACTATGAGAAGAAATCACACATTAGGTGCTATGATACATAATGACTTTTTGCTTTTTGGCATGCAGCGTATCATTAGAAATTCAATTTTCAATCCGACTTTTCACGAATAAAATACATATTGTTTGACAAAATCAATGTCTATCCGGAGAACCATGTCAATTTGAATGAAAAAGTAGATTCTTGCAAAAAATTTAGACAAGGAAAACCTTATCGACATAACTCATAGGTTTTATTTCTTGTGATTTTCTTTTAAAATAAAAAATACATTCTTTCATGATGTGTAATAAAATATAGGCTGTTTCATTTGGCCTTCATTGCGAGCACGAAAAATTATTTTAATAATTTCAAGGAAAATTCGTCAGACTGATACCCTCTATAAATACTGTCCAATCTTAAAATCGTCTATGAAACATGGTTTTACGTGGAAATTCCTATTGCGGGAATAAAACTAGAGTCACTGGATGGTATTAGTAGATAGGAGTTTGGACACAGCTGAACTTCTGCCCTTTTCTATTTTCTATAATTACAATTTCAGTGAATAAAAGAATAAGACATATATTCTGCTTTTTGTCATTTCAATATCTTTTATGAGAGCTAACATTATTTATTGACAAAATAGACACATATGGATATACTCATAGCTAGTTCGGTCGGTATTGAAACGCCATTCAATGATATATCACGTTGCAATTCACTTGATTTCCTCAGTTTCGTTCTCAAATTTTCAATTTCATTAGGTAGCCTGGCAATCAATTCCTGTTTCTCCATGATAGTTTTGTTTTGCATTTCGTGTGATGATAATAATGTATTCTCTCTTCATATAAACTGTTTTGTAAATGAATTGAACAGCAGATTCTCTCAAACGGATCTTAAAATCTTCTGTTCGAAAATGGGCCTAGAATATAGTTTTATTGTAATCTGCTTTGAGAGTGTGAAAGTGAATTTTAATGTATGTGCCTCACAAATTTTGGTTGTCTTCAATTTAATTTTCCATCCAGGCCGGTTCATACATTCCTTTTATAAGGGAGTGGAGTTGATATTTCCTTTGGCGAATTGAATAAATGAAATCCATTCTCTCCAGAATTCCCACAATTCATTATTCAGCAGGACATTTCCATTTATGCTTTTTTCTCAATAGTTTATGAAATGATATTTCAATTCTGCGTTCATAGTATTTATTGTCAAATTTGAACAATTTTGAATGAAAAAGCGCGAAACGACTATGATGCTCTTGTCACAATGCAAGGTGTGTAACTTGATGAATCTAAACATTCAAAAACACTAACTGTTGTCATTTCTGTGTCCGAACTCTTACACTAATACCATCCGGTGACTTTAAATTAAACTATTCAGAGCTGCGCAGTATTTGAACATGTTTAGAGCATAGGTTGATAGGAGCTCTTTACTCCAAAATTAAGCAAGGAATCTGAAGTTGGTCGGTTTCATTCCGACACCCTGTATAATGGGTTCTACTGTCATTTGTCAAATAATTTGATGAACAGTTGTGAATTTGTAATGCGAAAAATGGGGCTTGGCGATTTCCAGGCATTTGGTCAAGGAATCTCAGTGTTTCTCATTGTTTGCCACACATTACCATGAGCTCAATAGGATGGCTGAAGTTTATGACAAGGTAGGCAACCTGCACGTCACTGCCGTCACAACTGAGGACACCGTTACCCCATTGTACTCAGTTAGAGAAGGAGAATGTGATAAGAGTTATGGCATACATTGTGCTAGAATGGTTGGATTTCCTAACGATGTTATAGAAGTGAGTTAGAAAACAAAAATGTTTGCTATTTACATAGTTATTAATCATTAATCTTTTAGGATGCATTGAAGTATCAGAGGAAGTTGGAACATCACAGTGGAATGAAATTGATCAATGATTTTGAACATGATGTGAAAAGGAAAATTGTTGAAGTTTGTATTGTAATATATTTTTCTTTCACTTTCATCAATCAAATTATTTTGTAGGAAGGCGAGATATGTGTGAAAGAAACAATAAAAAAAGTTAAGAGCATGGATATCAATAGTTTATCAGATGATGATTTGTTTAGGAAGCTGCAAGAAATGAAGAGTGAATTGGAGAAAAAAGACAATTTGTTTGTACGAGGACTACTGTCCAACTAGAATGTGACTGTTATAATTGTTTTTGTAATATCGAGATCATGTCAAAGTTTTGCATAAGTAATAAATCTTTGTATTTTTTTATTGTTTGGTATTATTTGTATTAGTCGACTCGGACATACCTGTTTTTTGTTCTCACTAAAAGGGATATCCTGTAATGTTCAGAGAACATCGTGAGAACCTAGGGAAATAAGGTAGGAATTTGTGTTCTTAAATTTCTGGAGGTTTTATGCCTCGGGGAACACCTTCCTTGGCAATGTGTTCATTGGATTAACGAGTCTTTGGAATGAGATGTTCTGCAGGTCTCCAAAGTGACCACGAAGGGGTGCGAAGCGGTTTAATCTCGCGGGGACTGCCTATAAAATAGAGCCAGATCGCCAACTTTTCTACGGTGTTCCAGAGAAGTGAGTGAGTTTTTGAGCGAGGCATCACCCAGCACTCCAAATATGGGAACAGTATTCCAGGACAGATCGGATCTGTGCCTAATAGATCATAAGCAGCTGACTGGAAGTGAAATAGCTCCTGTCCCGAAACAGAAAACCAAGTTTTTGGGATGCACTTTCACCAATTGATCTCACGTAATTTTCCCAAGAAACGTTATTGCTGATAGTAATACCAAGCATCGAAATGGATGTCTTCAAAGGTATGGTTTGAAAAAAATCATTCATAAAGTTTTCATATTCGTTTAATATTATTATTTCATCATTAATTTCAAGGAAAAACTTCATTGTGAATGTATAAATCAATCATTGAATTGGATCATGTGAATTAGAATCAGGTCAGAATAAGACGAAAAAGTCATCCTGTGGTTGTTTCTTCTATTGGTTCATTCTCACCACCTAAAATTGATCATTGTTAGTGGATTCAGTCAAGTTTTTTTGATGTTATCACTGGAACTAGCTATTACAATTTAAATGTATAAATCAAATATTAAATTGGGTCATGTAAAATAGAATTAGATACAATAAGACGAAAAACTCAACCTCTAGTTTTACTTCTATAGGTTCATTCTCAACTCCTAAAATGAATAATTGTTAGTGGAATCAGTCGAGTATTTGTGATGTTATCATTACAAATTCCTAAACTAGGTATTGCTAGAAAATTCCAAAATGATGACAACACAATGAATAACATTAGTTTCACAATCTTCTAACACTACTGTTCAGTGTCCCTTTTAACACTTCAGTAAGAATAATTTCGATGCAGAACTAAACTTCGCCAATACTCACGTTTCCGATTACTTTTCATTTAACAGTTATTGGAAGGTTATCTAGTAATAACATTTCTGCCTTGATTATATTTGAGTGTTTACCTTCAGTTTCATCTTTGGCCGTGGGTGATTCTTGCACTTCCTCAGCAATTTCCGAATTTGATGGCTCTCCTAATGGTTCAAATTCTTTTGTCAGTTCACCTTCTATTTCGTCTTCTGTAGGTACAAGAGATTAATACATATTACGAGAATGAAGTGATTAGCTCACACTCTCCAGACGTTTCGAAATCAGATTTTATTTTTTAGCCTACCTTGGGCACTAATTGGTTCTCACTATTCCATCAAATGAATAAGAATTCGAAGTGAGTGCATTGAAGAATAATTACATTTTCTGGAGTAGTTTTTCACTGTTCTCACATTGCATCTCATATAAATAATGATGTATTATATTAGGATTTACAATGAAATAACATGAATAATCAGACAGATTCATATCTCGTATGAGATTATTCATGCGTTATTAAATCTGAGTTATTGAAATGAACAGCAGATACAAAAATAATAATAATGAAAAACAAAAATATCATAAAAAGTACATTATGACATGATGAAATAAATTAGTGAATGAAAAATCATTCACTCAGGTTTGATTTTCTCTTTGCAAGAGGATAATATGTTTCTTGACTTTAATTTCGAATTGGGTGATATTTGTGCAACTTTTGATACCATCAGGTAATTTATTGAATTTTGAGATAGCTTCGTGAGTAAAACTTTTTTTGGCCAAGTGTAGAATTAGCAGCATCAAAATGAAACAAGTCATATTGTCAAGTGTAATGTCCATGGATTTGAGAATTCCTCACCAATATGAAGTTATAGATTTGAGGTGTTTGTTGATAATATCAAAGTAGAATTATCGATAAAATGACTCACCGTGTTTTCTAACCGAGAAAACCACTTAAGAGAATAATCATCAATAATAGTACCAAGCTGGACTTAGGTGTTTTTTCAAAATGTCAAAAAGTATGACAGCTAGACCTCTATACATATTTGGATCAAGAATTCGAGGTATCTAGATATTATACCTTCTTCTGCCACTGCCAAGAATGTATCTTTCAATATCTGTTGCACAGCAAATGACGCGATAGCACTAGTCGTGGATCCGGCAGGTTCTTCAAGTGAAGGTGGAGGTTCTGCAACTTGGATATATTCAGATTCTTTGATATTCTCATCGACGTCTGTGACATCTCCAAAGTCGACATGCGGTATGACAGTCTCATAATTAATTTTGACCATTTTCGAACTAAAATATCATACAAGAATATAATAATTTTGAACTGATATGATATCTCGCGAATGTTTGTTCAGGATCGCACGGAAAAGAATCCCTACGATGGTCGTGAAACGTCGAACGTCGTGCGTACCTGAGAATGATCGATAGGGAGCAAATAAGGAATCCTGTTCTCGAGCTATACTGTGTGCTTGATTTGAAAGGATTTCGTCTTTACTCGCATGTATTTTTTGTTATTCTGCCATATACTGATAATCATGGAAAAAATCAAAAGGGAAAATAATATTCAACACTTAACTGACTCAAGTCGTACAAGGACAGGGCGAAAATTCATACAGTCTACTCCACCAAAACTATACTTTAATGCAAGCAATTCATAGAAGGGACATGTTTCGAAGCTTCAAAGCTTCATCATCAGCAATAAGTTACATAGGAGCACTAAAGAGAAAAACGAAGCATAATGTCAGACAAAAGTCTTCACTAACGACAGTTCTAAAAAACTCACCTGTTATGGAGAAAAAAAAGTAGTGTTCACATATTCATAAAAACAAAAATGAAAATTGTTGAAATTTATAAAATAGGGGACCGCTGCCGTCGGTACGTCAACTTCTGAACGGCTTGACTGTTTCAATACCATTTATTTAATAAAAACATGTTTAAAATGCAAGGTGTATAAACAGAAATCTTCCAAATGGGACATTGGACATGATACAAATGTAAAAGATACAATGTTGAACACTTAGATACCCCACAGAATACCCTCCAAGGCCCTCAGAGACGGCCGATGCAGGCCTCGCCGATGTTTTTTGTCCAACAACCCTGATGGCAGTCATGAGGGAGCTGACTCCTAGGAGTATATATACCTTCAATCCAGCTCATGTCAGTGAGTTGCCAAGGGCAAAAAGGATTGATCGTCGATTGCTACCTTGTACTATCTAATTTAGCATTTTTTGTGTTGGAAAATAAAAATAAAAAAATTCTCTGTGGAAGACTCTTGAAGACTTGACCGATTGGGTTGAATTTTTCAATACGTAAAACAACAAAAAAATGCAAAAGGTACTGAGAGGATAAAAATAGGTGTAAGTTAGTATATAATAGTTGCTATAGGTAAGCACACAAAATAATAATAAAAAAATGTACCTAATGTAGATACGCGCATAGCTCAGAACGACTGCAAAAAATTTCTTATGTTTTTTAAATGGGTACATCAATCGTGCGAAGCCGGGCCGGACATCTAGTATAAAATAAAATACCTACTCTGATATTCCCAGGACATGTGTCTCATCGTCATCACACTCCTCAACATTTTCTTCTTCTTGGTAAAGCTTTTTGCTTTCTTCGGCCAATTTTTTCATCACTTTCCGAGTATAGTATCCCTTATAGGCGGCCTGAAAGATGTACAAAAGACATGCTTATCCTTGATTGCGTGTGGTTCAAGTTAATTTCGATAGATTATTTCAGATTTTTTGGGATTGTCTCCTAGTCTCTATGAAATGAAAAATAAAAAAAATAATACTATTTCAATATACGCGTGTGTACGAATACGGTGATTTGCTCCAACATGTCTGTGCGTTTAAAGAATTTTCCTATCAGAGAGCCTAAGAGAAAATTTCACTAGCTTGTCAGTGACGGGAACGAATCTGCTCCCGTTTTCAACATAAAAAATGGATTTTTTTGCATTGCAAATTCGTATTTGTCCTGACACTTTTCAGTTCTCAGTGACAATTGCCAACGTCACCAATGAAAGTATATGTTTACATTTTTTATTATTCCAACGAGTACAACACACTGTTGAAATTTTTGTATTACAAACTGGACCACCCTGTATATTGAAATAATACTCATCTTTTCATTCTGTAGAGACAAGGAGAGAAAATCTCGAACCATCTAGTAAAATGAACATAACACCCTTCTACTGTCGAAACTATCGTTTGAAAGCTTCAGATGATGTGATCATAAGAACATCGCGAGGCATAAATATGTACCTTAATAAGGGTCGCTGCTCTATTTGCCTCTTCATTGGTCACTCCAGTTTGTCTATATAGGTAAATAGCACTTCTTGCAGCTACCCTCCAGTCGATCATACCACTCAAAAGTTCTCTTTCCTAACAAATCGAATTGATGTATCGACAATTGAAAGATATAGTGTGAATATAGGCTTTTATGTCTAAACCGCACAATTATTAATAGACGTAATTCGAGTTATTGAAATGACACTGATCTGGAAATTATAAGAAATATAGATTTTCAGATCAATATCATTCTTAGAACTCCAAATACGTCTAACTTGCGGTTTCCACAGATCATCCTGCGTAGGTATATAAGTAATTGCCATCAGGAACAACTTTACCTTTTCTTTTCTGACCTTGAACTCTCTATATGCCCGTTGTATGATTCTGGCTGCTTCCTCTCCTTGTTCTGGACTGATATCAGCCTCGTTAATAATATCAGAAATGATATTGATTTCATCAAATTCCTCTTATGAAAAATATAAATATACAGGGTGTTCCAGAGTTACGTTCGTATACTCTGGAAGGCCATTCTTCAGATGCAAATAAGAAAAAATGTTCCTATCAACATTTGTCCTAATATGTGCCTTAAATGCAGATATCATCAATTATCTTTTTTCTGTGACGGGAAAAAAGTTTGGCATTTCGTTTCTGTTGGCAGGTTATATAATGTCAGTTTTCATAAATTACTTTTTTCCCGAGGGAAAAAAGTTAGTACTTTTTTCCCGTGGTAAAAAAGTGAGTACCTTTTGCCCGGATATATATCACTTATATATATATATACACTGTTGATGGCTTTTGTTGTGCTATAGTTCTGAAAAATGAGTCAATAATACCGTCTCCGAGAAAGAACTGCAAGTCCTTTTATCTTCTATTCGACTTCGCGGTCACGTATATTACTAAACAACCACTAAATTCGCAATTTTTTGATATCAAATGATAGAATTAGACTGACAGAAGTGACATCAGATATTTGATTACCTACTTCAAAAGAATGATAAAGATGCCTACAACGCAGGTGTCTCTACTGTTAAAAACTTAAAATTTCACGTCGATAATTTTCAGATTTCGAAATAATGTGATATATTCTCAATATTGATTCGTCCTTTCTTCTGTCACAGAAAAAAATAGTGTATTGTACACGGGAAAATATTAAATTTTAGCTCACAACCTGGAGCTAAAATCTACTACTTTTTTCCCTTTTATAATAAATAACTATTTTTATCATGATTCTACAATCACGAAATTGAGTACTTGAGGGTGATTTAATATACAGGGAGGTGTGAAACTCATAACCAATGCAATAAAAATGCCCCAACGTTTTTTGTTTCAAAGTTCAACTCATTTTTCTACCGAAATATGATTATCCGAGCACTTTTATATAGAAAAGGTATTCTTGTTAGAATGCTGCGAAACGAACCGTTTTTGAAGCAAGTGTCATTTTCCATTTTGATGCCAGAAAAAGTCACAATGATTTTGAGGAGTGGCGGATTAAGACGTATCGCAGACTGAAGCGCAATTTATTTCAGCGCCTCCTCCGATGGAGGCAAAGGACAATTCCAGGGGCGTCATTTCAGTGAATACCATGTAGGGGGGGGGGCAAGAATCCCAGACAAACTGCTCGGTTATTGAAAGCGCCGCAGGCAAAATCATCCCGAAGTTCAAGGTCAAATGCGTTCAAATTGAAAATTGGATTTATTCCAGAGTGACAACATCAACTCCATTTGTTGAGGTCAAGACACTCGGAGTGAAATTTCGTACTGTAAAATTGGTTTCAAATAGAAGATTATATTTCTTTAAGACTGACAACAACTGCATCACATTGTATTATGAATAATTCAGCTACATGTTCTCTGTTTGTTACAATTGATATACCTATATGAAATGATCTGAAAATAGGAACAATACAAACTAAAATTCCGTACAGATGTTCATAACCACAATATCAGGTCTAAAGGAACCTTAACAGTACCACAACATAAAAGAACTAACTTTCAACGCTCATACAGTTACAGTATTACCAAAATTTATAATCAACTACCATCAAAAATTAAGTAAGTCTTTCACCAATGATTACATACAAAGAGTTTTTTTCTCTTCTCCATAATTTCCTTATTGTTTCTCATAGATGTCTATCTGTTTGCTGGGTTAGGTGGAAGAACAGACATTAAAAAGCAAGTGAAATGTATTTTAGATAGTGTCTATAGGTTACCCCGAACAGGTAGATGTTTCCAAAATGTGTTGGGAGCATGGAATACTGACTAATTTAATCAATTTACCAAAATAATTCAGAGATTCCCTGATTCACTTAAATTTTTTGTTGTTGTATATCCGGATCAACAACCACAACAGGAAACAGGTTATTCATTTTTTGCAATTTCAAGTACTGATACAATACTGATGTAAATAATGTTGTTACAGGAAGAATGTGAGTGGAATAATGTTTGTAGAAAGTCAAGGGGGAGGGGAGCATTTCTCTCTTGAAATTGAACTGGAGAACTTCGCTTGGTTTGGCGCCCCCTGATTTTGAGCGCGTGAGCTCCGATGGTGAAAAACTTAGAACTCGATAATTGAAATTCCACATTTCCACTTAGTTCAGTTTTATTGAAATTTTGGTTGTCTTCAATTTAATTTTCCATCCAGGCCGGTTCATACATTCCTTCTATGAGAGAGTGGAGTTGATATTTCCTTTGGCGAATTGAATAAATGAAATCCATTCTCTCCAGAATTCCCACAATTCATTATTCAGCAGGACATTTCCATTTATGCTTTTTTCCCAATAGGTTATGAAATGATATTTCAATATTGCGTTTATAGTATTTATTATTGTCAAATTTGAACAATTTTGAATGAACAAGCGCGAAACGACTATAATGCTCTTGTCACAATGCAAGGTGTGTAACTTGATGAATCTAAACATTCAAAAACACTAACTGTTGTCATTTCTGTGTCCGAACTCTTACACTAATACCATCCGGTGACTTTAAATTAAACTATTCAGAGCTGCGCAGTATTTGAACATGTTTAGAGCATAGGTTGATAGGAGCTCTTTACTCCAAAATTAAGCAAGGAATCTGAAGTTGGTCGGTTTCATTCCGACACCCTGTATAATGGGTTCTACTGTCATTTGTCAAATAATTTGATGAACAGTTGTGAATTTGTAATGCGAAAAATGGGGCTTGGCGATTTCCAGGCATTTGGTCAAGGAATCTCAGTGTTTCTCATTGTTTGCCACACATTACCATGAGCTCAATAGGATGGCTGAAGTTTATGACAAGGTAGGCAACCTGCACGTCACTGCCGTCACAACTGAGGACACCGTTACCCCATTGTACTCAGTTAGAGAAGGAGAATGTGATAAGAGTTATGGCATACATTGTGCTAGAATGGTTGGATTTCCTAACGATGTTATAGAAGTGAGTTAGAAAACAAAAATGTTTGCTATTTACATAGTTATTAATCATTAATCTTTTAGGATGCATTGAAGTATCAGAGGAAGTTGGAACATCACAGTGGAATGAAATTGATCAATGATTTTGAACATGATGTGAAAAGGAAAATTGTTGAAGTTTGTATTGTAATATATTTTTCTTTCACTTTCATCAATCAAATTATTTTGTAGGAAGGCGAGATATGTGTGAAAGAAACAATAAAAAAAGTTAAGAGCATGGATATCAATAGTTTATCAGATGATGATTTGTTTAGGAAGCTGCAAGAAATGAAGAGTGAATTGGAGAAAAAAGACAATTTGTTTGTACGAGGACTACTGTCCAACTAGAATGTGACTGTTATAATTGTTTTTGTAATATCGAGATCATGTCAAAGTTTTGCATAAGTAATAAATCTTTGTATTTTTTTATTGTTTGGTATTATTTGTATTAGTCGACTCGGACATACCTGTTTTTTGTTCTCACTAAAAGGGATATCCTGTAATGTTCAGAGAACATCGTGAGAACCTAGGGAAATAAGGTAGGAATTTGTGTTCTTAAATTTCTGGAGGTTTTATGCCTCGGGGAACACCTTCCTTGGCAATGTGTTCATTGGATTAACGAGTCTTTGGAATGAGATGTTCTGCAGGTCTCCAAAGTGACCACGAAGGGGTGCGAAGCGGTTTAATCTCGCGGGGACTGCCTATAAAATAGAGCCAGATCGCCAACTTTTCTACGGTGTTCCAGAGAAGTGAGTGAGTTTTTGAGCGAGGCATCACCCAGCACTCCAAATATGGGAACAGTATTCCAGGACAGATCGGATCTGTGCCTAATAGATCATAAGCAGCTGACTGGAAGTGAAATAGCTCCTGTCCCGAAACAGAAAACCAAGTTTTTGGGATGCACTTTCACCAATTGATCTCACGTAATTTTCCCAAGAAACGTTATTGCTGATAGTAATACCAAGCATCGAAATGGATGTCTTCAAAGGTATGGTTTGAAAAAAATCATTCATAAAGTTTTCATATTCGTTTAATATTATTATTTCATCATTAATTTCAAGGAAAAACTTCATTGTGAATGTATAAATCAATCATTGAATTGGATCATGTGAATTAGAATCAGGTCAGAATAAGACGAAAAAGTCATCCTGTGGTTGTTTCTTCTATTGGTTCATTCTCACCACCTAAAATTGATCATTGTTAGTGGATTCAGTCAAGTTTTTTTGATGTTATCACTGGAACTAGCTATTACAATTTAAATGTATAAATCAAATATTAAATTGGGTCATGTAAAATAGAATTAGATACAATAAGACGAAAAACTCAACCTCTAGTTTTACTTCTATAGGTTCATTCTCAACTCCTAAAATGAATAATTGTTAGTGGAATCAGTCGAGTATTTGTGATGTTATCATTACAAATTCCTAAACTAGGTATTGCTAGAAAATTCCAAAATGATGACAACACAATGAATAACATTAGTTTCACAATCTTCTAACACTACTGTTCAGTGTCCCTTTTAACACTTCAGTAAGAATAATTTCGATGCAGAACTAAACTTCGCCAATACTCACGTTTCCGATTACTTTTCATTTAACAGTTATTGGAAGGTTATCTAGTAATAACATTTCTGCCTTGATTATATTTGAGTGTTTACCTTCAGTTTCATCTTTGGCCGTGGGTGATTCTTGCACTTCCTCAGCAATTTCCGAATTTGATGGCTCTCCTAATGGTTCAAATTCTTTTGTCAGTTCACCTTCTATTTCGTCTTCTGTAGGTACAAGAGATTAATACATATTACGAGAATGAAGTGATTAGCTCACACTCTCCAGACGTTTCGAAATCAGATTTTATTTTTTAGCCTACCTTGGGCACTAATTGGTTCTCACTATTCCATCAAATGAATAAGAATTCGAAGTGAGTGCATTGAAGAATAATTACATTTTCTGGAGTAGTTTTTCACTGTTCTCACATTGCATCTCATATAAATAATGATGTATTATATTAGGATTTACAATGAAATAACATGAATAATCAGACAGATTCATATCTCGTATGAGATTATTCATGCGTTATTAAATCTGAGTTATTGAAATGAACAGCAGATACAAAAATAATAATAATGAAAAACAAAAATATCATAAAAAGTACATTATGACATGATGAAATAAATTAGTGAATGAAAAATCATTCACTCAGGTTTGATTTTCTCTTTGCAAGAGGATAATATGTTTCTTGACTTTAATTTCGAATTGGGTGATATTTGTGCAACTTTTGATACCATCAGGTAATTTATTGAATTTTGAGATAGCTTCGTGAGTAAAACTTTTTTTGGCCAAGTGTAGAATTAGCAGCATCAAAATGAAACAAGTCATATTGTCAAGTGTAATGTCCATGGATTTGAGAATTCCTCACCAATATGAAGTTATAGATTTGAGGTGTTTGTTGATAATATCAAAGTAGAATTATCGATAAAATGACTCACCGTGTTTTCTAACCGAGAAAACCACTTAAGAGAATAATCATCAATAATAGTACCAAGCTGGACTTAGGTGTTTTTTCAAAATGTCAAAAAGTATGACAGCTAGACCTCTATACATATTTGGATCAAGAATTCGAGGTATCTAGATATTATACCTTCTTCTGCCACTGCCAAGAATGTATCTTTCAATATCTGTTGCACAGCAAATGACGCGATAGCACTAGTCGTGGATCCGGCAGGTTCTTCAAGTGAAGGTGGAGGTTCTGCAACTTGGATATATTCAGATTCTTTGATATTCTCATCGACGTCTGTGACATCTCCAAAGTCGACATGCGGTATGACAGTCTCATAATTAATTTTGACCATTTTCGAACTAAAATATCATACAAGAATATAATAATTTTGAACTGATATGATATCTCGCGAATGTTTGTTCAGGATCGCACGGAAAAGAATCCCTACGATGGTCGTGAAACGTCGAACGTCGTGCGTACCTGAGAATGATCGATAGGGAGCAAATAAGGAATCCTGTTCTCGAGCTATACTGTGTGCTTGATTTGAAAGGATTTCGTCTTTACTCGCATGTATTTTTTGTTATTCTGCCATATACTGATAATCATGGAAAAAATCAAAAGGGAAAATAATATTCAACACTTAACTGACTCAAGTCGTACAAGGACAGGGCGAAAATTCATACAGTCTACTCCACCAAAACTATACTTTAATGCAAGCAATTCATAGAAGGGACATGTTTCGAAGCTTCAAAGCTTCATCATCAGCAATAAGTTACATAGGAGCACTAAAGAGAAAAACGAAGCATAATGTCAGACAAAAGTCTTCACTAACGACAGTTCTAAAAAACTCACCTGTTATGGAGAAAAAAAAGTAGTGTTCACATATTCATAAAAACAAAAATGAAAATTGTTGAAATTTATAAAATAGGGGACCGCTGCCGTCGGTACGTCAACTTCTGAACGGCTTGACTGTTTCAATACCATTTATTTAATAAAAACATGTTTAAAATGCAAGGTGTATAAACAGAAATCTTCCAAATGGGACATTGGACATGATACAAATGTAAAAGATACAATGTTGAACACTTAGATACCCCACAGAATACCCTCCAAGGCCCTCAGAGACGGCCGATGCAGGCCTCGCCGATGTTTTTTGTCCAACAACCCTGATGGCAGTCATGAGGGAGCTGACTCCTAGGAGTATATATACCTTCAATCCAGCTCATGTCAGTGAGTTGCCAAGGGCAAAAAGGATTGATCGTCGATTGCTACCTTGTACTATCTAATTTAGCATTTTTTGTGTTGGAAAATAAAAATAAAAAAATTCTCTGTGGAAGACTCTTGAAGACTTGACCGATTGGGTTGAATTTTTCAATACGTAAAACAACAAAAAAATGCAAAAGGTACTGAGAGGATAAAAATAGGTGTAAGTTAGTATATAATAGTTGCTATAGGTAAGCACACAAAATAATAATAAAAAAATGTACCTAATGTAGATACGCGCATAGCTCAGAACGACTGCAAAAAATTTCTTATGTTTTTTAAATGGGTACATCAATCGTGCGAAGCCGGGCCGGACATCTAGTATAAAATAAAATACCTACTCTGATATTCCCAGGACATGTGTCTCATCGTCATCACACTCCTCAACATTTTCTTCTTCTTGGTAAAGCTTTTTGCTTTCTTCGGCCAATTTTTTCATCACTTTCCGAGTATAGTATCCCTTATAGGCGGCCTGAAAGATGTACAAAAGACATGCTTATCCTTGATTGCGTGTGGTTCAAGTTAATTTCGATAGATTATTTCAGATTTTTTGGGATTGTCTCCTAGTCTCTATGAAATGAAAAATAAAAAAAATAATACTATTTCAATATACGCGTGTGTACGAATACGGTGATTTGCTCCAACATGTCTGTGCGTTTAAAGAATTTTCCTATCAGAGAGCCTAAGAGAAAATTTCACTAGCTTGTCAGTGACGGGAACGAATCTGCTCCCGTTTTCAACATAAAAAATGGATTTTTTTGCATTGCAAATTCGTATTTGTCCTGACACTTTTCAGTTCTCAGTGACAATTGCCAACGTCACCAATGAAAGTATATGTTTACATTTTTTATTATTCCAACGAGTACAACACACTGTTGAAATTTTTGTATTACAAACTGGACCACCCTGTATATTGAAATAATACTCATCTTTTCATTCTGTAGAGACAAGGAGAGAAAATCTCGAACCATCTAGTAAAATGAACATAACACCCTTCTACTGTCGAAACTATCGTTTGAAAGCTTCAGATGATGTGATCATAAGAACATCGCGAGGCATAAATATGTACCTTAATAAGGGTCGCTGCTCTATTTGCCTCTTCATTGGTCACTCCAGTTTGTCTATATAGGTAAATAGCACTTCTTGCAGCTACCCTCCAGTCGATCATACCACTCAAAAGTTCTCTTTCCTAACAAATCGAATTGATGTATCGACAATTGAAAGATATAGTGTGAATATAGGCTTTTATGTCTAAACCGCACAATTATTAATAGACGTAATTCGAGTTATTGAAATGACACTGATCTGGAAATTATAAGAAATATAGATTTTCAGATCAATATCATTCTTAGAACTCCAAATACGTCTAACTTGCGGTTTCCACAGATCATCCTGCGTAGGTATATAAGTAATTGCCATCAGGAACAACTTTACCTTTTCTTTTCTGACCTTGAACTCTCTATATGCCCGTTGTATGATTCTGGCTGCTTCCTCTCCTTGTTCTGGACTGATATCAGCCTCGTTAATAATATCAGAAATGATATTGATTTCATCAAATTCCTCTTATGAAAAATATAAATATACAGGGTGTTCCAGAGTTACGTTCGTATACTCTGGAAGGCCATTCTTCAGATGCAAATAAGAAAAAATGTTCCTATCAACATTTGTCCTAATATGTGCCTTAAATGCAGATATCATCAATTATCTTTTTTCTGTGACGGGAAAAAAGTTTGGCATTTCGTTTCTGTTGGCAGGTTATATAATGTCAGTTTTCATAAATTACTTTTTTCCCGAGGGAAAAAAGTTAGTACTTTTTTCCCGTGGTAAAAAAGTGAGTACCTTTTGCCCGGATATATATCACTTATATATATATATACACTGTTGATGGCTTTTGTTGTGCTATAGTTCTGAAAAATGAGTCAATAATACCGTCTCCGAGAAAGAACTGCAAGTCCTTTTATCTTCTATTCGACTTCGCGGTCACGTATATTACTAAACAACCACTAAATTCGCAATTTTTTGATATCAAATGATAGAATTAGACTGACAGAAGTGACATCAGATATTTGATTACCTACTTCAAAAGAATGATAAAGATGCCTACAACGCAGGTGTCTCTACTGTTAAAAACTTAAAATTTCACGTCGATAATTTTCAGATTTCGAAATAATGTGATATATTCTCAATATTGATTCGTCCTTTCTTCTGTCACAGAAAAAAATAGTGTATTGTACACGGGAAAATATTAAATTTTAGCTCACAACCTGGAGCTAAAATCTACTACTTTTTTCCCTTTTATAATAAATAACTATTTTTATCATGATTCTACAATCACGAAATTGAGTACTTGAGGGTGATTTAATATACAGGGAGGTGTGAAACTCATAACCAATGCAATAAAAATGCCCCAACGTTTTTTGTTTCAAAGTTCAACTCATTTTTCTACCGAAATATGATTATCCGAGCACTTTTATATAGAAAAGGTATTCTTGTTAGAATGCTGCGAAACGAACCGTTTTTGAAGCAAGTGTCATTTTCCATTTTGATGCCAGAAAAAGTCACAATGATTTTGAGGAGTGGCGGATTAAGACGTATCGCAGACTGAAGCGCAATTTATTTCAGCGCCTCCTCCGATGGAGGCAAAGGACAATTCCAGGGGCGTCATTTCAGTGAATACCATGTAGGGGGGGGGGCAAGAATCCCAGACAAACTGCTCGGTTATTGAAAGCGCCGCAGGCAAAATCATCCCGAAGTTCAAGGTCAAATGCGTTCAAATTGAAAATTGGATTTATTCCAGAGTGACAACATCAACTCCATTTGTTGAGGTCAAGACACTCGGAGTGAAATTTCGTACTGTAAAATTGGTTTCAAATAGAAGATTATATTTCTTTAAGACTGACAACAACTGCATCACATTGTATTATGAATAATTCAGCTACATGTTCTCTGTTTGTTACAATTGATATACCTATATGAAATGATCTGAAAATAGGAACAATACAAACTAAAATTCCGTACAGATGTTCATAACCACAATATCAGGTCTAAAGGAACCTTAACAGTACCACAACATAAAAGAACTAACTTTCAACGCTCATACAGTTACAGTATTACCAAAATTTATAATCAACTACCATCAAAAATTAAGTAAGTCTTTCACCAATGATTACATACAAAGAGTTTTTTTCTCTTCTCCATAATTTCCTTATTGTTTCTCATAGATGTCTATCTGTTTGCTGGGTTAGGTGGAAGAACAGACATTAAAAAGCAAGTGAAATGTATTTTAGATAGTGTCTATAGGTTACCCCGAACAGGTAGATGTTTCCAAAATGTGTTGGGAGCATGGAATACTGACTAATTTAATCAATTTACCAAAATAATTCAGAGATTCCCTGATTCACTTAAATTTTTTGTTGTTGTATATCCGGATCAACAACCACAACAGGAAACAGGTTATTCATTTTTTGCAATTTCAAGTACTGATACAATACTGATGTATATAATGTGGTTACAGGAAGAATGTGAGTGGAATAATGTTTTTGTAGAAAGTCAAGGGGGAGGGGAGCATTTCTCTCTTGAAATTGAACTGGAGAACTGCGCTTGGTTTGGCGCCCCCTGATTTTGAGCGCGTGAGCTCCGATGGTGAAAAACTTGGAATTCGATAATTGAAATTCCACATTTCCACTTAGTTCTGTTTTATTGAAGTTCATCGTTATGTTGAATTGTTGAGAAAATATCCCTCTAGCTCTAGGGCTCCAGTGCCTTCAGATTTGATAGAATCATTTTTACTTATTTTCATCTGCAGAATCACCTCCCGGAGTACCCGAACGTTATTCTGGGATACCCTGTATAGGTACGCATATTAGAATTGAAATTGAAAATATCTTCTTCGAGTGACTTTTTTATTATCTAATAATATACCTGTTGTTCTATCAAGTGCTATATGTTCAGCATCATCCTTAATTCGACTTTTGAAAGTTCTTCGAATTATACTAACTATGCGTTTAACGTCTACTATTTCCATTCCAGTATTTTTCAGGAATTCGCATGTCGTGGTTGTTATTTCTGTTATACTTTGCACTAATCTTGCAGCAACTGTAATTGGAATTTTTCAAAAATAACTGTTTTGATGTTTAGAGCTAGGCGGAGTCTTGTTTTTTACCTCTTGCATTTTCTCTGGTTAAAAGTAGAGCTTCTAAGTAGTCAGCAATGAAGGTATACATATTTGTTGGATCACTTCTCAATACCTTGAATATAAAGAACATTTCAAACCGTATGCGAAGTGTTATATTATCCTCCGTACTTCTCTCGATATGTCAGTCATCAGTTCTCGTAGACCATCAGGAACAATGTAAATATGTTTCGCAGCATGTCTTTGTAGCATCACATTCATTTCGGTTTTGTGATATTCTTTATAACTATTCGATAAAACAGTCAGTTCCTCAAAATTTGACAGGATTTTGAACGGAGTGACATAAATTTGAAAGGGAAGCAAAAGTTAAGGGATCTAGTCTAGTCACCTCCGCAGGAGGTCTAAATATCTAATTTCTCTCATATTTCTCAACAACCAATGAAAACATAACTACATAATATAAGCAATAATTCACTTTCAACTCATTGGATTGGTTACGGTGTATGTTTCTGTTGAGTTGTCACAATAGTCGCGTTTTTTTGTGATTCTCTCGTGGGGGCATTATGTAGGAACGAATAAAACGACAAAGAATGGAGAATGACATTGATTTGACCGTGTGGCAACCACATGCAATCAAAATGACAAAATCAACAATTAAAAACATCAAACATCAAAGTGAGCACCATATTGAATAGGGAAATGGAAAGGGCATTGAAACTTATATTTTTTTGTTGAAGTGACATTATTCCTGAAATTCATTGAAGTCCCAAAAATTGAAAACTTTTATGAGATTGTTATACCAGGATTCGAAGATTCAATACAAAATCGTTTCAGATCCATTTCAGAAAGACTACTGAATGTTTCCATGAATTATATGCACATTTTTACTCTTTTGTTGGCTCATCTTTTCCAGCAGTAGAAGTACCTACCTATTTCCTATTCCGTATCTGCTATTTTCTGATTACAAACAAAATTAATATAATGTATGTGAAATACTCTTATTCGTCAAACATTCCAAACACACCACTACGCATTCGATGTTCTGAGACCGAATGGCCAGTGGCACCAGGATGATGAAAAAATCCACAGAATAGTCAATAAAACTGCGATTCTTCCCCACTGGTGACACTAGCAATGTCAATAAAACGCAACTAAAATATTACTCAAGCAATGATTGTCAAGAACTGATGGAAATCGAGTTGAGATGGATTCATGCACGATCTAATTTATCCCAAATTTAACCCTATATTGATTTAGAAAAATCAAAGAACGGTGGCCAACTTCTTATGTTTTCAAATGGACCTGTTTCAGTGAAAAATTTCATTTCATTATTTCAAAGTACTAACACTAACTAGCTCACTGTCGCAAACCATTTTCCCCCAGAGCTCTGTACATTTTTCAAATTATTATTGGAATACCACGATATTTCGTGAGATAAAAAACGCAAGAAAAGGCGTGACGTAATCATCCGAAAACATTCGACAAACGTATCTATTCTCCTTGTCTGTAAGACAAGTGCAAGAATATTTCTGATTGTCATTTCAATCAAAATATAAAATAGTTCACCTCCTCAGAAGGTGCTCGCCCTAGACTCTAGTGAATTTTCTGAACTGAATACTTACTGCAGACATCATCCATGCTGCAGATAACAGAGAACACAACACACAACTGAAGAATCAGATAATATGAGGAATATCTTTGTACATTCGCATTTTGACCAGATGAAAGAGGGATTTGAAGATGAAAATGACCTTGTTCGTCATATTCCTCTCTTCACATAATAATTTGGGTTTAAATAAAATCTCGATCTTTATTAGGAATACTAGGATATATTCATTGATTCTGATGCATCATGCAAGTTTATGAGTATTGTTAGCATCTAGCAACTAGTTGCGCCACTGCTCAGTTGAATGTGCTTAGATCAGAGCCTATGACAGACGTGTGTAAAGACTGGTTCATACAGTATTCGGCTGATGGCAGCCGAGTGGTGAACAAGTGTAACCCTTGTCCATGTCATTTGTGCTCGTGTTTATTATATTATGACCATAATATAACATCAGAAGTGGTTGAATTCATGCCCCGGTGAAGTGACAAAATGCAATTATTTTTCCGGCGATTTTCACTGCGAAACAGATAGCCGTGGTTGAGGTATTTAGGTATTTATGCGTGATGCATTCACGGCGTTATGCCGTTATGTGATGTTTTATTGAACTGTAAGTACATGACTTTTTTTTTTTAAATAAGCAATACCAATGTACCAACAGTACGAAGGTCCAGTAACAGAGAATTTCGTGTTTGATCCTGAAATTCAGTATTATTTTTTGCTACTTGTTTGTCTCGAAAACGCTGATAACGTTGACATTCCGATCATATATCAGATGATAATATGAATTATTGGTATTGGAATGTACTGAACGTTTGTTGGTCCCGTTTTCGATTGTATTGGCGATTACACGATATTAATTTTGGAATTTCGTTCGATGAATTTCCAATTTCAGTTTGTGATGATGGTTATGATGTACGTAACATAATTTTTGAATGAATATCTCTGGATATTCGAGAATACAGGTAATGTTAGTTGTTCATGATTCATTCGTGCCCGAGTTGTGTTTCATTTCAACAAAAGGTGAACAGTGGATTGGATATTGTGACATTTTTTTTGAAGAAGTTTGGATGAGATTTGTAATGATCCTCAAAGTTTGCAATATTTCCGTGAGATTTGCATGGTTCATCAACAAATGAGAGATTTCTGGTGATTTTCAATATACATGAGACTGTCAAAGATTTTCAAGGTTCATCAAAATAGCACGAATAGATGGGACGAATCTGAAATTGTTTTAAAGAAATTTGTACATATGGTAACACTCTATTGATTTTTTTTTCTTGATAAAAAGATGATCGTTGTACGAAAACTCTTAATGCAAGTAGGTAGAACGAGTGCTGTGAGTAGGTAGATCGTACGATCGTACGAAACAATGTTGGCATTGTTGACAGGTCAAGATCTGAGGCTAGACAAATAATTTTTATTTTTATTTTTTTTTTATGTTTATTTGCTCGCTGGCCGTTTCCGCGAAAACGGAGCAAAAAAGGATTCCACAGGCAGAGCGGTAAATATACAGGGTGATATGATGATGAGTTGTTACAATATATGTTTATTCGCTATCAACTAAGATTTTTGGCTGGTATTGACAATCAGTGTAAAATTTGTTGACTGCATCGACAATGTTGGTCTCATTGTCTCATAGAGTAAAAGATTTGTAGTAATAGATCTTTCTTGGCAGAAACCATGTTGTGTTGAGCTGATGATATTTTTGAATTTGAATTTCAGAAAATCATTTACAATAGATTCAAATGCTTTGGGTATGAGCGATATCTTTGTGATTGGGCGAAAATTACTTCAGAGTCTTTTCTTCCTGACTTCTTGTAAATTGGCACAACATAAGAGTTTTTCCAAAAATCTGGGAAAGTACCTGATTGAAGAGAATTATTGAAAATAATCCAGAGTGGACGGGACAATGAAAATGCACAAGATTTTATGAAGATTGCTTGTATAGTATCAGGGCCAGCCCCTTTAAAGCAATCAATGCTCTGAAGTTTTTCTAGAATGTCAGAAATATTTATAAATATTTTATTAATGCTGATGGAATCAAATTCACTGTCTGATCTAGGATCTATAGAGGTATTGTCACTGGAGTATACTGAAGAGAAATGTTTAGCAAAAAGATTTACAATTGAATTGCCTTCAGTTGCAACCTCATCATTGAAGAATATCTTATTGGGAATACCATCCTCCTGATTTTTGGAGCGAATATAATTCCAGAATAATTTGGGATCAGAGATAATTCCGTTTTCAACTTTAGAAATATAGTTATCGTAGCATGATGATGATTGTTCTTTGCATAATGAATCCTCCATTGAGTTGGTGTGTTTATATTGTTTATGAGCCTTTTTTTTTCAGTATATATAATAATAAAAACCAAAATTAAAAAGGTTGGTTTTAGTTTGGGCTTTCTGACTGATAAGGATCAGTTTGGCCTTTCTGACTGATAAGGATCAGTTTGGGCTTTCTGGTTTTTGAAAATTTGGTCTTTCTGACTGATGGAGGTTGGTTTCAGTTTGAGCTTTCTGGTTTTTGATAACCTGGGCTTTTTGGCTGAAGGAATTCCATCTATCATGGTTAAGTTGATATGCATTTGTGGAATGAATTTGTTGTGATTCATGATTGAGTATACTATCAAGGTGAAGTTGAAGCTAAAGTTGATTGGAGACACGTTTGACTTACAAACCTCTGAGCTGTCAAATATGTCGTTAACATATTTGAAGACACGTTTGATAAAAAAAAAACCTCTGAGCTGCCATATAACTGTTCTTTTGGAGACACGGTTGACTCACAAACCTTTGAGCTGTCGAATACGTCGCTTACACATTTGAAATCATAGGTATATCAAAAAAATCATGAGCTGCTACTACTTGGAGTCTGTCGAGCGACGAGAGTCGGAAGAGCGCCGATGTCATCACATATCAAGAATCAACTATAACATGTTAGTCCGTTTAGGGGTTATTTCATCATCGGCGACATCAGCTTCGGCATTCTATGGACAAACGAGTTTTGGTGGAGGTTTGTTCGACGTGTCTTGGGTTTACACCTGGGCCGTATGGCAAGGTGGGTTTACACCTGGGCCGTATGGCAAGGTGGGTTTACACCTGGGCCGTATGGCAAGGTGGGTTTACACCTGGGCCGTATGGCAAGGTGGGTTTACACCTGGGCCGTATGGCAAGGTGGGTTTACACCTGGGCCGTATGGCAAGGTGGGTTTACACCTGGGCCGTATGGCAAGGTGGGTTTACACCTGGGCCGTATGGCAAGGTGGGTTTACACCTGGGCCGTATGGCAAGGTGGGTTTACACATGGGCCGTATGGCAAGGTGGGTTTACACCTGGGCCGTATGGCAAGGTGGGTTTACACCTGGGCCGTATGGCAAGGTGGGTTTACACCTGGGCCGTATGACAAGGTGGGTTGACACTTAGGCCTAGTGGCAAGGTGAGTTGACACCAAGGCCTGGTGACAAGGTGGGTCGACATCTCGACCTGGTAAAAGTGGGTTGACACCTAGGCCTAATGGCAAGGTGGGTTAACAATTGTGCTCTCTGACGAGCTCTAAATGACATAAAATTTAGTCAGGATGAAACCGAGCTTGTTGGGCCGAGAGCGTCCCAATCTCAGGATGGCCGTGTTAGCATCTAGCAACTAGTTGCGCCACTGCTCAGTTGAATGTGCTTAGATCAGAGCCTATGACAGACGTGTGTAAAGACTGGTTCATACAGTATTCGGCTGATGGCAGCCGAGTGGTGAACAAGTGTAACCCTTGTCCATGTCATTTGTGCTCGTGTTTATTATATTATGACCATAATATAACAAGTATTCAATAAGATATTATTAGGGACTAGGAGGAACTATAGTCATCTGTGAATGTGAATACTGCTGTCATTGATCATTATGCGAAAGCCAGAACTCAGATAACGATGACTTTCGGTTCGGTTCATGACATTAGCAAAACTGGCTTCTTCGAGGGTGCCGAATTTCATTATTGAAAAAAAAAATTGCGATGATTTTAAATAACAAATGATTGTATATCCCCATTATCGTTAATTCCTTGAGTCAACTACATGAACGAATGTATTGGAAACGCAAGATTAAACTTATTAAGCTGAGGTTGAATTAAATTCAGGCTAAATTATGTGGTGCATGAATGGATGATTAACTCGATAGTTGCAGATACATAAATAATAAAACATAGTTCTACTTAGAAAAGTTTATTACAATTGATATCTATTTTATATTTAATTCTATATTAAAGGTTTATTCTCCGTACTTGGATATAGAGTTGTCAAAATGGCCGACACTGGAACCAAAAATATAAAAATTGTATAATTTATCATGATTAAACAATAGTATATTGTTTGACGAGCAGCGAATCATATGAGTTAGGAATGAGAATTTTGTGCGAGTTAGACACTATACTTTTTCTACGGCTGTAACAGATAACAACGAATGTTTTGATTACTCCGGCTTGTAGCTATCTGTTTTTCTCCTAAGTAATGATCATCTATTAGACAGAGCTGTCATTGTTTCAAATTTGGCATTTCATGGGGATTGAGATTTTGTGGAATAATAACTCAATGAAGTCATTGTAATATCTGATACGGAAATATAATTGATGACATACAAAGTACCACAGAAAAACAAGTGTAATTTTGTGTTGCAGAAAATTTACACGCTACACGCTAGTAGAAAAAATAGTGTACCTAACACGAGCATAATATGACTTTACGCCACGCGATTGCTGGCCGAACTCCACTAAGCGTCGTTCGGTCATCTGCAATCGCTTGCGGAAAAGCACCACTTTCCGCACTTGTTAGGTAAACTACTATTTTGAAATTGAAGAAAAAAGAGAATGGAAATATTAGGAAAATATGTGAAAGATGCATTCATTCAACGAATACTCACCAAATACAATTGATCCTAAAAAGAATATAGGTGGTGCACAACCTATAAGTAATAACTGGGGTAGAATTACGTTTCCCACTACGGTTCCTATTCTCCCAAACATCAGATGCAAACAGAGAGCACTTGTTCTGAAAAAAGCAAAATTCGAATGTCAAAAATATTTCAAGTGGGCATTCAACTAACTGAACATCCAAACTAAGTGTTATCAAAATTAAATTAAAATCAACAGGGCTATCCATCAAATAGGTTCACCTCTATATCCATAGTCCTTATCAGGAATTTCACAGGGTGATCCCTACGAACGTGATGAATGACTGACTGTATATAGAATAAAAATTCAAAAAACGGCCAATGCTGCTTCAACTTCTGAATCATGCATATTATCTAGAATATGCATGTGTTGAAGTTATCACCGTTAGGTGATATTGTAAAAAAAATTTTTATTGCGACATTGAGGATTTAGCGATTTAGTGATTCATGAGGAATGAAAAATCTCTAAACTACAGAAAAAACACTTTAATTATTGAGATTTAGCCTAACATGACTGATAACATACAGGGTGTAAATTTGAAAACTTCCAATGCGTATATCTCGCGAAAGAAAAAAGTTAGAAAAACGCCATTTGGCAATAATGCTAAAGAGTTAAGGGGAACTAGAACCACCATATTTCGGTCAAGGGATGAGTCACCCCGTCGGCGCGACACACCCCAACTTTGAAATGTCAAATGGCAGTACCTTTTTTGTGATGCCTCAAATGAACAGTCTCAGTCAGTAGTATTCACCTGTACAAGACTCTTTTTCCACCCACTACAGGGTGTACGAAAAATATAAAGTCGAATAAAATAAAATGAATTGTGTTAAAAGGCTATTTTATTTGATCAAATGTTCAAAATGCATTCCATTCTGTTGTAAGCAATAGTATAATCGATGTTCAAATGCCATTCTAACATTTTGGAACACATCTCTTGGAATATATGGGCATTCTGCATTTTATTTTATTCGACTTTATGTTTTCCGTTCACCCTGTAGTGGGTGGAAAATAAGTCTTGTACAGGTGGATACTACTGACTGAGACCGTTCATTTGAGGTATCACAAAAGAGGTAGTGCCATTTGACATTTCAAAGATGGAATGTGTCTTGCTGACGGGGTGACTCATCCCTTCACTGAAGTATGGTGGTTCTAGTTCTTCCTAACTCTGTAGCATTTGTGCCAAACGGCGTTTACCTAACTGTTTTATTTAGCGAGATATTCGCATTGAAAGTTTTCAAATTTAGACCCTGGAATTAATGTTTTTCGTACACCCTGTAATGGGTGGAAAAAAGTCTTGTACAGGTGAATACTACTGACTGAGACCGTTCATTTGAGGTATCACAAAAGAGGTAGTGCCATTTGACATTTCAAAGTTGGGGTGTGTTGCGCTGACAGGGTGACTCATCCCTTCACTGAAATATGGTGGTTCTAGTTCCCCTTAACTCTTTAGCATTTTTGCCAAGCGGCGTTTTTCTAACTTTTTTATTTCGCAAGATATTCGCATTGAAAGTTTTCAAATTTACACCCTGTATGTTGCTGGTTTAGAAGATACAGGGTGTTCTAGGGAGAAAATTGCTCAATAACTTTGAAAGTTAATTAAACAGCATGAACATAAAATATTATAGTTTCAGGTTTTCTGACATGAGGAATACGAATTTTCAACTTATTTTTTGATTGATTTACTTTCTGAAATCTGAAATCTGAAAGCCCGTTCAATTTTACATAGAAAACATACTTTCGAATTGTCTAGCCCTAACGGATTTTATGTTATCCGCTCTTGAAGAAATTTATGTTCGACTTATTTATATATTTTGTATAATTTTAAATTCTAAAGTTGGCGAAGTGATAGTGAAAAAAAAACAGTAATCAATGATGACAATCAGTAACAACGCCAACAACAAACATAATTTTGAAGTGAATGTTCGACCAAAGTTGAGAATTTTGAAATAAAATTTTCCCTTGAACACTTCTTTTCCATTCTTGATGAATAACCCTTTATACCCTGCTATTTTTCACAAGACTGATTGGCAAATTCCAGAAGTTAATCATATATTTAAAAAAAAATGCGAAGTGGAATTGGCCCATACGGAATCTTTGTGGATCTATGATAGAAGGAACAAAATGATCCAAATGAGGTACAACAGAGTCGCACCTTCATTCACATATTGTTGCTGTTCTACTGTTAAGATTTAAATGCTCTGACTGGGATGGCGTAATACTTTCATTATAGTTTAAGCTTACCTCAATGTTGTTGGAAACAACTCCAATGTTGTAGTTGTGAGTAAATTGTCAGAAACACAACCCAGAGAGAGATGTAACGCATAAAGTATCAATACTGCGAGCGGATTTGGCGAGAAATATACTGCTGAACAGAAGCTTCCAGAAGCAAAAGAGAGTATAACTGTAATAAAAATTAGTTCAATCAGTAGGTACATATCTTTGATTCATGCTAAGTTTCTATAAACATCAGTGCTTGAGAACCTATTGTACCAAAAAGTATTATATATTTCTGGCTTCCCGAAGGTATTTTAATTTTTACTAGTAGTCTTATTGTTGTATTATCTGGCATTCTTAAGAAAAAAGCTACATATCATGATTGTGGCATTGTTGTTACTTCATTCGTTTCATATTTCAGCTCCATTGTCGCAGTGTGTCCCAGCTAAGACTTGCCAACCCCCTTATCTCCAAAGTCGTAACAAAATTGAAAATCGCTCGAGCAGGTCGATTTTAGATGTAAAAACTCCACAAAAGATAAGATTTCTACAAAATTCTTAATCACATGACATGTTTCGCTAACACAGTAGCTTCATCAGGTGAAATACTGGTAAAATGAAATAAAATAACCTTGGCTTGCCTAACTTTTATGTATCCTACTTTCCCAACCTGTAGTATTAGAAATACCTGTGGAAAGGTTCGATAAAACCTTCATTTTCGGAAAATGGGCACAATATCTACATTCAAATACGGTGTACCGGATTAACTTGAAAGAGTTGATAGCGAATACATATTATTACCTACTAAGAAAACAAATTCAACAGTGGTGAACTATCGAGGTCTAGTAAGTTGATCGTCAAGTAAAATGTTAGAATTTTTGAGTTTGTTGATTTCTAATGATTTGAAATTATTCAGTTCTATTCCGTTATTTTCTACGTGTGAAATTTTGAAATTATCATCAAAACTATTGTTGCTTTTGGATGTATGATGGATTGACATTCATCATACAGGGCGTGGAAAGAAATTCTGAATTGAGACTCTATCACGAATCTGCGATTAGAGGTCTATAAAAATCACAAGTTTCCATCGTTCAAGTTTGAACCCCCTGATTGGGTATGAAAGTGTTGAACAGGAATATTCTCAGATAAATCATAAACATACAAAAATGGATATATTTTATTTTCAAACTCTTATCGTGTGTGTTCAATAGATATAATTCAATGTTCGTCGTGGCATATAGCCAGGACAGTAGTTGTTTCCTATTGAACTGAAAAAGAGTTGATATTCTCATCACATAGAAAATGCGAATTCTCAATGTATTGCTTTATATAAATATATATCCATTTTTGTATGTTCTTAATTTATCTGAGAATATTCCTTTTCAAAACTATTGTTATTGCCTAAAAAAACATTTTTCTGTAACATCATATATCCCAATATTGAAATCTTGAAGCGGAATGGGCATCAACTTTGAATTTTCAAATGGAACACCCTGTATTTAATTGCGGTGGTTCAAGATTCAGAATTTTAATCACCCTGTTTGTTCCAATTAAAAGTCAGTGAACAGTAAATCAATAGTTAAGATGGGGGCATTAAAGCCGTTTTGAGCAATAATGAATAGTTTCGACACAAAAAATTCCTAAAATTAAAAAATCTCGATTTTGAACACCCTATATCTAAGTAATTATTTCCGCTAGACCCTAAGTGTGATACATTGATGGAATCAGCTCTTCAGGAAATCTAAAGATACAATGAAATATACAGGGTGTTCCGGTTCAAGGATTCAACTTGGGGATATGATATAAACAGAAAATTGTGTTCTCTGCCAAATTAAAATCGGCGATTTTCAATTTTTTTAACGACTTCAGAGATAAGGGGGGTGACAAGTTTTAGCTGTAGCTGGAACACATATATAGTGTGTGTCACAACACAACTGATTGTACTGCTGATCATATATATTACATGGGTACACCAAATAATCAAATACAAAAATATACCTACTTGAATTTTCACAAAAATATTAAGATATGCCATCACTTGTATCTTTTGGGACCTTATTAAATGTTTCATACATATTTTGAATATTTTTCAAATAGTATCATGAAATCGTACATTTTTTTGATATTTCGAATAATTATTGAAGGGTGCGCTTTTCTAATATATCCATGTATCCTATGTTAATGAGTTAGTGAAAAATAGGAAACACATATTTATTATTGCAATGGTTCATTGTTCCGTAATGCAATTGTATTTTTGCACAGGGAAAACTCTATTTCAATTTCCATACCTCTTACTATAACTCTACATCAATAAGTATTTTGGTTACTTACGGGTTAACGTTTTTTTCCCTAATAGATTGACCAATGTTCCTGCCAAGCTGAACATTCCCACCCGTACTATGCCAACGATCATAGAATTTACATATACCGATGTATTGTCCAAATTCTGAAAATGAAATATGATATTAATAGAAGCTACCCTTATTATGCCACCTTCCTATTGTTAGTAATTGGCCACTTTGCAAGGTGGACAAGAACTCAAAATATTTGTTGAATCTGCATACCATCTCAGTCATAGATATAGATATTTCGGGTTTTGTTTTTAGAATAGAGAAAGATTTTTTTCAGTACGCAGTACACGCCACTGACTATAAATTCCCTTGTACATACGATCCAATTTATTGACCAACTCACACCGTTCTTTTCCTTGCCCTTATGTTGATTTTTTATGATATTTTGTTTGGTTCGAAAAACCAGGCAAAATTGATTTTGGTGCCTCTTCAATCAGTCCATGAAGTATACTAAGAAGTAATCGATTTTTGTAGGTTTTGGCGTCACTGGGTCAGGAAATTTACTTCTATTAATTTTATCATTTGCCGAAAATATTTTTCATACTATAATCATGTCCTTATCTATTTATGAAAATTATCATCGTGGTAGAATTTTTGAGGGAAATTGAAACTTGCAAACATTGGTAATTTGAAAAATATACAGTATGGGGTGACGAGATAACTAAAATTGATTTGATCTGATAACTCATTACCCACAAAATTTCAAAAAAAAATCTAAGTAGGTGAAAATGAGATAATAGGTCATTGAGAAAAACATCGAAAAATGGTCAAAGGCTCACTCAAGAAAAAAGTCTATCGATTTTCTGAAAACAGAAGTCGAAATACCTACCTACCGATCTTCCTGGAAATGTGGGTATTAGACCAAGAGTCAGAAGTAAAATTTGGCGCCTCATAAGTTACCTACCACAAGAATGATATTCCAGGAGCGTCGATTCATCCCGCATTGAAATGCAAACCGTGCGTCTGCCAGGCATGAGTGATCGCTTAAAAACGCTACAAATTTCGAAAAAGTGCCAAAATCGACCTAGAAGCCTCATTTTTACCAGGATGGAAATACCGGCAAAGTGAATCTAGAACCTAAGCGTCTGCCCGTCTGCCGGTAGATGCGTTCGCATTCTCAATGTATACGTTCCACCTGATTTTTTAGCAGGAAATCAGTTTATTATACACTCGAAAGAAATATATGAACCAAACAGACGGTCGATTTCATAGGGGCATCAGCTATTCTTACCAGACCCGATACTTTATACAGGTGACGTCAGACTCACTGAATATCTATATTGACAAGGAGAGAGTATTTTTTTTTATGGAGGAGCTTATTTTCATCTATTGAACAAGAGCAACGGAGGGGTAAGAAACATCTAAGAAAAAAAAACAACATGTTGAATAGTCGCTACCAATCTCGCTATATAAAACAGATAAAACAAAGCATCTGTTTTTTGCTCGACAAAAAAGATAATATTGGGTAATATATTATGAGAAATAGTACTCTGTACAACTAGTGCGAAAAATGAGTTATTTTATACGAGTTCGTGACAAGTTGATGAACCACGAGCCGTGGGCGAGTGGTTCATCATATTGTCGCACGAGTTTGCGAGAAAATGCGATCGCATCCACCAGCAAACGCTTATAAGGTTCTTCGAGTAGATTCACTACATTATTTCAATCACTTTGTAGGTATTTTCATCCTGGTAATAATGAGGCACTACTAGGTCGATTTTGGCACTTTTTGGAAATTTTTTGCGTTTTCATGCTTGGCAGTCTTGGCCGGCAGACGCGCGGTTCCAATTTCAATGCGGAATGAATGTAATAACGCACCAAATTTTACTCTTTAGCTCTTGGTCTATGTGTATTTGTGTGTTAATCGAATTTGAGAGCTGTAACCACCATGTATTTCGATATATTCAAGAAAAGTCAAATTATTCTGCATGGAATACACACTTATACAAGATCGAGATTCAAGGTAAGGCTGGTGAGTTGTAATCTCATCTCTTATTAAGCCAGCAATTTTAAAGGATCCGATCGAATCACAGAAATATTCATTTATAACCAATATAAATACTTGCTATGCATAACTTACCACTTTGCAATCCTCAACCTTAGTAACATTAGTCGTTCTCAACTCCCTGAGGATTGAGCAAACATCGGAACTTTCATTACTTCCGTGATTGAGTTCGTAATCACTGCTTGCTTGGAATATTTGAGGCAACCATAATTTCACCAGATTCATACTAAAATTATGTTTAAGGTTAGTATAGTGAATTCTCCTAAAAAGCAAAATGCGAAATGGCGGTGATGGTGAACAGAAAATTTTGAAAGACATGTGACTTCTTCTCATGATTCATATCAGTTCGCCACTTAATACAGTCATTAAGGCCTGGGAATGAATGTATTTGGAAAGGAATGATTATGAAAACAAAAACTGAAGTAGGTATTTTCTTGCGCATTATTTTTATATAATCGGTATCCGGAATCTTCACTGGGACCTTATCACGTACATCATATACTCATATATACGAGGTCTCGCAGAAAATCACGTACCATAAATTGTAGAGGGTGAATAAGATACCAAAAAAAGGCCGATTGAACTCAACTCACCTCTATACGAAAATGCATCGTAGAGCCGTGAGAGGGCGATGAAGAGGAGAATATATCAAAATTTGAGGACGTTGAACAATTTTTGGCAATCAAAATGTGTTTGTTCGTTCAGGAATATAAGGTTGTCATCTTTAATTGATTCATTGATTTCAAATATCTCCAGAAAAATTGGAAGAGTGCACCCATGACAAATGTGTTAAACTTCAAGGTCATTATTGATATCAAAGTGATGATCTCAATTGAGGATATGATAAGCAAATGAAATTCTTGTGTTGTATAATAGGAGAATTTTTGCAGCTGTCAAATCAATTCAACATGTTCAATAACTCGAGTTTGAATTCTTCTTCCACTCTGGCCAATCTATTGTGCCCAACAATTGGGGTGCTAACAAGAAATTTTATAGACACCGGATCTATGTAATGAAGAAATTTCATGTTAGGTGTTAACTAACAAATAGGAAATTGTATCTAGGTACTGTATAAAAGGAAACATTGAAGTTATCATTAGAACGTTGTAAAATATTTTTTAGATCGTAGGAAAGTTTACCCAGGAAAGGGATAGAGAAAACTAGAGTCCCTGTACATACCTTAGACAAGAGTCCGGACACAGCTATACTTCTGTCCTTTTCTGTTTTCAAAAATTGCATTGATGATTGAATAAAGGAATGAGACATATATATCGAGCTCTGTCTTTTCAATTTCCCTAGTATCAATGATAATTGTCAGAAACAATTTTGAGAGTCAGATTTTTTGTCAAACCGTTCATAGCCGTAGGTAGAAGTGAGAAATAGGGATATTTTAACTAGAATAACTATTAGATTTTCAAATAATGAACAACATATGGTGTTCAAATTTCGAATCGATAATTTTCATAATCAATTCCTTAGATGGCTATTGCAAATTTTCATCATTAGATATTTCTTCATTTCATTAGATATAAGAAAGATAAATTAAGTGTTCTACGTGGTATCACATATAGCCAAGAAAATATTGTTTTTTTCTGTTGGATATAAAAAAATAGAAGATATATAATTCGCTGTTCGTGTGTCCGATGGAGTAGACGTATAGTGTCGACGTGCTACCACTACATATTTCAAAACTGTGGGAACTCATGTGAATTCAACAATTCCTAAAGGAAACAATAGTTTGTTTATTATTCTTGTGGGACATACTGATATTTGTAATAGAAACTCCGGTAAGAAGAACTTAATTATAATAACTACACTTACATATTATTTCAATATGCCTCCCCGAAAGGGAGAAGACGAACTGCAGGCAACAGTTAAAATGCTGGTCACTAAATTATGTTCATCAGATGAGTTCATAACCCACCTGACAAAATCCATAACAGAAACTATCAGTGAAAAATTCAGTAAAGAAATAGATTTATTGAAACAGGAGAATAAGAATTTGATGGAAAAATTAAATAGCCAAGCAGGAATAATAGAATCTATCGTCAATAAACATGAAATACACGAACAGTTCATCCGGAGTCGTAATATAAGAATTTATGGAATGAAAGAGAGTAATAGCAGAGAATGTACACAGAGTGTTTTGGAAATGTTCAGAAGTAAAATGAATCTTGAAATCAATATATCGGATATAGAGACTTGCTATCGGCTTGGGAAGTATGACAGAACAAAATCTAGACCCATACTTGTTAAACTAGGAAATAACTACCAGAAGAACAAGGTTTATGGTAATAAAAAGCTACTGAAGAACACTGGTCTTGTAATAAGAGAAGATCTGACAACTGAACAGTTCAAGATATTGAAAGCGTCTATTTCAAAACTTGGAGCAGACGGTAGCGCATGGACAAATTTTGGTACCACATTTGTTAAAGTCAATGGAAATGATAATATACGCAAGATTTCGAGTCTAGAACAGCTGAATCAATTGTAGAACTGTATTCGTCGATTTTTCCACATATCATTATTATTTTTTTTCATTTTATATCCACTTGATGTATAAACTTTTTAATTATGATATTTTGCATGAAATATTTAATGATCACCTGAAGTCTGTAGCACTTCGTGCAGTTGAGTCATACCCAACTGATAAATTCTTACTTTATTTTTGTACGTAGAGATTACTTTTTTTTTTGGAGACAGGTGTTCCTGTTCATTCACTCATTACTAACTTTATACCTATTCGAACAAAATATAAATAGATTGAATAAATTATCTCATTAATGACAGCTGATTTTTTGAAAATAGGAAGCCTTAATGTACGATCGTTGTTACCTTCTTTACAAGAAATAAAATCCAGTATTTCAGAGCATAAGTTTGACATTTTGTTGATTAGTGAATCATGGTTGAGGCGTGACATTGAAGATCATCAAATTAGTATTGGTGGGTATAATCTATACAGGGTGGATCGGAATTCCAGAGGAGGAGGATTGTGTATCTATATTCGTAATGAAATTCGTTGTGAAATACTCAATCATCCTGCTCAGCATTGCGAGCAATTATGGATGAAAATTAGAACGAATAAAAAATTATTAGCTATAGGAGTAATGTATCGTCCTCCTTCTGGAGATGTTAATATGTTCCTCAAAGAATTTGAGGATACATTGAGCTCAATATACCCAGTCGTAGACAATATTGTATGTACAGGGGACTTAAATATAAATTTATTAGATTATGAAAATACATATGTCAATAAACTTTCATCAATCTTAGAATCCTTCAACATCAACCAAATAATAGATACTCCTACGCGAATAACAGATAATACTGCAACTCTTTTGGATGTTATTATAACTGCTGAAGAAGAAGTAGTGGAGAGTGGTGTTGTGGATGTTGGAGATATTTCTGATCATTTACTTGTGTATTGTAGACTACGATTGTTTGGTAGAGAGCAGGGACCAAAACTATGTACTTACAGAAATTTCAAATATTTCAGTGAAGAAGACTTTAAGAGAGATCTATATCTAACTCCTTTCTTCAGAATATATGATCTTGAGAATGCAGACGAAAAAATTTCCTTTTTGGTGAATTGTATAGTTAACTTATTTGATAGACATGCACCGATTACTACTTCGCGGGTTACTAAAAAAAGAGCACCGTGGCTAACAGATGTTCTGAGACAAATGATGTCGATAAGAGATAAGGCTTTGAAGCGGTATAAAACAACACGATCAGATGTTCATCTGGAATTCTATAAAGATATGCGCAACTATACAAACCAGTCTATTAAAAGAGAAAAACGTGCCTACTTCATTCATATATTCGGTCAAACTGATTCAAAAGAAATGTGGAAAACTATGAAGGCGAATAACTTTTTGAATAAACAATCCCACGACATCCCTCTCAGCTTGAAAAAGCCTGAGGAAATAAATCATTACTTCATAAATTCAATTCCTATAACTGAACCCCCACAGGAACTTTTCTCATTTTATAGAGATAATAGAGTTAACAATACTCATTTTAGGTTCAAAGAAATAAATGACTTATTTGTCTATCAAACTATATGTCAAATCAAAACTAATGCCGCTGGCTGCGATGGTTTGAATATCAGATATATCAGATTATGTTGCCCTTTTATCATAACCTATATTACCCATATTGTGAATTTCTGTTTAGCAAATAATGTTTTTCCTACAATGTGGAGAAGTGCAGTTGTGAAAGTCCTGCCAAAGAAATCAAACCCCAGTGAATATAAAGATCTTCGCCCTATTAGTGTTTTACCTACCCTTTCGAAAATTTTAGAGAAAGCTATAGAAATTCAGCTGCAAGAGCATCTTGAAAACTTCTCTTTATTGCCGACAATACAATCTGGATTTCGCAGGGGTTATAGTTGCACAACTGCCCTTTTACACGTTGTGGATGACATTCTCAGAGCAACGGATCAAGGTAATTGTACAGTTTTGATACTTTTGGATTTCAGTCGAGCATTCGAAACGATTAATTACAATTTGCTATTGAGTATTTTGCATTATATAGGCCTCTCCGAAGATGCTGTTACTCTTATCGAATCCTTTTTGAAAAATCGAAAACAAAAGATAAATTTAGATGGAGTTGAATCCCAATATCTTAATCTTTGCTCTGGTGTTCCTCAAGGATCTATTTTAGGACCGTTGTTATTTGCTATATACACAGCCAATTTAATGAATAGCCTTCAGCATTGTAGAATCCATCTATATGCCGATGACACCCAAATTTATCACAGCTTTACTCCGCAAACCTTGGACACTGCTTGTACCCAATTAAATGAAGATCTGGCTGCTTTTATCAAAGCAGCATCAAATCATGGTCTTATAATCAATAATAGTAAATCGAATGCGATTGTGTTTGGTCCAAAAATTATTCGTGCGGCAGTATTCAATTCAGACAGAATCATTTTGAATAATGAACCTCTCAATTTCGTTGAAGAAGCAAAGAGTTTGGGTGTTACATTGGACGTAGATTTGAGATTCGAGAGGCATGTAAATAAACTAATACAACGTGCATATCTCATGTTACGAACCATTTATGGTCATAGGCAGTTTTTTCCATTGAAAATGAAGAAACTTCTGTGTGAAGCCCTTGTACTATCTATATTCAATTATTCAGATGTATTATACGGTCCTTGTTTAACCAGCCAATATAAAAGAAAGATACAAAATGTTCAAAACTCTTGTTTACGACTCATTTATGGCATAAAGAGAAGGGAAAGAATTTCATATAAATTACAAGATATTGGCTGGTTGAACATGCAAAATAGAAGGATACTCCATGCAGCAATACTCTTTCACAAACTGGTCAAAAATAATACACCTCCATACCTGCATAGAAAAATTACTCACCGAACTGATGTACATAATCTCAATGTTAGGAACAAAGGTTTGTTGACACCTCCAAAATTCAGATTAGAAATCTTTAGACGCAGTTTCAGTTATCAAATATGCTCGGTTTACAATTCCATTCCTATCATATTCAAGAAAAGAGGGTTACAGCGATTTCGAATACTATTTAAACAATATTTGCTGAATGCTCAATGAAGGTTCTATTGTTAAGTAGGTACACAAAATTATAAAATTATATAAATAATTCGAATATGTATTACACATATTACATAATAGATAGTTCAAATTTTTCAGTTACTCTATATTTTGGTATAATTTTTATTTTTGGCAATTTTTCTGTTTACGTCTCATAATTAAGTGCTATATTGTTTATTTCATCATTACACCACAGCGATTACTGGGTTAAGTGGAAGAGCAATTAATAGTGATTCGTCACTATAAAAATTGAACTTCGCCCTTTATTCCCACTCATAAATATGTAATTGTTCATACAATAACATCTACGAGAAAAATAAAGACATTTATTATTATTATTATTATTATTATAATTGTTTCAATATAATTTTCTCCGATTCTCCCAATTTAATAACACTCAGCAGAAATAAAAGTGGACTGATGACATAGCACATTGCAATTCCTGTAAATCTTCAGTTTTGATTTCAAACTTTCAATTTCTTTCCGCATCATCTCATTCTCATTGTCTTTCTCTGCGATCGTATCATCCAGTAATTCCCAATTCGATGACGACGGAACTCTTTTTTTGAACGTTGTCTATTTCATAAATTGACGGCACAGCAGACTCTTTCAATTTGAAATCCATCAGCTTGAAAGAATCTCTATCAAAATGAGCCTAAATTTAAACTTTTTGTACTGTTTTTACAAGTGAATTTGAATATTTGCCTCACATATTGCGGATTTCTTGAAATTAATTTTCAATTCTGGACGTAGTTTCATTGCATTCTTCCATGACATTATCCATAAAGTATTATTCGGAAAATTGAATAACTTGAATCCCTTTTCTAATGAATTATCGCAATAATGTACGCAGCAGGACATTGATATAATTTGAACTGCTAAATTTTGGTGGTCATAGAAAAAGCGGGCGGGACGACTTTACTGTTTCGTTACATTGTCATGTGGGCAAACCAAATGAAACAAAATATTAAAAACCCCAACGGCTGTCAGTTATGTGTCCGGACTCTTGTCTAAGGTATATACAGGGACTCTAGAGAAAACAAGATTTAAGACCTTGTTTGATGGATCTAATAGAATTTTTGTGAAAATGAGGGACAAAGAGTATAATTATGTACCCACTGTTGACGGCAAATCTGCTTGATAATGTTCCATATTCAATATTGAAGTTAGAAGTAGTTAACGGTATATTAAATAATCTTCAAGAGTTGAACGGAATTAACGTTACCTGTATGAGTGGGTTTGCGGTAGATTTCAGTTTTACTACGAAAAACTTTTCTTTGTAGAATTTCTCAATTCATACTGCTGATGATGGACTAACGATAGTCCGAAACATGCTCAGATAATTCTGATAATGAATCTGTGGAGATGACTTAATGTCTTGTGTCTGAATGTTATTCACTTCACTTTGAGATCATAGACTTCTACCAAACATTATCATAATAATATGCTAAAGTAGTTCATAAACATGATTATGGTGGTCAATAACTCAACACAAATGAGGTAAACACTCGCAAAACATGATATTTGTCATAATCATAAACAAGTATAGAGGAGCACAAAAATGAATTTTGTTATAGTTGGGGATTCAGCGACATATTTTATTGACACATTTGATAAAGAATAATTTCATTATTTCGTGTCATATTACGCCTTCTATACCTTTTCAACTTCAATTTCGGAATCGGTAAGTTATATTTCGGAAAAAGTAATCTCGATTTCAGAATTGGTTAGTTCGATTTCAGAAATGGTAAACTCAATTTCAGAATCGGTGAGATGAATTTCATAAAAACTCCATTCAATGTCAGAAATGGTAAGTTGTATTTCAGAATTGGTAGGTTCAATATGATAAAAAAAATCCTTATATTTGTTCGGAATGTTTCCAATTGCATGTGAGATTAACAAACCATATTTAAAATATTCAACTTTTCAAGAACAATTTATTAATCCACAGATGCCTTCCATCCGAATCGCTGGAAGATAATAGCGTTGCACATGCTTGTGAGAATGCAAACACATTTGAGGTGCTATCATTTTCATTGAATGATCTGCACATTCCTCAAGACATCGCAGTCTATATAAATTCTATCTGGTTGAGCAAGCTGTTCGGATCTTCAGCTATGACCCTTTGGCGATGCTCTTGTAAGAAGCTCTTCACTTCTGACTTGAAGGCACCCCATATATTATGTTCAATCTGATTCAACATAGAGCTCTCAAACACCGTTCCATCCACTGTAAACAGTCTTCTCTCTTGCAATTAAAAACATTTCAAACATATAGAAGGATTTCATCTTCTGAAATTGAACCTACCAATAATAATTCTGGAATACAACTTACCATTTCTGAAATTGAATGGACTTTTTCTGAAATTCATCTCACCGATTCTGAAATTGAGTTTACCATTTCTGAAATCGAACTAACCAATTCTGAAATCGAGATTACTTTTTCCGAAATATAACTCACCAATTCCGAAATTGAAGTTGAAAAGGTACAGACATAAAATCAACTCCTGCCGGCGCACCATCGGGAGAACGATTATCAGCAGCTTATCAATATTGTTTTAAAAAACGAGTAAATGTCAATCACGATCAAAGCTGAAAATCACCTCCTGTCACCTGTCTCGTAGAAACGATGTACGCCTCTGCCATGGACCTGATGATGTGAAAAAAAAGTGTCCCAGAACAACGTACAATTAATTCTACAGGGTGAACTAGAGACCTGAATAGCCGATCGAAATCAACTTACCTCTCTTACTCGCAGACTTCCAGGACGGCTCGGCCTAGAATCTTGTCTACTCGTCCAAAAAAAAAAAACAGTATTTTCCGGACTCGTTACTTAAATTACTATCGTTGATGAGCTATACTATTACCTACTATGATGAAAAAATTTACCAATAAGCTTCATCGAATAAGACTTTGGAAAATATCGCTGGCTCTCGGGCTACTAATAGATATCTCGAAAACCAAGAAATATTATGAAAACTGCAGTTAGGAAAAAGTGAGATAATTGATTTTGTCATTCATCTAAATATCAAGATGTGGTCAGTGCGCCTTACTCCAAAAATAAGTTATATTAATTTTTATCAAAGAGAATGCGAAATACCTAACTCCCACACATCAACTATTCGCGATAGAAAATAACACGTCGCCCCACCTGACGGCAGCAACTTGAACACTTCTGAGCGGTTTGTTTTGATGATATGACCAATTAGCACAAACAAAAAACAAATGTGAACCAATGAAAACAAAGTAAACATGCCGCTTTGACAGCTTTCAAGAACTCCGATACTTACGCTTATTTTCTATCGCGAATAGTAAATTGCCATACGAATTTCAGAGTAGAACCTCTCAAGGATTCCGAAATATTAAAGACAATATGGAAATGAAATTGATACGGGAAAAAATGACATAATATATATAATTGATTGACATCAGAATATACACATAATAATACCCTCCAAAAGGCATTCTGGGTGTAATCACATCTAAAAATCTGTCACTATATCTTCCGGTCTATACAGGGTGTATCTGAATAATACCGAAAAAATTCAAGGGGTGATTCCTCGTGATATTCTAGCAAATAAAGTTCATATAAATATGTGTCATAACTTGCTCCGTTTTTGAGATACAGGATGTTGAAGTTGGAAGTATTGACTGATTTTATTTATAACCCCCTGTATAAGCTTTCATGGTGCCAAAATTCAGTATGGTAGGTGAGAATGCCCCAACATTTCAAAATGATTCTAATTGGGGTTATTGAGTAATCTCAATGGAAGTCTTTTAAACATTTTCATTGTTTCTGTCATGAAACTCAGAAAAACCGGTGGCGTACAATGACATTCGTCATATATATATATATATCGATAAATTCACCCAATGTGAATATTTCGAATCTAATTGCACCAGAAGAAGCCTCATATTACTATTAACAAAACCACAACGTTTATTGAAATTGATGAAAAGACAACTGAAATGAAAATACTAATACCCTGTATCTCGAAAACGAAGCAAGTTAGGAGACATGTTTATTGTAACTTCATTTCCTTAAATATCACAAGGAATCATTGCATTTGGGTGTTATTAAGATACACCCTGTATACTGTATCTGCAAATGGGATGGGAGTTCCCTTATGAACTCAACGCCTTCGCGGTCTCGACCACCTGTGTGATTATTATGAATAATCTAGTAACTGCCATCTATTTTGATAATCCGAATATAAATTTTACTTTGTTAACAAGTATTCAGGTTACGATGTTCAGGTGGGAATTTTAGGAGAATGAGATATATGCTTTTTCCTGAATATCTTACCTCATAGTAAGAAGGAATGCATTTGTACATATGATAATAATCCTGGAAATGTGGGGGGAATTCAGGAAGGGTTTCATTTGGTTTAGTCCTTCTCGAATCACATTTACTGAAGTTCTGTCGATATTTTTTTCCTCATCGCAGTATGTTTCTCTAACCAATCTTTTGATCTGGAAGAAAACATGCTCCGATTTAGAACATATTCGTGGTTTTACATTATGAATGATTATTAATCATATCCATAATTCAGAAATCTTACCGGGAATGTGTGATCTGGTTTCCCTGTATTAATTTTGTAAACCTTTCGGAAAATTTCCAGAGCGTGCTTGTTTTTTCCTATGGTCATCAAGAATTTTGGACTTTCTGGCATGAAGAAGTAGATTATTCCACTAATGATAGGAGGCAGTGCACATATCATCAAATAAATATTCCAGGAGTGATAATCTGAAAATTGACGCTTCTTTATGTCTACAAAATTTCTTATCAGATGGCATATACTTTATTTTAAAATAGGTAACTGAACATGATTCGAGTTAATTTGTACTGAGTATAATGCGACTCTCAAATATCCAGTCAGTTTTTTTCAAATGAAACAGGATATTTTATTCAGATGATTTTCAAACTGCAATCGCGTTCATCTTGAGCAGCACACAATATTACCAATTATTCCAAATGGAGAAAAATCGATTTTTCTGGGCAATATTCCCCACGCCATCAATGGTAGAATAATATTGGATGAACTGAGCATTATTCCTCTGACTATTTGAACTCTGGCTCTATACTTCGACGAATGAAACTCCGACAGATGAGATACAGATGCAGAATAGGGTCCATTAATACTGAAATAGAATCAATTTTCAATTCGTTACTAGATACTCAAGTGAGTATTTTTTTACGAAGGTCATTCCTGATTTGGAAGCAATTTGGGAAGAATTCAAATATACACGAAGAAATACAATACAAGATAATACTTACATTAGTCCTCCTAAAAATTTTGCTATTGATAGTGCTGTAATGTTCGTGGTGAGTGAAACTATCACAGCAAGAAACCCGTTACAAATGTAACCATATACTATTACGTTTTTTCTGCCCAATGTATCACATACTCTTCCCCAGAATAGAGCACTTGTCACCATTCCTAAAAAAAAAACAAGCGTTGTAGTTCACAAATAAGTTGAAATTGATTCAATTTCTCAATTTTTGCTACTCAGAATTAATTTGTTTTACAACATAAGTAGTTACAAGAATTGTGAATGAACCCGATCCCATTCGTATATATATATTCAAGTGATTACTAGATAAAAAGCTGAATCGATACTGGTTCCCAATATGCATGCAAATGCAATTAGGCACAGCTGCCACACTTATCTTGGCCCAAAAATATTTTCAGAATTTCTGAAATGCATCAACTCTAGTTCTTTACTAAAGAGTAACCTGAAAATACAGATCGCGCAGTAACATACATAGGTAATCTCAAATTGATTGCAAGAACTTGAGACATAAAATCTCCATATTTTGTTGATTTTTTGTAGGTATTCTTGTTTTCCTTCGTTTGTTTTTGTGGTTGCTTCCAATATAAAATTGTAGAATTTTGTATAATTATTCCAGTAAATACTGTGGTATCTTATTTATTTTCAATATCAGATATAATCTACTATCGAATATCTCTATTATGATCATATGAAAAATCATCACATTCATTCGAAATATACAGAGTGCAGAGTGTCCCGGGTTCAACTCGTCTGACTTTGACAATCGATAGCAAAAATCAAAATATAAGATACGTGTTTTTTTGTTTTGTCGTGTAGAAACTTGTTTTCATTATACGGGGTGGGGTGTCAAAGTTCGCATATTTTTTGTTTTTATTGTATATCCCAGTTGAAACAAAACCTTGCGGTTTGAAATTAGGTGATCACTTTTTTATCAGCAATATGAACAGTCCTTATCAATAGAGGGGACTTAGCTACACTGGGTGTTATTCTTTTTCGTGCCCTCTGACATGGAACCCATCAGATTTTTTATTGGGACGTTGTAGTGGATTGAACCTAATGATAAATTATTATCATTTCTTCACCTCACTTAGTGTTTTTCATTTGTTTCAATATTTTCCTCAGTTCCCGAGTTATTGAGCAAATCTTATCAGTAGCATCCTCGGCCGCATCATACTCGATTGGTATCATTGAACAATTTTATCATGGTGGGCTTATCACTGTGGAACTCTCATAAAATTTTCTTTCTACTGAGTTCATGTTACTATTTGGCCTTGATGACAATCCTACAAATAATGTAGGTTCATGACTTTGAAACATATTTCCACCCAGATAGTAGGTAAGTAAAATCAGTGCATATTTTGTTCGAGATGTAACGACAATTCATAACAGAACTGACATTTCAGGTTGGTATTGACCTTTACAAATTCATAGGAACTTTGATTTTGGACATATACGCACAATTTTTTACAGCAACTGAGATATCCACAGTTCATCGTAGTATATAAACACTCACTGATGTGCGGAAAAGTTAGAGCCAGTGCGGCAAGTGGAAAACGATATTACCCTTTTACTCACTAATTTCCGAAAGGAGAATACAAATTCTCTACTTCAGAAGATTTTGTTTTCAAATTCTTATCGTTTATGTTCAATAGATGTAATTCAATGTTCGTCGTGGCATAAAGCCAGGAAAATTTTTGTTTCTTGTTGAATAAATCGAGAAAGAATTGATATTTTCATCACATAGAGAATGCGAATTCTCAATGTATTTCTTTATATATTTATCCATTTTTTTTATGTTCATAATTATATCTGAGAATATTCCTTTTCAATGAAAAAATGTTCTTACCTGCGAAAGACATGGCATTCAACATGCCTTTATCATTGAGAGTAAGGTTAAGATCACAGTGTGCTATTGGTAAAACATATGATAGAGATACTACTTCGAATATTTCTGCCATCGAAGGAAATATCATGGCTAGCGTTAAAATGACGTTGAATTTTCCAAACCCTGTAGCTTTGATTGCATCTTCGAATGTTGCGGGCTCCGTATCTGGAAATCCAATGAGTTTATGAGTAACTATCGAATTTTAGTCAGGACCTACCCATTGTATGCAACGATTATGTAAAAGTAAATACAACATTTTTCTTATTAATTTTAACCCAAGAAATGAATCTGGTTGGACTAAAGAAATCGCCAGGTTATTCTGGTGGCCATACTGTAATTGCGCGCAGTGGTCATCAGGGTTCTCACCATGGTGTCCTAGTCTCAAAGTGCAATGATAATGATGATAATGATAATGATAATTTATTTTATATAAAATTACAAGAATTTTACACTCGTCACAGACATACTTTACAATCGAAACTACAGGAACTTCAATAATATAAAATAATAAAAAAAGTAAAGTAAAACATGGAAAGGGCAACAGAGTCACACTTATGTGGGTTCCAGGGCATGAAGGAATCAAAGGAAATGAGGCAGCTGACCGCCTTGCAAAAAAGGTGCAGCTTCTGCACTTTTTGGTCCTGAGCCTATTTGTGGGATAAGCAAATGTCACCTGAAGGAAGAACTCAGGAAACGGGAAGAAATTGAAAAGTCCTCCTACTGGAGAGCAACTCCAGGTCAACGACAAGCGAAAAGGTTCATCAACAATTCGCAGAACCGAGCCAAAGAGCTACTCAGCCTCAGCAAACCAGAACTAAAGCTTGTCACAGGCTTTCTCACAGTATACGGCCCTCTGAGGTACCATCTCAAAAAGATGGGCCTGGCGGAGACTGACATTTGCCGCTTTTGTAACAATGCGACCGAAACCGCGGCACACATACTTTACTCATGTGAAGTATTAGTCCGCCAAACGCTGAACCACCTAGAACAGGTTTATCTCACCCCTGCTGAGGTGTAAAATTCAACCGTCAGGAAAATTCTGGGCTTCATCAGAAGTCTAGGGTTAAAGGACCAAAACTAGATAAGGGTAATCATAATAGATCTTCTAGGTCGCAGTGATCGAGAGGTCTCCCAGCCTATACGACCCATCTACAATCTACAATCTACAAAGTCAAACATGACACACGAGAATAAATCCATGGTTCAAATATCAACATCGAACTCGCATGTACAGGAGAGCATGTGGAGGAGAAACTCCTCAACTGAATAAAAACAATGTAACATCAGTATATCACGTATTTTTTTCTTAAATACTGAATAAGTTGAACCTTTATTGCTGTGTGGTAGAGCATTATAGAGCTTAGCACTGATATATCTATATGAATTTTGTGTTTTCTTAATTCTACAGAATGGTATGCAGATATCATCACGGTTTCTAGTTGAGTATTACTGTATATGATTGTGCCGTGCAACACCATCTGTTAAACATTTTTCATGAATGGATAGAAGGCACTCCATTATATAACAACAGGGTAATGGAATAATTGAATTTTTTTTAAAAAGAGGTCTGCAGTGAGATAGATAGCTACTAAAACTCATGATCCGTATTACTTTCTTTTGTACTACAAATACTTTCTCTTTGTGACTTCAGTTTCCCCAGACTATTAGCCCATAAGTTAGTATACTATGAAACAAGTAGAAGTAGGCCATCCTTAAATGATGGATATCTAACTCATACCTTAATTGTCTCATTCCAAATGTTGCTCTTGCTAATCGCTTGCATAGATCTTGAGTGTGATAACCGAAATCAAACTTCGAGTCGAAGTGCATACTTAAGAGCTTAACAGGTTCGCTGTGATTGCTGTTTGTAGTAGAAAAAAAAATATTCTGAGTTTTTGTTTCATTGAGAGTCAGACAGTTTGTGCAGAACCATTCTTTGGATATTGACTCAGACTGTTCTAGATTATTGTTGTTATAATTATTGCGCGCACGGCGAAAAAATTCATGCTGTGATTACGCGAAAAGTCTGAAACTGTATTGGTAAAGTTGTATTCAATTTCGATATTTTCTGAACGAAAAATTCACTAATTATAGGAAATACAATATTTTCCTTTCTACATAAAAAAGGAGACTACTTTTTTCAAACAATATAACCTAACTCGGCCTAATATATAGATGATATAAGGAAGGAAAATATCATTTCTGCATGAGAAAGAAGACTATATTTTTTCTAAACAATCTAACCTATCTCGGCCCAATATAGAGATGATATGAGGAAGGAAATTATCCTTTCTGCATATGAAATTAGACTACTTTTTTTTAACAATACAACCTAGCTCGGCCTAGAGGTACTTTCCAACATGAACTCCATTATCGAAAAAATAATTTTTATTTGTTAAATCTGTATTTATACTGTCTTTAACTGTCTTTAACAAATAAAAAATTATAAAATTTCATTGAGGAAATAGATCTTGATGGAGTAGTACCTATCTGTCTAAGAATTTCGAGGGTTAATTTCAGTGCCCCAGGAGATATTTGACCGCTGCGCGCAATTACAATATACCGATTCTGGGACGGCAAAAAATCTGAGAAGTAGAAGGTATCAGCTTCAATTTGACTACATTTATTCTTTGACCCGATGGGTCGAAAGTACTCCTATTTATGTATATAATATATATTTGGTCGGGTCGGACTAGCCACCCTTCAATTTATAATCCTGCCGACGATTTTTTTCGTATTATTCTAATCGAGTTTGCTTCAACAAAGGCAATTACATTCATTAACTAAATGAGTTTTTAGTCAAGTCTGAACGAGGAGAAAATCAATCATTTATGTATGATATGTCTCTGCCGACCAAGCTTCCTTTATTTTAATCTGTTGGACCTCCCGAAAGGAAATTCTTGATATACAAATATGACTGTATAGTCGAAAGAGCTCTGCTACGAAAGATTTGAAAACTTTTTTTTGCATGAAAAACAACATTTTGTACAATTGTACACGTGCATGCGGGTAAGTAACCCTCATACTTAATCCTTCTTAAGTTACTGAAATATAGTGCGTACTTTGAGAGGATATAGTATCTATATCTATTTTTGATTGCCTATTGCTAGAAAACCATGAGTTTTTTCACCTCGATGAGGTGGACATTCTTACAAAATTCGCTCGTTCTATTAGCATCGCGGAAAAGTATTGCCAGCATTTCTCTTTTTCTGACTGTCTGTCTGGCACGAAGGGGAATACACTATACTTTTTCTACGGCTGTAGCAAATAACAGCGAAATTTTTGTTTTCTTCGACTTGTAGCCATCTGATTTACTCTTGAGTAACGCTCATCTATTAGACTATTATTGCTTGAAATTTTCATTTCATGGGAGAAGAGAATTCTTGAAATTATACCTCTGACAATTCTGATGTGTTATTCAAATCTAGTGATTGAAGTTCAAGAAAAAACAGTTCTTATTCATCTTCCCAACATTTTTTTCTGCTAGAATACACATGATTAGCCGTTTAGGTTATGGTTATATTTTGGAATAACCTTTCTGTAACACTCATAAATATAAGTACATGGAAGAAAATTTAGTAGAGTTATTCGAATTGGGGAGGGGTCTGTCCTGCTCTGAACTATTTTTTCGAATTGTGAATAAGTAATAATACATTCCTGATTGATGTTTCCGAATATTTCGATAGTTTGAGTAGGAATAATGTATGAGGCCTATTCCTGCAATCAAGATGAAAAATCGTATATTTTCAAAGTTGCTTACCTTCTTTCTCGATTTCATGTTTGCTATGTAAAAGCCGCTCTTCTATCTCAATCTTTTGTTTTTCGTGGTCCCTGATGAAGTTGGCGTCGTCATCTTTCGTTACTAAAAAGTCCATTTCATCCAATTCTTATAAGTTTTCTGAAGAATTCTCTCTGGACCGTCGATTCTTCTTCATATGAATCTGAGACAAAAAATCAATTCGGTTAATGACGTAACCAATGTTTTTTATGTATGAGTCCTCGTGAATTGATTGACTCTTGTTAATTGGTACAGCATTACAAGCACTAAGGGACAGTACCTACAAATACAGGGTGATTCACCGAAGCCACACACGGAATGCCCAGCAGTAGCATATATCAAAATGTCAAATGTAAAAACTTCACAAACGATAAGATTTCCACAAAATCTCCGTTTGTGGAGTTTTTACATTTGCCATGGATTTTCATCAAGTAACGGCGTAGTCAATTCAAAAAATGTCAAATTTCAAATGTAGGTCACACATTAGAAGTTGTCCACATTGCCGATGGATCAAAAACTTGAAAATTCGTTTATGCTCCAATGATCGATCGGTTCCAACATACCTGAAACATTTTCAGTCCTCCAGCAATACAGGGTGTGCCAAAAGTCGGCACCAGTTTCCTTATGTCAAATGGCTACCTACATTTTTTCACGCGGTCCGATCGACCTTCTGATTCTGAGTTTAGACAACCTGATTCATCAACTAGGAAGAAGCCAAATAATCGAATTGAAATGTAATGACTCTGAGTCATTCCCACAATAGTTCATAAAATTATCGGAAATTGTAGACATATACGAATTATTGCATATTATATTTCGGGAGGATGTAATTCAATGTTCTGCGTGGCATAAAGCCAGGAAAGTAGTTGTACTTCTCTCGTTTTCTACCATTTTTGGTCATTCTATGAACTATTGTAGTAATGACTTCTAGGTTTCCATCTCTTTGTGACCATTGCATTCCAATTTATTGAGTATTTGGCTTTTTCTTATTTGAAAATACGCCAGTCGGGCAACCAGCCACTCCCATTTTACCTGAAATGAGATCTTGTTTTGGAGTGTTTCTTTTCTTTCCAGGTGGCATTCGGCGTTCGCGTTCATTTCGCGAACGTTGAACGACTTGTGGGGTATTTGTTCTAAATTTGTTTGTTCTATCCGTCATTCGGTTGCCCCCCTACGAGCAACCCTCAAAAGTCTTCGAAAGTCTTGTGCGAGCAAGGAATGACGGGGGCCTTACCTTTTAACGTGTGATCCCAAACACTTTCTTGGGCCTTCAGAAAAATTTCTGCAGTCGACGGGGATCGAACCCACGACCGGCGAGCGAATGCGAATTAGAATATAGACACTCTGTCCGCACGCCTACCCTGCTGAGATGCGTTTACGTTGGGTCAGGTTCGCACCAGATAGCGGTCGAATGTTATCTGGGACAGCCCTGCACTGATGAGCGCCAAGTGCTCGAAACCGGTCTGCAGATAGTCAAGCGTTCCTGAACCACTTAGGTGCAGCTCGGCGTTGAGGAAGGATACACTTGTGATTTTATTCGTCCATACGAATTATTCCATAGATTTCGGGAGGATGTAATTCAATGTCCTGCGTGGCATATAGCCAGGAAAGCAGTTGTTTTCCTCTCGTTATCTACCATTTTCATTCCTTTTATGAACTATTGTGGTAATGACCTTGAGTTCTCTGTCTTTGTAACCTGATTTATGTTTACTTATCTACCACAGTTCACGAGAAATCTGAATTCTTCTGGAAATAATTACTTCCGTGGCGATTTAAGAACACATTTGTTTTTCTCACTCAAAGGGCACCTACTATTTTTTCGACACCATATAAGAAAATTTAATTTGGAGATAAATTACTTGAGAATTACACGGAAGAAAAGTTTTGTTACACTAACAGAATTATTTTGGTCATTTTTTTATTAAATCAAACACAATTGTGAATATTTTGAATGAAATATTTGCTCACTCGAACAACATTTTTTATTTCAATCTGCAACATTTATAGTTGACATAAATAGTTATTTATTATACAAGGGAAAAAAGTAGTAGATTTCAGCTCCAGGTTGTGTGAGCTAAAATCTAATATTTTTTCCGTGTATAATACACTATTTTTTTCTGTGACAGAAGAAAGGACGAATCAAGATTGAGAAGATATTACATTATTTTGAAATCTGAAAATTATCGACGTGAAATTTTAAGTTTTTAACAGTAGGGACACCTGCATTTTAGGCATCTTTATTATTCTTTTGAAGTAATCATGCAAATATCTGATGTCACTTCTGTCAGTCTTATTCTGTGATTTGATTCCAAAAAATTGCGAATTTAGTGGTTGATTAGTAATTTACGTAACCGCGAGATCGAATGGAAGATAAAAGGACTTGCAGATCCTTCTCGGAGTCGGAGACGGTATTATTGACTCATTTTTCCGAAGTATAGCACAACAACAGTCATCAACAGTGTATATATATGTGATATATATCCGGGAAAAAAGTACTCACTTTTTTCCCACGGGGTAAAAGTAATTTATGAAAAGTGACATTTTATAACCTGCTAACAGAGATGAAATGCCAAACTTTTTTCCCGTCACAGAAAAAACAAATTTTGTTGATTCAACTATCATCTCATTGTTCAATAAATCATATGCATCTTGTATATTTGACGAACCACTAGTTGTGAATGAATTGTTAATGTAGAATTGCACTACTGTTGACAATCGTGGATAAGACACTTCCTTCCTAGTCAAGAGGTATAGAGGTTGAGATCGACTACGACTATATCTGCACTATCAGCAGGTATGTAACCAATTCTATTTGGAGTCCTGTCTTGTCATTCAGAACAGTTACTATAGCATATTCATGCACGACTTAACTACTTATCAACTCAATCCTCACTCAAGGAGTCGAGGTGATTGGTGAATTTGGAATTGGAATCTGAAATGAATCAATCATCACTAGTTAGAAGTTAAGTTGTGTATGAATTCGCCATACTCAATACTTACTGAGAACGGAGTACCTTGCTTTGGATATGCGGACGACATAGTCATCATGGCCAAAGGCTTTGGAGGGACCCTCTGCGACCTCATAGAAATAGAGCTATTAACTACCAGAAGGTGGTGCCATTCGGTGGAGTTGAGAATTAATTCAACGAAAAGCACATTTGTACCTTTCACTAGAAGAACACTTGAGGTTCGTCCGTCTAGACGGAGCAGACCTAGAATATGGCAGCAAGAAGTGAAGTATCTAGGGCTCATCATAGACTCAAAGCTTCTCTGGAACAGACACGTAGAAAAGATCGCCAGTGAGGCAAAATCATCACTGGTGGTGTGCATGAACCTTGCAGGCAAAACGTGGGGGTACAACCCATCAATACTGCGATGGAGGTACACCATGCTAGTGAGACCTATGATCACCTACGGAGCAGTAGTGTGGCACGGCAGAACCGAACTCGCCTCTACAAGGAAAATATTAGAGAAGGTGCAAAGATGAGATCAGCTCCTACAGCAGCACTACAGGTCATTATGGATCTCACACCTCTACACATCGTGGTGAGGAGAACTGCCTATGGCGCACATCTCAAGTTGACCAAGGTTGGACTAAGAGGGAAAACGCACAGTGCGTGGAGCTCACCCCCCGCTGAGATTGCACACCTAGCCGATCTTCCAACAGACCAAATCATTAGGAAGTTCAGTTTTCCATCCATCGAAGCGCTGGGAAGGAACACCATTACTTGGTATACGAACGGGTCTAAAACACCCGAGGGAACTGGAGCAGGAGTATTTGGGCCTTGCACCAAATACTTCGAATCTATGGGACAATTTCCAGCATTTTTCAAGCGGAAATACATGCCATAAGAAGATGCATCCAGTTCAACCTAGACAGGAAATACCGGAAGAAGGATATCGCGATTTTATCCGATAGCCAAGCAGCCATCAAAGCGTTGAGCTCTTCTAACATCAACTCGAAGATGGTATGGAAATGCCTAAGCAAATTGAATGAGCTAGGCAGTAACAATAAAGTGATCCTCCTCTGGGTGCCAGGACATTTCGGAGTGGAGGGGAATGAACAAGCAGACACTCTGGCACGACAAGGGGTCTCAACGCCACTGATCGGACCAGAGTCATTCTGCGGCCTTATAAATTTCTATTTCCAAGGAGAACTTGAGAAGGCGGAAGGAGCCTTGAGAGCCAGACAATGGAGAAGACCTCCTGGACTGCGGCAGGCTAAAGATCTCCTCGGAAATTTCAACCGAAAAAGATCTAAGACACTGATAAACCTCAGTAAAATAAGTCTCAAAGCAATAACGGGATTTCTAACGGGGCATTGCAGACTCAAATAACACCTAAGGAAGCTAGGCTTACAGGAAGACATCACCTGCAGATTCAATGAGGAAGAACCAGAAACACTGCATCACATACTGATGGAGTTTGACGCTGTACCTACATCACAAAAGAATGAACATACTGGGAACACACCAGCTGACTGTGGAAGAAATACCACAGCTGGATCCCCTCAAAATCCTGAAATTCCTGAAGGAATTGAATCTTGAGGGGCTGCTATGGACAAGTAATCATTGATATAGCAGAATAGATCTAATTTGGTCGCAGCGCATCTGTCACCATCCAACCTACCGATACCAATACCAATAAATACTTCCTTGATTACTTACTCATTCTTAATTAAATTGTGTGGAGACGATATCGTTCTTTAATTCTTGCATTTGGTGCAGACCTATTTCAGAGGAAGCTTATTCCAGTGGCGTACGCTGTTTTTTTTCAGCCTCTGCAAGTGATCTAGTAGGCATTATCTTTCAAAAAAAAGTGGACGCCGCAAAATCGTTAAAATCGCTCCATAAATGAAAAATATTTGAGGTTGGCCCACTTTCGAATGGGCCATTCTGTATGTCTCAATTAGTTAGAGATTGTGCTGCGATCACAAAAAATCTCGAAAAAAATCTCCAATGCAGGTATGAAAACGATCAAATCATATGGAATTGTACGTTGGATCAAGAAATAATGAAATATGCGTCAAATATATTCACAAGAGCTATCAAATGATACCAAACTCGACAAATCCACTCCTATTCCTACCACCGGGGGTTTATCGCATATTCGTATTCTACAATCACTATATCTGCAGATATAAAGGAGTGATTGAATTCCACCCTTACGTATTGTCTCCTCAGTTTTTATGTAACATTAACGATCCATTTATGTTAATATTCGGGCAATATGAACGAAGACATATTATTATTATATTATTATCATTATCAGCGTAGCCTCGTGGTTAAAGCGTCAATGTTCTATCCACGTTGGATTGCCGATAGGTGGGTTCGATTCCCACCACGACCGCAGGAATTTTGGGATCACACGTTAAAAGGTAAGACCCCCGTCATCCCTTGCTCGCACAAGTCTCTTGAAGACTTCTGAGGGTTGCTCGTGAGGGGGCAACCGAATGATGGATAAGAACAATTTTAGAACAATTTTTCAAAACAATTATTATTGAGGTACCAGAATATCAGGAACCACGTATTTTATCGTTTCAAATAGAGCTCACGTGGTTTTCACTGTAGAATGCGAGTTTGCGATAAAAAACTGGAGTTTTTACTGGTGATTTTGAAGTTACATTCCACCTAGTTTCAGTGAAAGTAGAAGGGCGGGTTTGGAATCGAGTTTTGTATTTTCTACATTGGAACGCGGTTTCTTAATGTTTTGATTCGACGCGTAGATATTTATTGCCTCGAAATATTTCACCGTTTTAGACCTTTCGGGCACTCTCCGTACTATATACTTCTACTGAAAAATCGTTGTTGATACAATCTAGGTTGGTCACTATATTGGTGGGTAGGTAATATAGATTGAGGAAGAAATAAAGTTATAATGCATTTTTTATCGAAATAATTTAATCTTGTACTTATAAAACTATACAAAAATGAGATATTATGTAACATGTATAGGTATTTTCTGGAATATATATTACTTCAGCGTTTTGCCCTTGGTATTTGGATACAGAATTAATGTTAGTCCTGCTCCTGCAAAACATCATATGGATTAGAATCATTGTACTTGCAGCATTTTTACTGCTAATTTCAATTACTTTTCTCTATCAATTCATTCCGAGTCATTCTCATTGGTGATGGGTAGGTAGTACCTATATATTACAATAAAAGTATCCCAGATAAAAATAACATTCGAAACTATTTCGATTACCGTTCACCTATTTTCATCATAAAGTTTTTAATATTGAAAACATTCGGAACTGTAGCGAAATGAAAGATGATTTTCATCATCCAATAGTTGTTTTGAGAGATGGAAGTGACTTCGTTGTCGAAATACAAGCTGTTATAATTGAGTTCGGCCAGCAATGGCGTCCGGAAGAGTCAGAAAAAACCATAATTTAACACAAAGAAACATTAACTGGGTAAGACCAGTGAGGTATGAAATCCATCCAAACCTTTTCCAATCGATGAATCATGATTTACATTCAATGTAATTTTTATGAATCATTGTAAGTATAGTATCACCCCAAGCAATTGGGATTTCGCCCGTGTCTTGAATTTTATTGAATAAGGAACATAAGTAGATTACCCAGTTGTTTGGGAGATTTTTCAGGAATTCATAGCTTATACCATCTTCCCCCGAGGCCTTTCCGTTTTTACATGTAGATAGAGAGAGATATATTTCACTCAAAGTGATTGGACAATCCAGAACAGGATTCCTAGCATCGAATAATGTAAAATCATCCCTTACCCGTGGTTGCATTGCATCATTGTCAATATGAGGGAAATCTGTATTTAAAATTGTAAAAAATTAGCTTCAAATTTGTTTGAATGAGTGCGGAAAACAAAAAAAATAGAGGGCGGCTCACATTAATAAAACTAGCCCTGTACATACAATCAATAGTATAAGTTAATGTTGAAGGTAATCGAGTCTTAAGCGTCTCATCCTGTATAGAACATAATCACTGAACAGCCTGTATTTTATTCCATAATCGGTTAGAGATTATTATAAAGAATTCAACAATACCGGGTTTGATTGGGTTATTTCAAACGATTACGGATATATTGGCGATAAAAGAGTGTCTCAGTTTTTCAGTGGATCCTTTATCTGCAGCAGATTTGAGGAATGCATATTCACAAGAATTTTCCTCTTTATCTAGCGTTATCATGTTACCTTTATTATCATACAGAATACATATTTCGTATCTACTGTACTATAAATTTTGATTGTAACCCTCGTTGTAACCCATCACCCATCTAAACTGCTCCACATTTGAAGTGAGACAAGCGAACATTTTGTTTGTTTTCGAACCGTGATAACTTTGGATGAGATCAACCGATCTTTGATTAGTTTTGAGATTGTGATTGCCCAGTTGATTGGCTATAACATATTTTTTTTACGTTTCTCCACCATTTCGGAATTATGACCTACAGGATGATATCTGAAAGTGTGATACTTTCCGAAAAGTTTGAGGTCGCCCCGTTAGCAGGATAATTTTTTTTAAATTTTTCTGACGGCAAAAACATGAAGCCTAATGTGTTTCCTCGAAATGGTTTCGGATTCATCAAGATCCATACAGGATGTTTTGAGATATGCAATTTCGAACAACATAATGGCTATTCGAATTTTTTGAATACCTTAAATTCATTGGTTAACCCCTCGGTATAATATGTTGTCTGGGAAATAATCAGAAATTGTCAAACATTTGATTATTGTAATAAAATATGCCACGACTAACTAATGAACAATTACAAATTGTTCTCAGAATGAGAGATGGTGGTTTGAATGTTGAAGACATTGGACAGTATTTCGATACATCAAGAGCTTCAATATACAGGGCAATCCGTCGTCACGATCGAACAGGAGATCCTAATTATCGTCACGGAGGTGGACGACAACGGAAGACTTCAGATAGAAATGATAATTTCTTAGTTACTTCGGTACGTCGTCTTCGAACACAGACTGCTGGACAACTGAACTGTGCACTAAGAAATGCAACAGGAGTTGTTGTCTCAGATGAGACAATCAGAAGAAGGCTTCATGAGCGCAATCTGAGAGCGAGAAGGAGGGCATCTTGTACTTTGTTAAAGCTGAACCACAGGATAGCTCGAAGACTTTGGGCTCAGAAACATTTGAACTGGGGAATAGCTGATTGGAGGAGATGTTTATTCGTTGATGAGAGTAGGTGTAATATGTTCAGATCAGATGGAAGGATTTTAGTATGGCGAGAACGGGGTGAGAGGTTTCTGGAGGAAAACATAGAGGCGCGGGTGGCATTTGGGGGTGGGGGTGTTTCGATATGGGGCGGTATCATGATGAATCATCGCACCACGTTGGTTATTTTGAGGGAAAGTATGAATGCTGTTCGATATCGTGACATGTGTATAAGAGATGTTGTTATACCAGTTGCTCAAAACTTTGGAGACAATTTCGTACTGGTCGATGATAATGCACGACCACATCGTGCGAGCATGAACCCAATAGAACATGTATGGGCTAGGTTAAAATTATGTTTGAAGTGAAGAGAAGGTGAAATGATGAATATTCAACAACTGGAAGATGCGATAGTGGAAGAATGGACAGCTATTCCCCAAGATTTCATTGATGGCTTGATAACAAGTATGCTCTCGCAGCGGCCAGGGGTGGTGTAACAAAATATTGATAATCGACCACATCTGCCGTTGTTAATTTTTCTTTATTAAAAAAATATTGTGTTACGTATTATCTGTATTCTCTTCGTGGTATATGTTCATCAATTCTCATTCTCTATATCCACTGAAAAAAAAACATCCTGAAGGTTTTTCGTTCAATCACGGAATCACTTTTGCTTATCCATGATATTGCATATCTCAAAACATCCTGTATGGATCTTGATGAATCCGAAACCATTTCGAAGAAACACATTAGGGTTCATGTTTTTGCCGTCAGAAGAATTTAAAAAAAATTATCCTGCTAACGGGGCGACCTCAAACTTTTCGGAAATTATCACACTTTCAGATATCATCCTGTAGGTCATAATTCTGAAATGGTGGAGAAACGTAAAAAAAATATGTTATAGCCAATCAACTGGGCAATCACAATCTCAAAACTAATCAAAGATCGGTTGATCTCATCCAAAGTTATCACGGTTCGAAAACAAACAAAATGTTCGCTTGTCTCACTTCAAATGTGGAGCAGTTTATCTCCATTAGACGTATATGCATTGTGCTTGGCTGCGCTGAACATTAGTATTGGTTATCGAAATGTGAAAAAATGCGTTTTTCGTATTGCAAAATGTACCGTTGTACAGAGTCGGTTGGGTCTGCAAAGTAGTATAGTTAGGAAATAGGCATCCCGGGGCGACACTGCTCCGAATAAGCTGATATACAAGGTGATTCAGTGGCAAGTAGGTAGCTTCCTACCATAAATCAAAGAGCCAAGGACCCCATACCCCATAGTGGACCAATGATTCTGATTTTGTTATGTTGTTTTCAAAATGAGCAGGGCACAATAGAAACACCCAGTGACGTAAATACTGGGGAAACATAACACTCGTTCCAAAACAAAATCTGAATAGGTGTTTTTGTTTTTAACACTTTTTCCGATTACCAGATTGAAACGCAAAAAAACAAGCAAATTAAAAGACATGAAATACCTACTTACCAAAAGTTAGGAGTCCAATGAAGAGAAAAGGTGGTAAGCATCCAGAATTCAACAACCAGGGGAAAACTGAGCTGCCTATTACTGATCCAAGGCGGGCGCACATTAGATTCAACGACAATGCAGATGTTCTATGGAATTAAAAAATATTGGAGAACACACAATTTGAATTCAGTTCCTTTCTGTCCGCTGCAATTCTCAAAGGTTATGCACATTTTTGAGGTTTCCTATTTTCCGAAAGACCATGTAACCTGTTTTTATTAATTTTTTGAACCATTCTGCAAATAACTTTCCGAACAAAAAAAAATCAAAAGGACGTTGGTACTAGTTTATAAATCCACAAGTATGGGCGATACTATTTTTTTGATATACAGAGTGGGCCTTTGAAAACGAAACAGAGGCTCTGTAGGTCGCCAAAACCGGATTATGAAAAGAATCTGAAACACGTCAACTACGTTTTCGAGGGGGACATCGTCCTACAATATTTTCAGCCCTGCGGCGTTGCCGCTGCTAACGAAAAGAAGCAACAACTTTGTTATTTCAAATGGAACACCTTGTATTTCATTGCATTTTTAGATTATCCCCGAAGAGCTGATTTCATCAATGCATCACACTTGGGGTCTAGCTGTAATGGTTTCAGGGATATAAAGTGTTCAAAATCGAGATTTTTCAACTTTGACATTTTTTTATGTCGAAACTATTCATTATTGGTCGAAACGGCTCTCATGTCCCTATCTCAACTTGTGATTTACTATCTACTGACATTTAATTGGAACAGATACAGGGTGATCAGAATTCTGAATCTTGAACCACCCTGTATTTGTTTCAAATAAATGTCAGTAGATAGTAAATCACAAGTTGAGATCGGGACATGAGAGCCGTTTTGATCAATAATGAATAGTTTCGACACAAAAAAATGTTAAAGTTGAAAAATCTCGATTTTGAACACTTTATATCCCTGAAACCATTACAGCTAGACCCTAAGTGTGATGCATTGATGAAATCAGCTCTTCGGGGAGAATCTAAAAATGCAATAAAATACAAGGTGTTCCATTTGAAATAACAAAGTTGTTGCTTCTTTTCTTTAGAAGCGGCAACGCCGCAGGGCTGAAAATATTTTAGAAAGATGTCCCCTTCGAAAATGTAGTTGACCTGTTTCAGTTTTTTTTTGATAATCCGGTTTTGGCGACCTACAGAGCCTCTGTTTCGTTTTCAAAGGCCCACTCTGTATATACCAACGTTTATTGAATATCTATCAAACATCAGTTTTTTCACTATACTAATATATATGGTATCATGTAGATAAGGATTTTCAAAATATTATCGTCCTGTAGTCTTGTACCTACCTCTTCAACGAACTACTTATGGTTATGAAAACCAGTAAAATCCTTAGAATAGATATCAATCACATCTATCACATCTATTTCGTGTCTATCACATATTTCATTGGGAAAATCGATCACTATTTATTTTATACGTGAGAAGAACGGACAACACAAAATTGAAATTTATCAACCGGTTTGAGGACTGAGTAAATATATAATTTAGTCAGGGTACATACATTATGTACGCTGAATAGTCATTTATAGCCAGATAATTCGTTACCTTCACCTTTTTATAGCCTAATTATATTGAGTTTTGGTTTCATGTTTCATCATCTATATTTATGTGATGTTCATAGTATTATTATTACCCATCAATTCTTTGAGGTCTTTCAGCTAGTTTTGTACTTATATATTTGGATTTTGTTCAACAATAGTTTGCATTACTATCACTTTATCAACAGTATATTATCCCAAACGAGTACCTACATTGACTATTCAAAAAGAAAAGAAACCAAAGAAAACACACATCCCGAATCCCAGTTTACTGCTTCGAATTCATTTGACAAAAGCAAAAGAACTTTTGGGATTTCGATTCGGATTTCACCTTACCCAACGATATTCTAGGGTGCAATGTGTGAGCTTTCGACCTTCCGGGTCTCATCAGTTATAGGCGAAGAAGCCTAAGAGCTAATTTGAGTATTAATACTATTTTGAGTTTGTTCTGTTCCTATTGTTAATTTTCCATGAAATTGTAAAAAAACTAACGAATAAATGAATTTGAAATCTAATAATGCGCCATGCCGGCTGCTCGGTGCGAATTGCGAGGGTCAGCTTTTTTGTTCTGTTTTCTCAAATGATTTTCTGAAAAATATACCTTTCAGGAAGAAGGTTCATTTAGGCCGAGTAAGGTCAGGTTAGGTTAGAAAAAATAGTCTCCTTATGCAGAAGGGATATTTTTCTTCCTCCCTGATGGAAATAGTACTGTGGCGGCACTGTTGAGGACGATAGTGATTCGCTATTTCAATTATGTTATTTTTATCAGAATCGGCCGTGAGCAAAATCAAGAAGACCTTTGTTATGATATATAATTATATATGCTACTAAATATAAATAATATTCATACTGGTAAATATGACGAGTAAAATTATCTGTTCCCATGCATATCAAGGTAGAAATTGAAAATTGAAATGATGATTCATTAACAGTTGATAATTTCGAAGGAGATTGACTTCTTTGTACCGGGTGTTCATCCAGAGAGTTGATCGTACAGATTACGAAAAAAAATATGCATTATGGACAAATATATTGAAGCTGTTGAGGGGAACTACTGGAAATCATCTCCAATTCCATCATTATAAAAAAATCAGGGTGTTGTTTTCCTAAATTGAACAATTTATATAGCTCCCGAACTATATGCATGAGTATGCGGTTCAGTCGCTATGTATTCAGAAATCTGCTCATGGAGCAGAATCTATATACATAAAGATGAAAAAAAATTATAGCTTTATCTATTAAAAAATGGTGTGAGTCAAACCGAGTGGCATGTTCTGCGGATGTGGGGTAAATATGTCTCGATGTGTCATAATTGGAGGGAAAAATAAAGTGAATATAGTGAAAGTAAAATAAACAACCGAATTGAAAGATCAAATTTTGTAATTGTATTGCTTTGCAAGTTTTCTCGACTAAACTCAAATATAATGTAATAATTGTTATCAACTTTCAAAAATATTGATGTTTTCATGTTGTGAATGTTCTTTCACACATGTATTATTATTCCCCACTTAATGGAAGCCAGCTTCAACAAAATCTCATTTTCCGTAAGTGTTTTATAATCGATAACAAGGATTAAATTTCCACATCAATTTTAATGTTTTATAGAGTTCCTGATGAAGAGCCAATAAAGACTCGAAAGCTTGAACAGAAACAAGAGTACACTTTGCTTTTTCTGCTCCCGTTTTCAACATAAAAAATGATTTTTTTGTATGGCAAATTTGTATTTGTCTTGACACTTTTCAGTTCTCAGTAACGATTGGTGACGTTGGCAATCAAATGACTCACACAGGATGTTTATAATTAATTAATCTTGAATTTACCATTTTCATTCTCAGATTTCAGTAGTGGATACCATGTTCTATCTATATCAACTGAAAAGGAAGCAATGCTTCAGAAAAATGCAAGCAGATTCCTTGATTTTTCTCTTCTGGTTGTTATATCCTTTTCCAATGATTTTAATATCATTCCACTCTGCCATATGTTGTCCATCTTCAGTAAGGATAGGTTCAGCTAGTTTCGATTTGTCGATGTGTCTTTTCTTTATATTGTATTGTATGTTCCTTCATCCTTACTGAAAGAGGTCTTTTGGTTTCACCTGTATAAAACTTTCCACAAACACAAGGTATACTATAAATACAATTTTTTGACGATTGTCTTCATTTTTCAGTTTCGTTTGAGTTGAGAATTAATCTCATTTTGGGGCATAACATCTGATTTGTCCTTACTACACGTACATTGAAATAATATTCATATTTTTATTTTATAGGAACGAGGAGAGAAAATCCTAAAAAATCTGGAATAATGAATGTACCACCTCCTCGATTAACCTACAGACAGTAATTAGTAAGTATTAACATATGAACTTCAAACACCAGACTTTTGAGTTGCCCCCATGAAAAGAAATCTTAACTGTTGAAATCGGGGATCTTGCTGGCCATTGTCAAGGTCCTTCGCGACCTATCCAACGATTAGGATAAACTGTATTCAAATGGTCCCGGAAAATTACACTGAAATGGGCAGGGGCTCCATCGTGCATATACCGAATTCGATACCTTAACATAATTGGCAAATCTACAGGCAACCCACTTAGTTCTTCTACGAGAAATGTAAATGAGACTGACCAACTAGGCGTCCTGGTAGAAAGAAATGGGCCTATTAGATGATCGTCAATAATTCCTGCCCATACATTAACCGAAAATTGGTGTTGAAAATTGGTTTCGGTTATGGTATAGGGGTTTCTTTCCACCCACACATGATTGTTATGAAAATTTTGAATAGCATTCTGAGAATAGTTTGCTTCGTCTGTGAACAAAATTTGTTACTCAAACTGAGGATTTAGTGCAATACTCTGAAGATACCACTGACAGAAGTTCACACGCTGTGGAAAATATCTGGAGAGTATTGCCTGTAGTCTTGAAATATAATATGGGTATCACAAAAAACTACTCCAAACAATTTGATGACAAATATTCAGAGTACTAGCGATCATCCTGGTTCTCGTCTCAGGATGCTCTTTCTTGCACCACCTCTTATTCGAAACTACCAGTCTCCCTAAGTCGGCGATAAATATCTGAAAAGGCACTCTTTTAGGATATCCGCGAGGCCATTATACGTAAATCACCATATTCACTGATATTCAGAAAAACAACACACAAATAAAAATCAAATAAATGACGCGCTGTTACGGTTTTTAACACCAACAATCAACACCATTATTTTCATCTACGTTTGTAAAAGCGTCATTCATTCCAGGATAACTAGATTTATGTTTTTGAAAATTATTAATCCACATCAGATTTTTAATGTAATAGAAAAAATGATTTTTATTTTCTCAAGCGAAAACCAAGCGTCGGACAAATGAAACCCATGAGATCAAATTTGCTCAAAAATAAATAGGGTAAAAGTAGTTTTTATTTTGAGAGAAACCAGTGGCGTAGTATTTTTTCTTGAAAAATATTCAATGCTAAACGTGTGAGGACGGCACTGGTAGAGAACATGATTTTTTTACATCAGAAAATGCACGTTGATGCATA